CATTTGCTAAGAATCACACCTTTGAGTGAGTTGGGCTAACCAGTTATATCACGGCGTGTCAGCTTAATGTGGGAGGAAAGCCCGAAGTAATGCAGGTCTCAGTCATTTACCACTTCGGTGAAATCCACGAGCACGGGTATGGTGCTGACAAACCTAGAAACATAATCGCTGTAAACCGGGAATCGAACCCACAATCATAGGTTTCTGGCGTGCCCAAGCGACGCAACTCTGCACAGCGAATTGTTGCGCCTTAGACAAACGGGCCACCCATTTTTGACTAATTATTTTGGTCCTTAGCAAATGTTGAGAAGCATAGAATCACACATTAAATATACTTCACTTTAGATGCATCTCAGTGTATTATTTCCCCATTCCATGCTATTCAACTTTTGATAGGGATAATCAGCTACCACTACTTCCAACTGAGTATGGTTATACGGTCCTTTCAGCAATACCGGAAAATGGGCTTCACACTTTGTACCCATGTGGGATTCAAACTAGGTCCACGGCATGAGTGAGTGAATGAGTGAGTATGGTTTTACGCCGCTTTTAGCAATACTCCAGCAATATCATGGCGGGGGACACCAGAAATGGGCTTCACACATTGTACCCATGTCAGGAATCGAACCCGGGTCTTCGGTGTGACGAGCTAACGCTTTAACCACTAGGCTACCCGACCGCCCCTCCACCGCAACCCATGCTTACTGTAAAAGGCGACTGTGCTTGTCATAAGAGGCGACAAACGGGATCGGGTGGTCAGGCATGCTTGGTTGATGCATGCCATCGTATCCCAATTGCATAGATCAATGCTCATGTCAATCACTGGACTGTCTGATCCCGACTTGATTATTTACAGACCGCCGTCATATAGCTGGAATATTGCTGAGTGCAGCGTTAAACAACAAACCAACCAACCACAGCATGACAAGTGAACACTTAAGTCACTAGATTACCCCACCGCTTCCAATCACGAAAGAACAGTGTAGCAATAGACTAAGCCATAATGGCAATAAATAGATTATTAGAATAGAGACATGATACACAGGATAATTGATTGGTTGGTTGGTTTGTTGTTTAACGCCGCACTCAGCAATATTCCAGCTATATGATGGCGGTTTGTAAATAATAGAGTCTGGACCAGACAATCCAGTGATTAATATCATGAGCATCGATCCACGCAATTGGGATGGATGACATGCATCAACCAAGTCAGCATGCCTGACCACCCGATCACGTTAGTCGCCTTTAATGACCAGCATAGTCGCCTTTTACGGCAAGCATTGGTTGCTGAAGATCTATTCTACCCCGGATCTTCACGGATAATCGAGGATGCTTTAGATGAGGCTGTTCCTGTTATTCCATATAGGAATTAAATGTGTTGTCATGGGAAGACTATTTGATCGCTGTGGGACGATTCACGGATACATCATGACACATCAAGTTTTGATACAACCATTGTATGACAGATCACTATACACAAAAGGGTACATTGCATAGCTCCGAGACCCATCACGAGACATGTATTGTGGCTGTGCACATTATATCTCAGGGCACCACAGCAGTGATTGGCTGTTACATTTCCACCCAAAAACACACACAGAGCATGTCTCTTAGGCAGACCAAGTTAAATATAAAATCAGCGTTCGAAATACCTGCCTGACCGACCGTCTGAGACGGGTTGATTTCAACTCGGGCTGCCAGATTTTCAAATCCCCCTGCCTGACGGTCGGGTTATATTTCATAGGTGAAAATATTCTAAATATTTCCTGATGATAAGCATTAATTCACATGTAAAGATGAATGATAAAATGTAACCAAAAAGAAACCCTGTTAGCTTTTAGACAACCTAACATTTAGCTATGCGCTTATGCTACAAGCAATCAGTTTTCATATTTTTAATTAAATTATCCTGAGAAACATATGATTATAGTGGGCAGGCAGGTTTTGGTCAGGGCTGGCAAGTTTTTCAGCTAGCCAGTCCTGTGGTCTGGCTGAAATTTTTGGGAGTTTCATACCCTGATAAAATGTCATGTTTTGAATACATGCTTTGTGATCAAATTTGTTCACATTTCAATCTTCACTTACAACAAACAGTTACATCCAAAATGTGTCTGAATGAAATACAACAAAACCGGTTATATAATTTGGGGGTCCAAGGGACTCAAAATGTTTAACTGGAGGGGTCCCAGTTTACTGAATGGGGGTTGCCAGGAATATATAAAAAAATGAATACATTACTCTACCACAAGTAAGACTGCATAAGCTCAGAGGCCATTACTTAAATATTGGTATGTCTTATTAGGGCTTGATTCAATTACACAAAACATTGCATCAGTGCAACCTATTATTGAAAATGCAACCAAGTGCAGGTTAAAAACTTCACATTACTGTCTGACTAAGCCTTACTTTTCCACACAACCTGGTTTTGTCTGGTGCAAATGTTTTCAGATCAACACGCACCTGGTGCAGCTAAATCAATTACTTAAATCAAGCCCTGCTGATCTTGACGAGGAGGAAAGCCTGAAGTAATGTAGGTCTCTGACGTCTTCCACTTTGTAGAAACCCACGAACAGGGGTACTGTGCTGACAAACCTTGAAACAATCAGGTTGAACCTGTGATCATCTTCTACCTGAGGCAAAAGAGTTAACCGACTAAAAAAGTCCAGTTTCCACCCTTGCCGAACTAGGCTGGTATTATTGAGTTACATTTTGGCTGGACTAACGAGTCTATGCATAGTTTAATCAAAATCGCGCAATGAAATCAAAATCTGGTTCGTGCAGATTTCAGTCGATTGCAGGATTTGCAAAGCATGTGCACCGCCAACTCATTGTCAGCAGATATTTTCCAAATCTTTTCATGTTTTTCATGTTTAATCAAGGTGCTCACGTGATTTGATTCATTTCGCGATGTAAGACCCGTTTTATCACAATATAGATCTTGATTATTGATCAGATCGTCCTGACTCGGCGCCGCCATTTTGTTTGAAGCAAATGCAAGTGGTACAAGAGGTGGAATCTGATTGGTCCATAGCAGAGACTCAGAAGGGACATAACTGGTAATAGCCACTGGAGGCACTATGATCGAGCCCAGTAATTCCAGCCTAGTTCGGCAAGGGTGGAAACTGGACTTTAAGAGTCAGTTAACTCTCTTGCCTCGGGGAGATGGTGATCATAGATCCCTGGCCGACCAGGGGAAACAACTCTGCACAGTGAATTGAGGCACCATCTTTTCTGAAGGGACAAGAACGTGCCCAATTGTGTGTGTACTACATATACTTCATGTACTTCATGAATTGTGAATACGGTTAATAGTTTCCACCCATTACTCATCCATGTGGAAGTTACTGATACAGAATACACGGCAACCACCAATAAAATAGCACCTTTAAATGCATGACATAAAACACATTACCAATCACAGACAGAGAGTTGTATTAAATCAACTTTGCATGTTTTGAAACAACAGATACTGAACAACACCGGTGTTGAACACAAGTGAGTGGAGGTGAAACGATACAACGGTGCATTGTGTGATTTATGCGCTGATATGATACAAGATACATTTTTTCTGTATCGATACAAGACGATACACTTGCTGAAATACATTACTCGTTGTTTAACGACCTCTCAGCGTTTTTGTCAGTCAGAAATCGCAAAATGTGTTGTAATTAAGTACACTACTAAAAATAACAGCAATGAACAAGTGTCTACAGCTAGCTTTTCCTTTTGAACCTGCTCTGAAATATTTATAGTCAAAACATTTCCACGCAACTTGATGTAAGTACGAGTATCGCGAACGTATTGCATCATGACCTTTGTATCATGACCTTGCTGTATTGTTTCACCTCTACAAGCGAGATCAACCTTTAACCAATGGCTTCCTTGTTAAAATGCATGTTCAGAAAAGACATGGAGTGAATTTCTGGCTCAGAATCAACTACAACATCAACAGCGTGGCCTCATCATAATGGTTACTGGGAGAATGTTGACCAAACCAGCAGCCTGAGTACTATTGTATCCAGGGAAACATTTTATTAGTTTAGGTTAACAGATTCAACTGACCAAAGACAGATATGCCATTCATGATATCATATGACCACTTTATCTTTGGATTAGAAAAGAAAAAATATAGACAACTGCAAAAATCAAATCCAAAGTAATTGTTACTTTTTAAATAATAATTGATCAAATGTACTGTATACCGTCTCTGGCCCCTGCAAAGATCTAGACATGAACGTCGTTAGACCAAGGATCGTAATACTGGATTTTCTGCTCCATTTGATGATACTTGTGACCAAGGAAATGCTATAGGACAAACTGGCTACTGTGGAACACTTTGTGGAGTATGTCATGGTGACATCTTATCAACTATATCTGCTTACTGCACACAGCGTGTTGCAGGGACTTCCTGCATCTGCTACAGAATGGTGAGTGAGTGAGTGAGTTGGGTTTAACGCCGCTTTTAACAGTATTCCAGTTATATCACGGCGTGCCAGCTTAATGTGGGAGGAAAGCCCGAAGTGATGCAGGTCTTAGACGTTTACCACTTCGGTGAAACCCACGAGCACGGGTATGGTGCTGACAAACCTAGAAACATAAATGGGGCGAACCGGGATTCCAACCCACAATCATAGGTTTCTGGTGTGCCCAAGGGACGCAACTCTGCACAGCGAATCGCGGCGCCTTAGACGACTGGGCCACCCGTGCCCCCTGCTACAGAATGGAGGCAATTTTTTTTTTTTTAAAGGATAGCGTGTCTTGTGTCACATAATAAGCAACAGTTAGAACACCAGATTTTGCAGGCACGAATAGGGACTATTAGTTTGTTTGTTTGTTGTTTAACGCTGCACTCAGCAATATTCCAGCTATATGACGGCGGTCTGTAAATAATCGAGTCTGGACCAGACAATCCAGTGATTGACATCATGAACATCGATCCACGCAATTGGGATCGATGACATGCATCAACCAAGTCAGCGAGCCTGACTACCCGATCCCGTTAGTCGCCTCTTACTACAAGCATAGTCGCCTCATATGGCAAGCAAGGGTTACTGAAGACCTATTCTACCTCTGATCTTCAAGGGTCTGGGACTATTAAGACAAATTCTTGACTTAAACCCATGAGCATGGGTATGGTGCCCACAGACCCAGGAATGTAATTAATACAAACCTGGGAAGCAGACCCCAGACCAGCAGATGCCCAAGGGACACAACTCCGCACAGGAAATCATAATGCCTAACACTGCTTATCCCCCCTTTCATCCCAGTCGGAAGTAAATACACAGTGACAAACAGGAAGCACATTATTTTTCATGTTCCGAATACAGCACATATGAAACAAAGGGGTAAATAGATCAATAATAATCACACCAACAAACACATAACTATTAAGTCCAATTACCATATTTGACATAATAAGTGCTCACTTAGAATACTGAAAGAAAACCACAGACAAATTAAATAGTTTTCAGAGGTTAAGGGGAAGTGAACAAGCTTCATTCAAAAGTCATTAAAACCAACACTTTTTTATAATATTAGATTTTTTGTCTTAGGGGGTGTGCATAAAAATTACTCATCAGGGGCAAATAATATGTCAAATATGGTACATGTAATATAACTTTGCTCATTTTACATAAACATAGATATGTGAATGAGCTCCTGACGTATAGATACTGACAAACACTAAATACAGGTGATGTTTTATTGACTATATACCACTGGTTACTATGGTAACCACACAAATATTACTGACTGGTTACATTTCTGAAAGTAACTGTTATGGAATGAAAGAGTGTGTGAGTGAATAAATATTGCTTTAAGCCGCATCAGCAATATTGCAGCTATTCACGGCTAGTCAGGAAGATGGAACAAGGAAAGAAAACATATGAACACAGTTCTCAGGAAATGCAAATATAACGTCTCTCTTTGGGGGAGTGATTTAGAATGAACACCCCTTTGATCAGAATTCCAGTTATATCACAGCGTGTCAGCTCAGTGTGGGAGGAGAGCCCGAAGTGATGCAGGCCTTAGACGTTTACCACTTTGGTGAAACCCACAAACACGGATATGGTGCTGATAAAACTAGAAACATAATCGGGTACAAAGGGATGCAACTCTGCATAGCAAATTGTCGCTGCTTAGATGACTAGGCCACCCATACCACCAATCTCCCTTTGGATATACAAAATACTGAATATGACTTGGGAATTCATTACCACATTAATTTGGTTGAACAAATACACATCATTCAGTTGATGAGTGAGTGAGTTAACAGTTTGTTACATTTCAGTGTGTCAGTTTAATGTAGGAGGAAAGCCCGAAGTGATGCAGGTCTTAGACGTATTACCACTTTGGTCAAATCCAAAAACACAGGTATAGTGCTGACAAAGCTAGAAACATGATCATGACAAAACTGGGATTCATAGCCACCATCTTGGAACTACTAAGGGAGACAACTCCGCAGTGTGAATTGTGTCACTTTGGACATGTCGGCCACCTGTGCCCCTTCAAACAAAGACAACAGTGGCAGTTAACAGATGACTAGGGGTTAGGATTCCAGGGTTCCATGGTGATGTACCTAGTGACTGGAGTTGAACTGAGACAATGTTGTCCTTGTGTCCTTGAGCAAATAACTGCTTTATATACACAACAATGTTTTGTTCACAGACAGTGCAGGGTTTGAATGACTACCAACTGACCCGAGCCTAGTCCCACATTAATGATGTGTGTTTGTGGATATGGCCATGTATGGGAAACATTAGTGGCCTAATATCAATATACATATAAAGTTTCAAATATTTTAAAGACATTAATTCTGTTTTCTCCAAATTTGTCTGCCATAGCTTAAAATTCCCCCCAACTCCCTGGGTGCATACATGGTCTACCACAACCACAGCACCAGGCCTCTCTGAAGAAAACAACCTCAAGTCAAAGTGTTGGCCTATTGAAAATATGGTATTTGATTTGATTCTAGACCTAATTAATAATGTATGACAACAGGAACATACAAACTACCATCTTGTCCCTGGGTCTATCACAGTTTGCAAATACTTTGATGACTTCCTGTGTCAGCATCCCTGATGGAGACAGGAAGTCCTATCTCAGACAGAGACACCTTCAGACAGGAAGTCCCATGTCAGACAGGAAGTCCCATATCAGACAGGAAGTCCCATGTCAGACAGGAAGTCCCATGTCAGACAGGAAGTCCCATATCAGACAGGAAGTCCCATGTCAGACAGGAAGTCCCATATCAGACAAGAAGTCCCATGTCAGACAGGAAATCCCATATCTGACAGGAAGTCCCATGTCAGCCAGAAAAAACCTCGGGCAGAGAGATCCTGAGCCAGGAAATCCTGTGTCTGCATCCTTGACAGAGACACCTTCAGACAGGAAGATAGGAAGAGACATGATCAGATTGGAAGTCCAATCTCAGACAGATATCATCAGCCAAGATGTCCTATGCCAGCTACGAGTTGCTGTCATCCTGCAGTGTCTCGTCATCGTCGATGTTCAGTAGTTGTCTCTCGATTGCCTGCTGTCTCAGCTCATTTGACCTCAGTCTCTCCTGCAGCTCCAGCATACTGAAAATGACACAAATAGAATCAAACACTTACATCTAAAGATAATCATGGAGCACCATTTCAAAGTTTGTTTTGTTTGTTTGTTTGCTTGCTGTTTAACACCACACTCAGCAATATTCCAGCTATGATGGCGGTCTGTAAATAATCGTGTCTGGACCAGACAAACCAGTGATTCACATCATGAGCATCGATACATGCAATTGGGATACAATGACATGCATCAACCAAGTCAGCGAGCCTGACCACCCAATCCTGTTACGCCTCTTAAGACAAGCATAGTAGCTTTTTACGGCAAGCATGGGTTGCTGAAGACCTATTCTAACCCGGATCTTCATTGGTTCACCATATTAAAACATGACTAAATACAAAATGACCATCATCGATTGGTAATCAACAGTCCAGATTTGCCGAACTGATACACCTTTTGAAGTGTTTTCATCCCTATAGTCATCCTAACAGTGTGTCAGAGCACTATCATCATTTGTTACGGTAGACAGTATTTAAACCATTTCACATCTCATTTTTTTGCCCTCCTTCATTTAGTAGGCTGATTAAGGGATGATGATGAACAAAGATGTCATGTGGGTGACTTAAAATTGGCCATGGTATAGGTGCAAGGTCTGTCATAGTGGCCCTGGTAGACTGTATTGGCCTAAGTCAACACCAAGGGAATAAAATAATCCCAGCAGAGAGACATAAGGTGTACTGGGGGCCTGTTCTTCCAGAGATCATCACAGAGAGACAAGCAATGGGTACTGGGGACCTGTTCTTCCAGGGATCATCAGAGAGACAAGCAATGGGTACTGGGGACCTGTTCTTCCAGGGATCATCAGAGAGAGACAAGCAAGGGGTACTAGGGACCTGTTCTTCCAGGGATCATCAGAGAGAGACAAGCAATGGGTACCGGGACCTGTTTTCTTCCAGGGATCATCAGAGAGACAAACAATGGGTACTGGGGACCTGTTCTTCCAGGGATCATCAGAGAGACAAGCGATGGGTACTGGGGACCTGTTCTTCCAGGGATCATCAGAGAGACAAGCAATGGGTACTGGGGACCTGTTCTTCCAGGGATCATCAGGGGGACAAGCAATGGGTACTGGGGACCCGTTCTTCCAGGGATCATCACAGAGACAAGCAATGGGTACTGGGGACCTGTTCTTCCAGGGATCATCAGAGAGACAAGCGATGGGTACTGGGGACCTCTTCTTCCAGGGATCATCAGAGAGACAAACAATGGGTACTGGGGACCTGTTCTTCCAGGGATCATCACAGAGAGACAAGCAATGGGTACTGGGGACCTCTTCTTCCAGGGATCATCAGAGAGAGACAAGCAATGGGTACTGGGGACCTGTTCTTCCAGGGATCATCACAGAGAGACAAGCAATGAGTACTGGGGACCTGTTCTTACAGGGATCATCAGAGAGAGACAAGCAAGGGGTACTAGGGACCTGTTCTTCCAGGGATCATCACAGAGAGACAAGCAAGGGGTACCGGGACCTGTTTTCTTCCAGGGATCATCAGAGAGACAAACAATGGGTACTGGAGACCTGTTCTTCCAGGGATCACCAGAGAGACAAGCGATGGGTACTGGGGACCTGTTCTTCCAGGGATCATCACAGAGAGACATGCAATGGGTACTGGGGACCTGTTCTTCCAGGGATCATCAGAGAGACTAACAATGGGTACTGGGGACCTGTTCTTCCAGGGGTCATCACAGAGAGACAAGCAATGGGTACTGGGGACCTGTTCTTCCAGGGATCATCACAGAGACAAGCAATGGGTACTGGGGACCTGTTCTTCCAGGGATCATCACAGAGAGACAAGCAATGGGTACTGGGGACCTGTTCTTCCAGGGATCATCACAGAGAGACAAGCAATGGGTACTTGGGACCTGTTCTTCCAGGGATCATCACAGAGAGACAAGCAATGGGTACTGGGGACCTGTTCTTCCAGGGATCATCACAGAGAGACAAGCAATGTGTACTGGGGACCTGTTCTTACAGGGATCATCACAGAGAGACAAGCAATGGGTACTGGGGACCTGTTCTTCCAGGGATCATCAGAGAGACAAGCAATGTGTACTGGGGACCTGTTCTTCCAGGGATCATCACAGAGAGACAAGCAATGGGTACTGGGGACCTGTTCTTCCAGGGATCATCAGAGAGACAAGCAATGGGTACTGGGGACCTGTTCTTCCAGGGATCATCACAGAGAGACAAGCAATGGGTACTGGGGACCTGTTCTTCCAGGGATCATCACAGAGAGACAAGCAATGGGTACTGGGGACCTGTTCTTACAGGGATCATCACAGAGAGACAAGCAATAGGTACTGGGGACCTGTTCTTCCAGGGATCATCAGAGAGACAAGCAATGGGTACTGGGGACCTGTTCTTCCAGGGATCATCACAGAGACAAGCAATGGGTACTGGGGACCTAATCTTCCAGGGAACATCAGAGAGAGACAAGCAATGGGTACTGGGGACCTGTTCTTCCAGGGATTTTCACAGAGAGACAAGCAATGGGTACTGGGGACCTGTTCTTCCAGGGATCATCACAGAGAGACAAGCAATGGGTACTGGGGACCTGTTCTTCCAGGGATCATCACAGAGAGACAAGCAATGGGTACTTGGGACCTGTTCTTCCAGGGATCATCACAGAGAGACAAGCAATGGGTACTGGGGACCTGTTCTTCCAGGGATCATCACAGAGAGACAAGCAATGGGTACTGGGGACCTGTTCTTACAGGGATCATCACAGAGAGACAAGCAATGGGTACTGGGGACCTGTTCTTCCAGGGATCATCAGAGAGACAAGCAATGTGTACTGGGGACCTGTTCTTCCAGGGATCATCACAGAGAGACAAGCAATGGGTACTGGGGACCTGTTCTTCCAGGGATCATCAGGGGGACAAGCAATGGGTACTGGGGACCCGTTCTTCCAGGGATCATCACAGAGACAAGCAATGGGTACTGGGGACCTGTTCTTCCAGGGATCATCAGAGAGACAAGCGATGGGTACTGGGGACCTCTTCTTCCAGGGATCATCAGAGAGACAAACAATGGGTACTGGGGACCTGTTCTTCCAGGGATCATCACAGAGAGACAAGCAATGGGTACTGGGGACCTCTTCTTCCAGGGATCATCAGAGAGAGACAAGCAATGGGTACTGGGGACCTGTTCTTCCAGGGATCATCACAGAGAGACAAGCAATGAGTACTGGGGACCTGTTCTTACAGGGATCATCAGAGAGAGACAAGCAAGGGGTACTAGGGACCTGTTCTTCCAGGGATCATCACAGAGAGACAAGCAAGGGGTACCGGGACCTGTTTTCTTCCAGGGATCATCAGAGAGACAAACAATGGGTACTGGAGACCTGTTCTTCCAGGGATCACCAGAGAGACAAGCGATGGGTACTGGGGACCTGTTCTTCCAGGGATCATCACAGAGAGACATGCAATGGGTACTGGGGACCTGTTCTTCCAGGGATCATCAGAGAGACTAACAATGGGTACTGGGGACCTGTTCTTCCAGGGGTCATCACAGAGAGACAAGCAATGGGTACTGGGGACCTGTTCTTCCAGGGATCATCACAGAGACAAGCAATGGGTACTGGGGACCTGTTCTTCCAGGGATCATCACAGAGAGACAAGCAATGGGTACTGGGGACCTGTTCTTCCAGGGATCATCACAGAGAGACAAGCAATGGGTACTTGGGACCTGTTCTTCCAGGGATCATCACAGAGAGACAAGCAATGGGTACTGGGGACCTGTTCTTCCAGGGATCATCACAGAGAGACAAGCAATGTGTACTGGGGACCTGTTCTTACAGGGATCATCACAGAGAGACAAGCAATGGGTACTGGGGACCTGTTCTTCCAGGGATCATCAGAGAGACAAGCAATGTGTACTGGGGACCTGTTCTTCCAGGGATCATCACAGAGAGACAAGCAATGGGTACTGGGGACCTGTTCTTCCAGGGATCATCAGAGAGACAAGCAATGGGTACTGGGGACCTGTTCTTCCAGGGATCATCACAGAGAGACAAGCAATGGGTACTGGGGACCTGTTCTTCCAGGGATCATCACAGAGAGACAAGCAATGGGTACTGGGGACCTGTTCTTACAGGGATCATCACAGAGAGACAAGCAATAGGTACTGGGGACCTGTTCTTCCAGGGATCATCAGAGAGACAAGCAATGGGTACTGGGGACCTGTTCTTCCAGGGATCATCACAGAGACAAGCAATGGGTACTGGGGACCTAATCTTCCAGGGAACATCAGAGAGAGACAAGCAATGGGTACTGGGGACCTGTTCTTCCAGGGATTTTCACAGAGAGACAAGCAATGGGTACTGGGGACCTGTTCTTCCAGGGATCATCACAGAGAGACAAGCAATGGGTACTGGGGACCTGTTCTTCCAGGGATCATCACAGAGAGACAAGCAATGGGTACTTGGGACCTGTTCTTCCAGGGATCATCACAGAGAGACAAGCAATGGGTACTGGGGACCTGTTCTTCCAGGGATCATCACAGAGAGACAAGCAATGGGTACTGGGGACCTGTTCTTACAGGGATCATCACAGAGAGACAAGCAATGGGTACTGGGGACCTGTTCTTCCAGGGATCATCAGAGAGACAAGCAATGTGTACTGGGGACCTGTTCTTCCAGGGATCATCACAGAGAGACAAGCAATGGGTACTGGGGACCTGTTCTTCCAGGGATCATCAGAGAGACAAGCAATGGGTACTGGGGACCTGTTCTTCCAGGGATCATCACAGAGAGACAAGCAATGGGTACTGGGGACCTGTTCTTCCAGGGATCATCACAGAGAGACAAGCAATGGGTACTGGGGACCTGTTCTTACAGGGATCATCACAGAGAGACAAGCAATAGGTACTGGGGACCTGTTCTTCCAGGGATCATCAGAGAGACAAGCAATGGGTACTGGGGACCTGTTCTTCCAGGGATCATCACAGAGACAAGCAATGGGTACTGGGGACCTAATCTTCCAGGGAACATCAGAGAGAGACAAGCAATGGGTACTGGGGACCTGTTCTTCCAGGGATTTTCACAGAGAGACAAGCAATGGGTACTGGGGACCTGTTCTTCCAGGGATCATCACAGAGAGACAAGCAATGGGTACTGGGGACCTGTTCTTCCAGGGATCATCACAGAGAGACAAGCAATGGGTACTGGGGACCTGTTCTTACAGGGATCATCACAGAGAGACAAGCAATGGGTACTGGGGACCTGTTCTTACAGGAATCATCACAGAGAGACAAGCAATGGGTACTGGGGACCTGTTCTTACAGGGATCATCACAGAGAGACAAGCAATGGGTACTGGGGACCTGTTCTTACAGGGATCATCACAGAGAGACAAGCAATGGGTACTGGGGACCTGTTCTTCCAGGGATCATCACAGAGAGACAAGCAATGGGTACTGGGGACCTGTTCTTCCAGGGATCATCACAGAGAGACAAGCAATGGGTACTGGGGACCTGTTCTTACAGGGATCATCACAGAGAGACAAGCAATGGGTACTGGGGACCTGTTCTTCCTGGGATCATCACAGAGAGACTAACAATGGGTACTGGGGACCTGTTCTTCCAGGGATCATCACAGAGAGACAAGCAATGGGTACTGGGGACCTGTTCTTCCAGGGATCATCAGGGGGACAAGCAATGGGTACTGGGGACCTGTTCTTCCTGGGAACATCAGAGAGAGACAAGCAATGGGTACTGGGGACCTGTTCTTCCAGGGATCATCACAGAGAGACAAGCAATGGGTACTGGGGACCTGTTCTTCCAGGGATCATCACAGAGAGACAAGCAATGGGTACTTGGGACCTGTTCTTCCAGGGATCATCACAGAGAGACAAGCAATGGGTACTGGGGACCTGTTCTTCCAGGGATCATCACAGAGAGACAAGCAATGGGTACTGGGGACCTGTTCTTCCAGGGATCATCAGAGAGAGACAAGCAATGGGTACTGGGGACCTGTTCTTCCAGGGATCATCACAGAGAGACAAGCAATGGGTACTGGGGACCTGTTCTTCCAGGGATCATCACAGAGAGACAAGCAATGGGTACTGGGGACCTAATCTTCCAGGGATCATCAGAGAGACAAGCAATGGGTACTGGGGACCTGTTCTTCCAGGGATCATCACAGAGAGACAAGCAATGGGTACTGGAGACCTGTTCTTCCAGGGATCATCACAGGGAGACAAGCAATGGGTACTGGGGACCTGTTCTTCCAGGGATCATCAGAGAGAGACAAGCACTGGGTACTGGGGACCTGTTCTTCCAGGGATCATCAGAGAGACAAGCAATGGGTACTGGGGACCTACAATATCACGGCAGGGAACACAAGAAATGGGCTTCACTCAGTGTACCCATCTGGGAAATCGAACCCGGGTCTTCGGCATGACGGGCGAATGCTTTAACCACAAGGCTGCCCCACCACCTTAAGACAACAAGAACATATACTATTTAAATGAGTGAGTGAGTATGGTTTTATGCAGCTTTTAGCAATATTCCAGCAAAATCACGGTGGGGAACACCAGAAATGGGCCTAACACAATGAACCCATCTGGGAATCGAACCCAGGTCTTTGGCAGGCCGTCGAATGCTTTAAACACAAGGCTACCCATCTGCTCTAAGACTACAAGAACATATACTACTCAAAAGAAGTTACATATTAGTGTAGTTAACCTGTCATGGTATGACAGATTAACTATACGTAGTAGAATGAAAGAATCGGGTGGTCCTTAACGTCTTTTGAGTGGTATTAGTGAGTGAGTGAGTATGGTTTTATGGCACTTTTAGCAATATTCCAGCAATATCATTGTACCCATGTCTGGAATCAAACCCGGGTCTTCGGCGTGATGAGAGAACTCTTGAACCACTAGGCTACCCGACCGCCCCTGAGTACTATTATGTTGCTGTATGTTTGTACTGACCACTGTTCTGGGTCAGGCCCTGTGGTGTCAGCCTCTGAATCCTCGTCCACACGGTGATGGTCGTAAACCCCCACCGCTGTCACAGGGTCTGTAAGGAAGAAGTGTTTAAAAGTGAAAGAAAAAAATCACCAAATAATTATCATTCACTTATATCAATACTGCAAGCATATCATTTATCCTCCATACTCTCCTTCAATGTTGGTGAGGTGAGGTGAGGTGAGGTGAGGTGAGGTGAGGTGAGGTGAAATGCACTTACATAGTCCTGTGCATGCACCTGTGTGTGGCCATTTGTACTAGTCTGGACTATAGCCAATTTTATAGTGCTAGCCCACTGAGATACCACGCCACAGTTTAACATGAATACCCCACTCATGATCAGTTGCAATGTACCGATGTACAAAATGTACAAAATTAAGTATCATATTTTAATGTCTATTGGTATGACGCAGCCAGTGATCAAACCTGACATTCAGCTGTCCGGGCAGACGCTCACTCCACTAGACCACAGAGGCGGTCCCCTGTTACGATTTCAAGGTATGCATGATGGTAGCCAGATTACCCTCTCCTGATGCAAAGTGAGAATATTTTAGTGTCCATGAATTACAGATTTTCAGAGTTGGTACAGATTTGTCCTCAACAAATACAAGGCTTTTTTCAAGGCACTTTCAAGGTCAAATTCAAGGCAAATAAATAACACAAAAAAGATGCGATTGTTCATTTGACGGATGATTGAATGACGTTATACTTCGTGAGCGTAAAACGTCAGCTCTCTGTTGACAAATGCAAACAACCAGTGCCAGGATGTAATATAAATTGAAGTAACTCATCCCAGATCGCAATTGCATTTGTTCTGAAGCGTCTGGGAAAAAGCGTCCGGGAACAAGTGTCATGTTCCTGGACACAGTGGTTGATTCATGGGTACACAACAGCTTCGCGGAAAGCGTAAAAGTTATGCTTAATGAGGGTAAAATGATCATGCTCTGCAAACAGTGAATTTTCATTTGGATTCTGGCGTTGATATGTGCAAGTAGTAAATGGATATCTCTCTCTCTCTAAGTTACAAAATAGTGAATTAGAATAGTTCAGAAATAGAACAGAAATAGTTGAGAGAGTTACCCATGTACATTGTTAACACACGCTAATCAAACGGCAACTTCATTTTAAGTTTCAAATCCATTTCATTTTATCTTATTACATTTTCATTGTTCATTACATTGCAAGGGGATTTCACGTTTAGTTGATTACAAGGGGATTTCACGTTTAGTTGATTACAAGGGGATTTCAAGTTTAGTTGATTACAAGGGGATTTCACGTTTAGTTGATTACAAGGGGATTTCACGTTTACTTGATTACAAGGGGATTTCACATTTAGTTGATTGCAAGGTGAGTTCATGTTTAGTTAATCTGAGTTTAGTCTTCCACTGCGAACCATCATGAATTCGGTAGAGCACTCGCAATGCAAGCAATGATCATGCAAATGAGGTAAGTAAAATCAGATAAAAACCTTAAATTACTCATATATCGTCACAACACATTTGTATTTTGTATGTAAATAGTAAAAAGGTTATTGATGTGAAGTTAGGGTGGAATCCAATGCCTTTTAAATCACGTTTATTTTCAAGGCCTTTTGACGCCAAATACTAATTTAAGGCCTTTTTAAGACAAACTTTATAACTGAAGGCCTTTTCAAGACTGTGCGCACCCGATAATCATTATTAATTAATTTTACTTGAAGCACTTGTAATAGAGAGTGAGTGAGTGAGTGATTATTCTATAACGCCTAATCAGCCATCTTGGAGCTATTCACAGTGAGATGCAATTTTAGTAAAATCTAAATATTTTTTACATTTGTATACTTATCCTGCATTACTCCGTATTGCATTTACTGCTATGTTTGACAGAGAGACGAACTGTGTGAGATCCAGCTGCTGAAGAAAGTTGTCCCAACCAGCCCAGGAGGCAGCGCCCTCTCACAGTCGGCACGTGACCCGGAAGTCATGACGTCACACAAAAAGACATAACTGCTTTAAACATAACATCTGAAACTTCGTGGGGAGGTAGCGTAGCGAAAGGGAGGGCACTTAGACTTCGTAATGCAGGATAAGTATACAAATGTAAAAAATATTTAGATTTTACTAAATTTTTTAACTTATCCTGCATTACTCCGTATTGCATCTTTATCAGACGGCTTGGCTGGTGGGCATACCTGCAGATGTGAACCATATTAAACCCTCGTCAAGGTCCGATGAATCCGCACCGCATACAAGTGATGACCGGAACATCTACGACCATTCCTGTCTTCAGGAAACAAGAGTCGATGCAAAAACGAAACGCCCGAATAGGTAACCGACATACAATGAGGCGTGTAGCCAAAATATATAACTTACCGAAGAGCGAAAGCGAAACGCAGTAGAACCCTCTAATCTGAGGTGATAAACACCAGAGAGTTCGACGGGCCCCGCTCGGGGAATCGAAGAATCAGCGGCGTCGGCGGCAAAATCTACGACCAATCCCAAGAGCGAATGCGAAACGCAGGAGAGCCCTCTAGGCTGGAGGCAAGGAACACCGGTGAGGTCGACGGGCACCGCTCAGGTACCAGAGAAGCAGCGGCGTTGGCGTCGGCGCCGGTGTCCACATCTACTACCATTCCTGTCGTCAGGAAACGAGAGTTGATGCAAAAAGTAAAACCCGGATAGGTGACAGCAATAGAATGAGTCGGGTAACCCAAAACTAAAACTGACCTAAGAGCGAATGCGGAACGCAAGAGAGCCGTCTCGTCTGGGGTGATAAACACCAGAGAGGTCGACGGGCCCCGCTCAGGGTATCGGAGAATCAGTGGCGTCGGAGATAGATGACCTGTTGGGCTACAACCAGGGACCAAAACTGTGAACGCTGGCGACAACTTTCAAGGCTACATCACTGAAGTAGTGGTTGGTGAAGGCGGTGTCCGATCGCCACGAACAGGCTTCCCTGAACGACGGGATGGAATAGTATACCGTGAAGAACCAGTGTAAATACGATCGCCCTGATCTCATTTTATTTCAGGTAATAGCCTTTGGGGGGAGGGTCCAATCCGGCGGCTCATACGCTTTAAGGATGACCGCCCGGAGCCACAGGGAAAAGTATTCCGGCTGACCAACGACAGCGACGAAGGGGAGACCGGCAGAAAAAGGTGTTTCCTAGACTTGCGGCAGTCTTTAGATCGTAGAATAACCTTCAGTGCCCTTACTGGGCATAATGACGCTCATCCTCATCCTCGGCACCCACACTGGACGAGGGGGGAGGGGACAAGGAATGATCTATCAGGCTGTCCTGGGAGTTGAGTCTTTACGCTGACGTCCCAGTACGGTCCATGATGAACGGCGCCCTGGGTACCGCATTCGAACCGGGCATGGGAGACGTCGAGGGCGTGCTGTACATGGACTCGAGCGGCAGTAGTCAAAACCAGTAGAAACACCCGTCTTCTACTTAAGGTCGTAGAAGGAAGACGAGGGGAGTGGTTCGAAGGGCGTTGAAGACCACATTCAGATCCAACGCAGGCGGTCCGAACTTGGTATTCAGGTCTTCAAGACTGAACGAGCGCAGCCAGGCCCGTAGGTCGGGAATTTTCGTCTTTCTCCGATCGTCCGGGATGGCCAGAACGGAGTAGATGGCGACCAGGTATGTGGGGGTGGTAAGCCCTTCAACCGACGGGTGCTACACAAGTACAGAAGGAACTGATCCAGAATCTGCGGTGACGCTGTCATCGGATCCTGGTGTTTGTCAGAACAAAATGCCTGGAACAAGCATCATTTATCAGCATACAGTCCCCCTGTAGATGGACGGTGGGCTGAAGCAATAGCCTTGGTCGCTCTAGCCGAATAGCCCTTGGCTTTCTGCATGTGTGTCAGGCGTGCAGACGATAACATGCGGGTATGAGGGTGTGGCAACAGACCGTGTGGTTGGACCACACAGGAATTTCCAGGGGTTTGTCTCTGGCTATGTTTCGGAGGTCGATAACCCAACTTCTGGCTGACCAATAAGGCGAGACCAAAGTCAATGGCAGGGGTCGAGTGGCCTGGATCTCTGAAGAACCGTGGGAGGGAGAACCGGAGTCGGAAAAGCGTACGCGCGTAATCCTTCTCAGGAACGATGGAAGGCTTTGACTGCCACAGCGGTCGTATCCGGCACAGGTGGAATGGAAGACGACTGCTGGCCACATTCAGATATGTGGCAAACAGATCTAGGGTTGGGGTGTCGACCGTTTGACATAGTCTGGCCCGAGGCGCCGGAGAGCGTGAGGCGTCGGAGAGCTTGAGGCGCCTGGAACGCCTAAGATGGTGATTCTCGGGGGCGCCGGTCGAGTTTGTAGCGCCGGGAGAGGGGCGAGAACTCTGGGTCCGCAAACACCACACTACGGTGACGTCGTCAGTGGACACGATCAACAGGGCGTGACCGAGAATGCACTGTCAGCAAGTGCCGTCCTGGATAAGCATTTATCTCGAGGCTGTTGCTGTGCCTATGGTGTTGATCTCTGAATCACAGGTGGTCACAATGTGGGCTGGCGTGGGCCACTAGCCACTGACAAGGTGGCAGGGGAGGTAGTCAGCAACAGGGGTCTGCGATTGCGTACCGTCGGTACGATTCGGAAAAAGGTGTGATCGCCTGCGAGCCAACCTCAAGTAGACGAAGTAAACTAGCTTCACAATCGACCGCCGGGGCATCGACGTAACCGGGTAGTAGGAAGTCGAGGCAATATGGCCATTGCACGAAGTAATGAGATCGTTTTCATCCCTGAAGCGGCGTATAAGTACTCCTGTTCTTATATCGAGGTGACGATGGAGGACGACAACACGATACGAGGCAGGTATGCAACAGGGGTCAGTGGGACGGCCGAGGGACTTTAAGTATCAAATCGACACTGTGTCCGGTAGTCAAGGCGGAAGATAGGAAGGTGTCGTAGTCGAAAAGATCAAACCGGACGAAGGAAGGCGATCTTTTCCATCCCTTGAACGCCTATAGGCGCTATCGTTCTTATAGCGAAGGGTTGATGAAACAAGGTTCCTCGTGACAGCCGTGTTGGTAGAGGAGGTCTATTGTTTCCAACATCCGTGCATGGATGGACTGCGACAGGCGCCTGGTTGAGTGGTATCACCAAGCGTACAGGTAGACATGGAAACCAATCTGTAGAAATACATGGCACCCCTTGCCATGGTAAGTTGACCTAAATCCGGTCGGAGTTGTTGACAGTCCGAGTACTTGACACGTGACATGTAAATCACTCTGCGCAGTAGCCGAGAAAACCGCCTTGGAGTCGGAACTGAGGTGCAAACTCCACACACAGACAATCCTCAATGAACTGTGTGAGAGACGATCAAGTGGTGTACCCGAGTTTTGCGATAAAACACGGAACCCCATGGGCGTCGTGTAAAACCCGGGGAGCGCCGAGGAAGAGTCTCTCTCAGGAACGCTGGCGCTAGGGTAGGGTAGAACAGCGTTGATGTCTGCGATGTCGACGAAGTAAACTCTTTGTAAGTGGATGTCGTCATCGAATCTGATACAGACGCTGTTCACATGACGCTCTGTTTCGATGGAAACCCGCAGGTCATCTCTCCGGAATCATAGCGCTTTAAACGACGGGATTATGGATAACTTCTCAGTGGGCAAGTTGAATCAGACCAACTGTCTATTGGTTGAAATGATTCCACCCAGGAAGTAGTACGATAGTCACGATCCCGAAGACCGACGGGAGAGTAGCGACAGGAGCGGCGACAGTTGTTTCACCATGCTTCTCCGTGTGACGAGTTATGAGACGGCAGCAAGAGAAGAGGGCAGTGGCGCCGGGGAGGCGATTGCCGATGGTGCCCCTTAAGCCGCAGTAGAAGATCGGATGGTCGGCTCGTTGATCTGAGCTTGATAAAGCTTGTTGATCTGAAGCTTGTTGAGCGCCGAAGACATCAGAGGATGCGGAGGCGCCGGAGCGCGGAGACATCAGAGGCGCGGAGACATCAGCGGCGCCGAGTCATCAGAGGCGCCGGTGGCACCGAGTCATCAGAGGCGCCGGGAGCGCCGAGTCATCAGCTTGTCATGAACAAGTCATGAAGCTTGTTGAGCGCCGAGACATCAGCGGCGCCGAGTCATCGGAAGCGCCGGAGGCACCAAGTCATCAGAGGCGCCGAGTCATCAGAGGCGCCGAGTCATCAGAGGCGCCGAGTCATCAGAGGCGCCGAGACATCGGAGGCACCGTGTCATCAGAGGCGCCGAGACATCGGCGGCGCCGTGTCATCAGAGGCGCCGAGACATCGGAGGCACCGTGTCATCAGAGGCGCCGAGACATCGGAGGCGCCGCGTCATCAGAGGCGCCGGAGGTGCCGGGAGCGCCGTGTCATCAGAGGCGCCGAGACATCGGAGGCGCCGGGGGCGCCGGAGACATCAGTGTTGACGGTGTTGGAGACCGTGAACGGTCGTATGTCGTGCCAGGGGAGGCAGACTCTACGTTGGGAGCGCTGGAGCCGCCGGTGGAGTAGGAGACCGTGAACGGTCGTATGTCGTGCCATGGGAGGCAGACTCTACGTTGGGAGCGCTGGAGCCGCCAGTGGAGTAGGAGACCGTGAACAGTCGTATGTCGTGCCATGGGAGGCAGACTCTACGTTGGGAGCCGCCGTGAAGCTCCGCTGAGCGCTGCTGCCGTCAACGTAGGTGGGGGTCGACGAGCACGTTGAGCGAGGTGTGTCCTGGATACTCGCATGAGCTGAAGGATCACAGCGACGAATGACTGCAACATCGGCACTGCCTTGTGAAAGTACAGGGCGTCGTACAATCACGGCAGAAAGGGGCGGCCCCGGCCAGATTTGTTCCCGCGGCAACAAGTGCAGCGAGGCAGAAAATCTGGAATTTAAGCAAAACATAACTATGTGGCAAAGCCACAAAGTGCGGGAAGCATAATGTGTGGCCAATCACAAAGTATGGGAAGCATAAAGTAACTCAAAAACAGTATATTTTATTAAAGTTTATGAGATAAACAAGTACGCTAAAAGGGAGCGAAAAGGCAAAGCCTTAAGCAAACACGTAACCATGTGGCAAAACCACAGAGTACGGGAGACATAATGTAACTCATAAACTTCGTATTATATTGAAGTTTATGAGAAGAAACAATTACGCTTAGAGGTAGCGAAAAGGCAAGGCTTTAAGCACACCAAAACAACATACATAAATGTAATGTATTACCCAAGCCAAAGAGAGAATTCAAAACGCAGATCACGACATTACGTGGCCACGTGGTGAATGGCCAAAATGGCGGGAAAGAAAACAAAATGGCGGGAACAACATTGCGCCCGTAAATTACTGTGACGTGAGCCACAGACGAGCGATAAACGTTACAATTTACGAATGGGAAGACCCTAAGGTCACGGCCCATAACAGGTAACAATGTAGCAGCATATAATGAATGTAGAAACACGCAAAATATAAAAAACAAATAATAAGCTTTAATTTCCACAAGGGATACAAAGTACGTCCGTCCGTGGAGGTGACAAAGCAGTTATGTCTTTTTGTGTGACGTCATGACTTCCGGGTCACGTGCCGACTGTGAGAGGGCGCTGCCTCCTGGGCTGGTTGGGACAACTTTCTTCAGCAGCTGGATCTCACACAGTTCGTCTCTCTGTCAAACATAGCAGTAAATGCAATATGGAGTAATGCAGGATAAGTTAAAAAATATTATGATTTCGGAATACAATCTGCAGCCTACTCACCATCATGAACAACAGGAAAGTCTGCTATCTGTTTTGGCACTTTCTGCTGAATGAACTCTGACATATGCATATTATTTCCTCTATAACTTAGGCCTGTCATGTTGGCATCGCTTTCTGAAATATTATCAAAATTCAACGTCCGAACTGCTCCATTCAAGGAATTCTGGGAAGACACATTCTGTCCAGTCACGGCCTCCATATACATTCCTTGAAACACAGTGGAATCGGTGCCATTGGAATGTCCGGTTCCATTCTGGAACTGCAGGGTATCAAACATGGCCGAGGAACCATGTACAGCTTTAACTTGACGATATCCCTGAGATTCATCGACTGGGACAGAATTGTTCACAAATGCATTTTCTGGTATCACTGTCATTTTCTGTGGTATAAGTTGATCGGCATGGTGTCCATTTATTGGCTGCATGACTCTCCCACCAGAGGGCAGCATTCTGTGACCGGCTTCAATCATTGGTTGGTGAATGAAACTCTTCCCAGACTGCATCTGGCTCAGTGCTGCCCTCTCAAACCCGGACACCCTTGCCTGGAGTCTTGCAATCTCAGACTCCTGGGGACAGGGAAAGACAAATCTTAGTCCTACATTCAAAGTCAAACAGAAATATTGAAAATGTTGTTTTTCCCATCATTCAGCAATTTCTTGATGCATCATGGTGAAATTCAGTGTATATTATCATGATTATGTGAATGATATTTCTAATACCGTATTCCACGTAATAAGCGCCCAGGGCGCTCTCAAAATTAGAAATAGGGGGCTCTTATAAGAAAATATTATTTTGGTGGAAAAAACAGAGTTGAAAGATAAATTTAGTGGTTTATGCTTACAGGCTGAACTGTTTATATACATGTACAACAGAGATATTTTTCCAGAATTTAATTGCCCATAATTAAGGGTGCATATAACACATGAGTGCGTATTATACATGAATAAATAAGTCTTGTCTACATTAATCAATCGGAATGGGTGCTTATTGGGATTGTTCACTTGCCAATATATTAGAAAATATCGCCGTGGGCGCTTATTACGTCGAATACGGTAACATGTTTTGGTTTAACTTCTTTGATAGGCATTTAGAAGTTGGAGTACTGAGTAAGGATAAGATTTTATGGATGAACAACTTCTTTATTACAATTAAGAGCGACGTTTCGGTGTAGGTTCTAACACCGTTATCAACAAGTGATATACAGAGAGTGGTTGGCAAGTATATATACTGAGTAAGGATAAGAATTTATGGATGAACAACTTCTATATATACTTGCCAACCACACTCTGTACATCACTTGGTTGATAACGGTGTTAGAACCTACACCGTAACGTCGCTCTTAATTGTAATAAAGAAGTTGTTCATCCATAAATTCTTATCCTTACTCAACATGTTTTGGTTTTGTTTTGTATGTTGCTTAACGCCACACTCAGCAATATTCCAGCTATATGACAGCGGTATGTAAATAATCGAGTCTGGACCAGACAATCCAGTGATTGACTTCATGAGCTTCGATCCACGCAATCGGGATACGATGACAACCATCAACAAGGTCAGCGAGCCTGACAACCCGTTCCCGTTAGTTGCCTCTCACGACAAGCATAGTCGCTTTTCACAGCAAGCATGGGTTGCTGAGGACCTATTCTACCTTGGATCTTCACGAGTAATGACATGTTTGTTTGTTTGTTGTTTAACGCCACACTCAGCAATATTCCATCTATATGACGGCGGCCTGTAAATAATCAAGTTTTAGGGCTGATTGAACTGACGGAACTGTTAACTTGGAAATAATATATCCTACACTACTTAACATTAATATAAATTCTAAGAATACTGCTTCTATTTCATCAATGCCATAAATCCTGTATTTCGGCTGTCATCTCACTAAAAAATATTCAGATATTCAAGAGAAGTCCTCTTCACAGTCAACTATCCATAATCAGTTGTGACACTAACTGTATCTCCACTCCAAATCCTCTTATATTTTACCTTGATTATGATGGTCTCATTAGCTGTATCTATGACCTCCTTCCTGGCAATTAGCTCGTTCTGCAGACAGTCCAGGTCGTCCTTGACCTTCTCCAGCGCCTCCTGGTGTTGCTCTTCCTGCTGCAACAGCTGTTGCCGGGCAACCGTCAGCTGACCTTCAAGCTGTGCGTAGTTTGACTGCCTCTCCTGCTGACTGTCATGGCAGCTGGCAAGCTTCAACAACAATAGATGTTTGTTAGTTTGCGTGTTGTGTAACACCACACACCGCCATATTTCAGCCATAAGATGAGGAACTAACTGATTATGCAGGAATTCAACTCGACATGCTCAGAGGCCGATGTTTGGCCCCAATTCTGGACCAAATGTCATGAAAAATTCCGAAATTGAAAGAAAAGTTTTCCAATTTATGTTAATGTATATAACTAATTGCAAACTTTATGGCCTTATAGAAATAACCTGTATTTCACTGATAACAGGACGAATAATAAGGATGAGATGAGGTGAAATGGAACGTCACGTCCAAGATTATTGCACTTATATAGCGACGTGCATGCACTCGTGTGTGTGTGAGTGTGTGTGGCTGCTTCTACTAATCCGGAGTGATCCCGATTTATAGTGCAAGCTCACTGAGATACCATGCTGCAGTGGAACATGAATACCCCACCCAACAGTATACTGACTCCGAGCCGACCAGTCCTTGTTTTAGCACCTTAATGCTGAGCGCCAGGCAGGGTAACAACATGTACCATCTCTTAACGTCTTTTAGTATGACACGGCCGGGGACTGAACCCCAACCCTCGGCTCTCCGGGCGGATGCTCTACCACCTAACCACGGAGGAGGTCATAGGTAGAAAGAGGCTGTTATGCCCAGTTATTTATCATTGCATTTAAAGCAATTTCAAAATACAATGTTAAATAGGCCTACCTCTAAATTTCAGAAAATAAAAACTTTAAAATATCCCAATTTTTAACAAAGTAACCATTTCTTCAAAATTTGCCTGCCAGGGGCACTTAGTCTAAAACCCTGGATAAATCCCTGGTATGGGCCAGGAAATCAAGTGACTGAGCCTGCTTGGCATGATACAGCTAATTGGCCAGTCACAATCTTGTAACAGTAAATGCAGATCTGACCAGTTCATTTTATGTTATTTGTTGGTTTGTCATTGTGAGGAATTGTCAAAATTGTGATTCTGCAGTATTCCAGCTATATGACAGCAGACTGTAAGTGTCTGAGTCTGGACCAGACATACCAGTGGTTGATATTATGAGCAGCGACCCACGCCATCAGGACACAATGCCAAGCAATGAACAACTTGGCAGACTGGCGATTGAGTTGTTTTACACTCAACAATATTCCAGCAATATTCCAGCTATTTCCTGGCCAGGCACAACCCACGTGTACAGAGCACCATGACACACAATCAGCCAGGTCACTCACTCCCACCACTCTCTCCTCCTTCTCGGGCACGTACAACAAGCTTAGGTGACTGGTTACCCATTATGTCCAAGAATTCTAAAGCAGAATCACAATTTGAGGCAAAACGCAGGAGAAACAAAACAAAAACTGATTGGAACACAGGAGTGAGTGAGTGAGTGAGTGAGTGAGTGAGTGAGTGAGTGAGTGAGTGAGTGAGTGAGTGAGTGAGTGAGTGAGTGAGTGAGTGAGCGAGTGAGTATGGCTTTACACCACTTTTTTACAGCAATATTCCAGCAATATCACGGCAGGGGACACCAGAAATGGGCTTCACACACTGCACCCATGTCAGGAATCGAACCCAGGTCTTCGGCATGACAAGCGAATGCTTTAACCACTAGGCTACCTGACCGCCCCTTGGAACACTGAAGACAAAGCTGCCTACCTCTTCTTGATGCTTTTGTTGTAAAGCATCAATCTCCTCCTTCAGTGACTCGACTTCAGACATCAACCGAGCCTCTGTTTGAGTTTCCCGACCTTCACATTCCTTCATCTTCTCCTCCAGGCGCGTGACCTCAGAGTCTCTGTTGTGGGCAAGCAGGACAGCCTCCTCCAACTCCCGTGCAAGTCGATCCTGTTCTCGGTGTGACTGTGCCAGCTCCCGCCTCGTCTCCATAAACTCCCCGTGTTGCTGCTGCAGCTGTTCCCTGTCATACAGTGAGTGAGTTGGGTTTAACACAGCTGTTCCCTGTCATACAGTGAGTGAGTTGGGTTTAACACAGCTGTTCCCTGTCATACAGTGAGTGAGTTGGGTTTAACACAGCTGTTCCCTGTTATACAGTGAGTGAGTTGGGTTTAACACAGCTGTTCCCTGTCATACAGTCAGTGAGTTGGGTTTAACACAGCTGTTCCCTGTTATACTGTGAGTGAGTTGGGTTTAACACAGCTGTTCCCTGTCATACAGTGAGTTGGGTTTAACACAGCTGTTCCCTGTCATACAGTGAGTGAGTTGGGTTTAACACAGCTGTTCCCTGTTATACTGTGAGTTGGGTTTAACACAGGTGTTCCCTGTCATACAGTGAGTGAGTTGGGTTTAACACAGCTGTTCCCTGTCATACAGTGAGTGAGTTTGGTTTAACACAGCTGTTCCCTGTTATACTGTGAGTTGGGTTTAACACAGGTGTTCCCTGTCATACAGTGAGTGAGTTGGGTTTAACACAGCTGTTCCCTGTCATACAGTGAGTGAGTTGGGTTTATAACACAGCTGTTCCCTGTCACACAGTGAGTGGGTTGGGTTTAACACAGCTGTTCCCTGTCATACAGTGAGTGAGTTGGGTTTAACACAGCTGTTCCCTGTCATACAGTGAGTTGGGTTTAACACAGCTGTTCACTGTTATACAGTGAGTGAGATGGGTTTAACACAGTTGTTCCCTGTCATACAGTGAGTGAGTTGGGTTTAACACAGCTGTTCCCTGTCATACAGTGAGTGAGTTGGGTTTAACACAGCTGTTCCCAGTCATACAGTGAGTGAGTTGGGTTTATAACACAGCTGTTCCCTGTCATACAGTGAGTGAGTTGGGTTTACAGCCGGTGTTCCCTGTCATACAGTGAGTGAGTTGGGTTTACAGCCGCTGTTCCCTGTTATACTGTGAGTCAGTTGGGTTTCACACAACTTTCAAAATATTTCAGTACAGCAATTCATCTGGTTCTATCTATTTATGTCCTCACTGGATTTCTCAGTACTTTTGGCCATCCAAAGCATGAACATGTGAGTCCCAGGCTGGCAATATGTGGCATGCTTCACTAGATTGCCAAAATTTTAATTGATGTCAGAATTATTCTATGACGTGTATGTGTGTGTAATGACGTGTATGTGTGTATGTAGTAGTCCTACCTGGTCAGTCTAAGTTCCTGTGTGATCTCCACATTCTCCTCCTTCTGATCCTCCAGGCGGTGCTGCTGCCTCTCCGTCACCTGACACATGAACATTCTGTCATAACATAGGCAACTACTGAAACATTCTGTCGAACATTCCGTCACAACATAGATAACTACTGAAACATTCCGTCACAACAAAGATAACCACTGAAACATTCCGTCGAACATTCAGTCACAACATAGATAACTACTGAAACATTCCGTCGAACATTCCGTCATAACATAGCCAAGTATTAAACATTCCGTCATAACATAGCCAACTACTGAAACATTCCGTCGAACATTCCGTCATAACATAGCCAACTACTGAAACATTCCGTCGAACATTCCGTCATAACATAGCCAAATACTGAAACATTCTGTCATAACATAGCCAACTACTGAAACATTCTGTCATAACATAGCCAACTACTGAAACATTCCATTGAATATTCCGTCATAACATAGCCAACTACTGAAACATTCCGTCAAACATTCTGTCACAACATAGCCAACTACTGAAACATTCAGTCGAACATTCCGTCACAACATAGGCAACTACTAAATATCTGTTAAACATTCCATCACAACAGAGCCAACTACTGAAACATTCCATCGCAACATAGACAACTACTAAATATCTGTTAAACATTCCATCACAACATAGGCAACTACTGAAACATTCCATCGAACATTCCGTCACAACATAGGCAACTACTGAAACATTCCGTCACATCATCGGCAACTACTGAAACTTTCCGTCACCTGACACATGAACATTCTGTTTCAGTAAACTAGGATAGGTAAATCAGCTGCACCTTCTGCAGTTCCTGCAGCTTGGCCGTGGCGGCGTGCAGCTCCATGGTGTGTCGCTGCAGCAGCTGCTCTGACTGCTGGAACTGCAACGTCTTCTCCCGCAGCTGCGACTGACTCTGCTGCAGAGTGTCGTCCAGGTTGGCAATCTGAAACACCATGGATACGTCACCTCCAGCACAATACTACATCCCTCACTGTGCTGTAACAGTGAGTCTTCACTTTACTTGCTTTGTTTGTTACTGAAACGTCGCCTTTACAGTAAATAAAGAAGTTGTTATCCATAAATTATCTCTACTTTTCAACAAGTCTGCTACGTACCTGCCGCGTCCTCTCCTGGATCTCGGTCTGATATTTCTGTAGCGTCCCATCCAGCTTCTGCATCCTCTGTTCCATCTCCGAGTGCGTCTCCTTGATCGTTTGGTCCAATTTCGTCACCTGTGTGAAAATTCAACAGTTATATAACGTTTTTGAACATTTTTAAAAGAAGGTCCCAGTAAAGAAATAATCCGTTGTTGATCCAGTCCATATTTCCAACTGTTGTCAAAATGTTATGATGCACTGGGCACTGTCTGTCCAGCTGTGATGGGTATTGGGCTGACTTTCGTGTTGCAATTCATTGCAATAATGATTCATGTATTGTGATGCTTCTACAATATGTTTTATGTGTTCTTTCATCTGTGGCTATGAACATTTCTTGCACACCCCTCCCTCCGACCCCTCCCCTCCCCCCCCCCATTTCACAAAAGCGTCACAGTTTCAAAGAGTTTACCCACTGCGATGTCATTTGAACCTTTACTTGTGGAACTCTCTCACTGAATGCAGCTCGACACCTACCTGTTCATCCCTTACATTAAACGTTGCCCGACACCTACCTGTTCATCCCTTACATTAAACGTTGCCCGACACCTACCTGTGTACCCTTTCCCTTACATTAAACGTTGCCCGACACCTACCTGTTCACCCCTTACATTAAACATTGCCCGACACCTACCAGTTCACCCCTTACATTAAACGTTGCCCGACACCTACCTGTGTACCCCTTACATTAAACGATGCCCGACACCTACCTGTTCATCCCTTACATTAAACGTTGCCCGACACCTACCTGTGTACCCTTTCCCTTACATTAAACGTTGCCCGACACCTACCTGTTCACCCCTTACATTAAACATTGCCCGACACCTACCAGTTCACCCCTTACATTAAACGTTGCCCGACACCTACCTGTGTACCCCTTACATTAAACGTTGCCCGACACCTACCTGTTCACCCCTTACATTAAACGATGCCAGACACCTACCTGTTCACCCCTTACATTAAACGATGCCAGACACCTACCTGTTCACCACTTACATTAAACGTTGCCAGACACCTACCTGTTCACCCCTTACATTAAACGTTGCCCGACACCTACCTGTGTACCCCTTACATTAAACGTTGCCCGACACCTACCTGTTCACCCCTTACATTAAACGTTGCCAGACACCTACCTGTTCACCCCTTACATTAAACGATGCCAGACACCTACCTGTTCACCCCTTACATTAAACGATGCCCGACACCTACCTGTTCACCCCTTACATTAAACGTTGCCAGACACCTACCTGTTCACCCCTTACATTAAACGATGCCAGACACCTACCTGTGTACCCCTTACATTAAACGTTGCCTGACACCTACCTGTTCACCCCTTACATTAAACGTTGCCAGACACCTACCTGTGTACCCCTTACATTAAACGATGCCAGACACCTACCTGTGTACCCCTTACATTAAACGTTGCCTGACACCTACCTGTTCACCCCTTACATTAAACGTTGCCTGACACCTACCTGTTCACCCCTTACATTAAACGTTGCCCGACACCTACCTGTGTACCCCTTACATTAAACGTTGCCAGACACCTACCTGTGTACCCCTTACATTAAACGATGCCAGACACCTACCTGTGTACCCCTTACATTAAACGATGCCCGACACCTACCTGTTCACCCCTTACATTAAACGTTGCCCGACACCTACCTGTGTACCCCTTACATTAAACGATGCCAGACACCTACCTGTGTACCCCTTACATTAAACGATGCCAGACACCTACCTGTTCACCCCTTACATTAAACGATGCCAGACACCTACCTGTGTACCCCTTACATTAAACGATGCCCGACACCTACCTGTTCACCCCTTACATTAAACGTTGCCCGACACCTACCTGTGTACCCCTTACATTAAACGATGCCAGACACCTACCTGTGTACCCCTTACATTAAACGATGCCCGACACCTACCTGTTCACCCCTTACATTAAACGATGCCAGACACCTACCTGTGTACCCCTTACATTAAACGATGCCCGACACCTACCTGTTCACCCCTTACATTAAACGTTGCCCGACACCTACCTGTGTACCCCTTACATTAAACGTTGCCAGACACCTACCTGTTCACCCCTTACATTAAACGTTGCCAGACACCTACCTGTTCACCCCTTACATTAAACGTTGCCAGACACCTACCTGTTCATCCCTTACATTAAACTTTGCTCGACACCTACCTGTTCACCCCTTACATTAAACGTTGCTCGACACCTACCTGTGTACCCCTTCCCTTACATTAAACTTTGCCCGACACCTACCTGTGTACCCCTTACATTAAACGTTGCCCGACACCTACCTGTGTACCCCTTACATTAAACGATGCCAGACACCTACCTGTGTACCCCTTCCCTTACATTAAAAGATGCCAGACACCTACCTGTTCACCCCTTACATTAAATGTTGCCCGACACCTACCTGTTCACCCCTTACATTAAACGTTGCCCGACACCTACCTGTTCACCCCTTACATTAAACGTTGCCCGACACCTACCTGTGTACCACTTCCCTTACATTAAACGTTGCCCAACACCTACCTGTTCAACCCTTACATTAAACGTTGCCCGACACCTACCTGTGTACCACTTCCCTTACATTAAACGCTGCCCGACACGTACCTGTGTACCCCTTCCCTTACATTAAACGTTGCCCAACACCTACCTGTGTACCCCTTCCCTAACAATAAACGTTGCCAGACACCTACCTGTGTACCCCTTCCCTTACATTAAACGTTGCCTGACACCTACCTGTGTACCCCTTCCCTAACAATAAACGTTGCCAGACACCTACCTGTGTACCCCTTCCCTTACATTAAACGTTGCCTGACACCTACCTATTCACCCCTTACATTAAACGTTGCCCGACACCTACCTGTGCGACACTCACATTAAACGATGCCAGACACCTACCTGTGTACCCCTTCCCTAACAATAAACGTTGCCAGACACCTACCTGTCCACCCCTCACATTAAACGTTGCCCGACACCTACCTGTGTACCACTTCCCTTACATTAAACGCTGCCCGACACGTACCTGTGTACCCCTTCCCTTACATTAAACGTTGCCCGACACCTACCTGTGTACCCCTTCCCTAACAATAAACGTTGCCAGACACCTACCTGTGTACCCCTTCCCTTACATTAAACGTTGCCTGACACCTACCTGTGTACCCCTTCCCTAACAATAAACGTTGCCAGACACCTACCTGTGTACCCCTTCCCTTACATTAAACGTTGCCTGACACCTACCTATTCACCCCTTACATTAAACGTTGCCCGACACCTACCTGTGCGACACTCACATTAAACGATGCCAGACACCTACCTGTGTACCCCTTCCCTAACAATAAACGTTGCCAGACACCTACCTGTGTACCCCTTCCCTTACATTAAACGTTGCCCGACACCTACCTGTGTACCCCTTCCCTAACAATAAACGTCGCCAGACACCTACCTGTGTACCCCTATCCTTACATTAAACGTTGCCCGACACCTACCTATTCACCCCTTACATTAAACGTTGCCCGACACCTACCTGTGCGACACTCACATTAAACGTTGCCCGACACCTACCTGTTCATCCCTCACATTAAACTTTACCCGACACCTACCTGTGTACCTCTTATATTAAACGTTGCCCGACACCTACCTGTGTACCCCTTACATTAAACGTTGCCCGACACCTACCTGTGTACCCCTTACATTAAACTTTGCCCGACACCCACCTGTGTACCCCTCACATTAAACGTTGCCCGACACCTACCTGTGCAACCCTTACATTAAACGTTGCCCGACACCTACCTGTGCGACCCTTACATTAAACGTTGCCCGACACCTACCTGTGTACCCCTTACATTAAACGTTGCCCGACACCTACCTGTGTACCCCTTACATTAAACGTTGCCCGACACCCACCTGTGTACCCCTCACATTAAACGTTGCCCGACACCTACCTGTGCAACCCTTACATGAAACGTTGCCCGACACCTACCTGTGCGACCCTTACATTAAACGTTGCCCGACACCTACCTGTGTACCCCTTACATTAAACGTTGCCCGACACCTACCTGTGCGACCTTACATTAAACGTTGCCCGACACCTACCTGTGTACCCCTTACATTAAACGTTGCCCGACACCTACCTGTGTACCCCTTACATTAAACGATGCCAGACACCTACCTGTGTACCCCTTACATTAAACGATGCCAGACACCTACCTGTGTACCCCTTACATTAAACGATGCCAGACACCTACCTGTGTACCCCTTCCCTTACATTAAACGCTGCCCGACACGTACCTGTGTACCACTTCCCTTACATTAAACGCTGCCCGACACGTACCTGTGTACCACTTCCCTTACATTAAACGTTGCCAGACACCTACCTGTGTACCCCTTCCCTAACAATAAACGTTGCCAGACACCTACCTGTGTACCACTTCCCTTACATTAAACGTTGCCCAACACCTACCTGTGTACCCCTTCCCTTACATTAAACGTTGCCCGACACCTACCTGTTCACCCCTTCCCTTACATTAAACGTTGCCCGACACCTACCTGTGTACCCCTTCCCTTACATTAAACGCTGCCCGACACCTACCTGTGTACCACTTCCCTTACATTAAACGCTGCCCGACACGTACCTGTGTACCACTTCCCTTACATTAAACGTTGCCAGACACCTACCTGTGTACCCCTTCCCTAACAATAAACGTTGCCAGACACCTACCTGTGTACCACTTCCCTTACATTAAACGTTGCCCAACACCTACCTGTGTACCCCTTCCCTTACATTAAACGTTGCCCGACACCTACCTGTGTACCCCTTCCCTTACATTAAACGTTGCCCGACACCTACCTGTGTACCCCTTCCCTTACATTAAACGCTGCCCGACACCTACCTGTGTACCACTTCCCTTACATTAAACGTTGCCCAACACCTACCTGTGTACCACTTACATTACATTAAACGTTGCCCGACACCTACCTGTGTACCCCTTCCCTTACATTAAACGTTGCCCGACACCTACCTGTTCACCCCTTCCCTTACATTAAACGTTGCCCGACATCTACCTGTTCACCCCTTCCCTTACATTAAACGTTGCCCGACACCTACCTGTTCACCCCTTCCCTTACATTAAACGTTGCCCGACACCTACCTGTTCACCCCTTACATTCAACGTTGCCCAACACCTATCTGTGTACCCCTTACATTAAACGTTGCCCGACACCTACCTGTTCACCCCTCACATTAAATGTTGCCCGACACCTACCTGTTCACCCCTCACATTAAACGTTGCCCGACACCTACCTGTTCACCCCTCACATTAAACGTTGCCTGACACCTACCTCTCACCCCTCACATTAAACGTTGCCTGACACCTACCTGTTCACCCCTAACATTAAACGGTGCCCGACACCTACCTGTGTACCCCTTACATTAAACTTTGCCTGACACCTACCTGTGTACCCCTGACATTAAACTTTGCCCGACACCTACCTGTGTACCCCTTACATTAAACTTTGCCCGACACCTACCTCTCACCCCTTACATGAAACGTTGCCTGACACCTACCTGTGTACCCCTTACATTAAACGGTGCCCGACACCTACCTGTGTACCCCTTACATTAAACTTTGCCCGACACCTACCTGTGTACCCCTTACATTAAACTTTGCCCGACACCTACCTGTTCACCCCACACATTAAACATTGCCCGACACCTACCTGTGTACCCCTTACATTAAACTTTGCCTGACACCTACCTGTGTACCCCTTACATTAAACTTTGCCCGACACCTACCTGTTCACCCCTCACATTAAACGTTGCCCGACACCTACCTGTTCACCCCTCACATTAAATGTTGCCCGACACCTACCTGTTCACCCCTCACATTAAACGTTGCCCGACACCTACCTGTTCACCCCTCACATTAAACGTTGCCTGACACCTACCTCTCACCCCTCACATTAAACGTTGCCTGACACCTACCTGTTCACCCCTAACATTAAACGGTGCCCGACACCTACCTGTGTACCCCTTACATTAAACTTTGCCTGACACCTACCTGTGTACCCCTGACATTAAACTTTGCCCGACACCTACCTGTGTACCCCTTACATTAAACTTTGCCCGACACCTACCTGTTCACCCCTCACATTAAACATTGCCCGACACCTACCTGTGTACCCCTTACATTAAACTTTGCCTGACACCTACCTGTGTACCCCTTACATTAAACTTTGCCCGACACCTACCTGTTCACCCCTCACATTAAACGTTGCCCGACACCTACCTGTTCACCCCTTCCCTTACATTAAACGTTGCCCGACACCTACCTGTTCACCCCTTCCCTTACATTAAACGTTGCCCGACACCTACCTGTGTACCCCTTCCCTAACAATAAACATTGCCAGACACCTACCTGTGTACCCCTTCCCTTTCATTAAACATTGCCCAACACCTACCTGTGTACCCCTTACATTAAATGTTGCCCAACACCTACCTGTGTACCCCTTACATTAAACTTTCCCTGACACCTACCTCTTAACCCCTAACATTAAACGTTGCCCGACACCTACCTGTTCACCCCTCACATTAAACGTTGCCCAACACCTACCTGTTCACCCCTCACATTAAACGTTGCCTGACACCTACCTGTTCACCCCTCACTTTAAACATTTCCGACACCTACCTGTGCGACCCTCTCGCTGAGCTCCATCTGTCTGGTGTCAAGTGATTCCTTCATCTCTTCATTCTCCTCCCTCATCATCCCCAACTCCTCCTGGGTCTTCCTGACACAAAACACACACATCACCCACAATTCATCTGTCTGCCATCACTTATATACTTTAACCAATAGATAAGCAACAGCATAGTATGAACTGTACAATTTAGAAGACTCAGCACTGATGAAACACATTGCAAGTGATTCCATGGCATTTGATTGGCTAACCAAACAATTGTTTTAGCATGTTTTTTCCATAAACAAAAAAAAAAGATAATGCCATGCCTACTAATGAACTACTGTTTCCTGATTGGCTAAATAGAATGGGCGGGCCTTGTGTTGCATTATTGCGCTAAACACGTCACTGATTTCGTACTGTTATCTTCAGGTTTTATGCTAATGACTGAACAGGTAGTTTGTGAAGTTATAATTGTTGGCTTATTCAAAAGAATTGACTAAAAATACGTTTCAGTGTCAATGGAAGTATAAATGTGAAAAAATGGTGTTCACACTTTGAGTAAAGGTGATGTCAACACTTACTTCAGGGCATCCCGGAGGTCCTCCAACATGTCATCCTTGGCCTTGACCTCAAACTTTGACCTTTGGAGCTGGTCATCCAGTTTGCACATCTCAGCTTTGTTCTCCTTCAGAGATCCCTGCACAAACAACATAATCTAGTATTTCTTCAGAGATCCCTGCACAAACAACACAATCTAGTATTCCTTCAGAGATCCCTGCCCAAACAACATAATCTAGCATTCCTTCAGAGACCCCTGCACAAACACCACAATCAAGTATTCCTTCAGAGATCCCTGCACAAACACCACAATCACGTATTCCTTCAGAGATCCCTGCACAAACACCATAATCACGTATTCCTTCAGAGATCCCTGCACAAACACCACAATCTAGTATTCCTTCAGAGATCCCTGCATAAACAACACAATCTAGTATTCCTTCAGAGATCCCTGCACAAACACCACAATCAAGTATTCCTTCAGAGATCCCTGCATAAACAACACAATCTAGTATTCCTTCAGAGATCCCTGCATAAACAACACAATCTAGTATTCCTTCAGAGATCCCTGCATAAACAACACAATCTAGTATTCCTTCAGAGATCCCTGCACAAACACCACAATCTAGTATTCCTTCAGAGATCCCTGCACAGACAACACAATCTAGTAGTCCTTCAGAGATCCCTGCACAAACAACACAATCACGTATTCCTTCAGAGATCCCTGCACAAACACCACAATCTAGTAGTCCTTCAGAGATCCCTGCACAAACAACACGATCACGTATTCCTTCAGAGATCCCTGCACAAACACCACAATGTAGTATTCCTTCAGAGATCCCTGCACAAACAACACAATCACGTATTCCTTCAGAGATCCCTGCACAAACACCACAATCTAGTAGTCCTTCAGAGATCCCTGCACAAACAACACGATCACGTATTCCTTCAGAGATCCCTGCACAAACACCACAATCTAGTATTCCTTCAGAGATCCCTGCATAAACAACACAATCTAGTATTCCTTCAGAGATCCCTGCACAAACACCACAATCAAGTATTCCTTCAGAGATCCCTGCATAAACAACACAATCTAGTATTCCTTCAGAGATCCCTGCATAAACAACACAATCTAGTATTCCTTCAGAGATCCCTGCATAAACAACACAATCTAGTATTCCTTCAGAGATCCCTGCACAAACACCACAATCTAGTATTCCTTCAGAGATCCCTGCACAGACAACACAATCTAGTAGTCCTTCAGAGATCCCTGCACAAACAACACAATCACGTATTCCTTCAGAGATCCCTGCACAAACACCACAATCTAGTAGTCCTTCAGAGATCCCTGCACAAACAACACGATCACGTATTCCTTCAGAGATCCCTGCACAAACACCACAATGTAGTATTCCTTCAGAGATCCCTGCACAAACAACACAATCTAGTAAACCTTCAGAGATCCCTGCACAAACAACACAATCACGTATTCCTTCAGAGATCCCTGCACAAACACCACAATCTAGTAGTCCTTCAGAGATCCCTGCACAAACAACACAATCACGTATTCCTTCAGAGATCCCTGCACAAACACCACAATGTAGTATTCCTTCAGAGATCCCTGCACAAACAACACAATCTAGTAGTCCTTCAGAGATCCCTGCACAAACAACACAATCACGTATTCCTTCAGAGATCCCTGCACAAACACCACAATCTAGTAGTCCTTCAGAGATCCCTGCACAAACAACACGATCAAGTATTCCTTCAGAGATCCCTGCACAAACACCACAATGTAGTATTCCTTCAGAGATCCCTGCACAAACAACACAATCTAGTAATCCTTCAGAGATCCCTGCACAAACACCACAATCTAGTATTCCTTCAGAGATCCCTGCATAAACAACACAATCTAGTATTCCTTCAGAGATCCCTGCACAAACAACACGATCACGTATTCCTTCAGAGATCCCTGCACAAACACCACAATCTAGTAATCCTTCAGAGATCACTGCACAAACAACACAATGTAGTATTCCTTCAGAGACCCCTGCACAAACACCACAATCTAGTATTCCTTCAGAGACCCCTGCACAAACACCACAATGTAGTTTTCCTTCAGAGATCCCTGCACAAACACCACAATCTAGTTTTCCTTCAGAGATCCCTGCATAAACACCACAATCTAGTATTCCTTCAGCTCCTCGATCAGCTCTTGTGACAAGCATGGTGTGGGGACTATTCTGCCTTAAAAGATGGGACAAGCAGCTCCTCCATCAGCTCTTGTGACAAGCATGGTGTGGGGACTATTCTGCCTTAAAAGATGGGACAAGCAGCTCCTCCATCAGCTCTTGTGACAAGCATGGTGTGGGGACTATTCTGCCCTTGAAGATGTGACAAGCAGCTCCTCCATCAGCTCTTGTGACAAGCATGGTGTGGGGACTATTCTGCCCTAAAAGATGGGACAAGCAGCTCCTCCATCAGCTCTTGTGACAAGCATGGTGCGGGGACTATTCTGCCTTAAAAGATGTGACCGTACCTTAAAGCTGTTGATCTCTTCCTCCAGTTCCGTCACAAGCTGCATCTGCTGCTGGGCATCCTCCGACCTGCTGGCCATCTGGTCTTCCATGTCCGCCACTGAACATACAACACCAAACACCTTACACACACACAGCAATACAGGCAGCATCCTACAGCAGACAGATCCCAGTATAGGAACACCAACACTGGAGGCTTTTTACAAACAATAAACAAATATGGGATTTCATACAAAATATTGTTGGCAACTATCACAAACAGGTATTTTTAATAGCATTCATATGAATCTATCTGCAGTTTCATATATTGCCCTACATACAGAAGGGACACACAAATAACATCGGCCCAAGTGGTCTGTAAAGGTACAACAGGGGGATCATGGTTTCTATTTTAACGCCACAGTCTGGAGTATTTCAGCTGTATCAAGGCTGACTGTAAATAATCAAATCTGGGCCCAATGGTGACTGATGCTATGAGCAATGTCCAACATTCGTCTGTCTCCCAGACTCAAGAGAATAAACGAAAAAATGATCCAACTCAAGTCTAGAATGATTTGGCAAGTCTAGATTGCCTCAGCAATAGGAAAGTAAGCATTGTTTGGGGTTCCATTTGGTTTTTATTTTGTAGATAATTATTTTCAAAAAAGGTAACTTTATTTCAGGGACTACACGTAAGTGATTGTGGAATAAACACGCTGAATGTGAAGCAAACATAAGCCTAGTTAGTTACAACATAGTTAATTGGCGATTAAATTACTCACCATTGTCTCTTATATGTTATTACTTCATAAATGAATTTTATTTTACGGGCACCAATTTGGTGTCGTACCGTGTAAACACAAAATGGCGACGTGTGCTGGAGTTACACATGCGACCAATCATTGTAGAAAAAAACAACGCAAGATAAACATATTTTTATTGCATATATAAGGTTTGTGTGCGCACTTGTGATGTGCTTCATTCCAGGTCGTTTTATACACGGAGTATAGGATTTTGGGTTGATTTTGAAGGCGTGTACAGGGGGGTCGTCTTTTACGTGGGGTCGCCTTATACACAGCGATATATGGTAGTTGAGTCCAACATGTCAGTTACAATTACACACAAGCCTGACACCTGATCCATAGTAGTAGTCTCTTATTACAAGCACAGGCTACTGGGGATCAGTGCTACCGTAGCGGAGTGCTTGGAGTTGTTGAGGTGTACGAGAGGTACCTCTGAAAGATAGTGGGGGGGACGGGTGGCCCAGTTGTCTGAGGCGCCGCAATTCGCTGTACAGAGTTGCATCCCTTGGGCATGCCAGAAACCTATGATTGTGGGTTCGAATCACAGTTCGCCCTGATTATGTTTCTAGGTTTGTAAACATCACTTCGGGCTTTCCTCCCACATAAAGCTGACACGCCGCGATATTACTGGAATACAGTTAAAAGTGGCGTTAAACCCAACTCACTCACTCACTCACTCTGACTGATGGGGCATCATACCTATCTCCATCTTCTGCTCCAGCTGCACCCTCAGATCGCGGTTGTCCTTCTCCAGCCTGGCATTTCGCGTTATTGTCTGTTCACTCTCAGTCTGTTCCTCTTGTAGCTGGCGCTCCAGGGACGACAGATCACTAGTCAGGTGGCGATTCTCTTCTTTCAACTCCCTACAGTGATGTAACAATATGGAAGATCATTATGTGAGGTGAGGTGAAATTGGGTTTAACGTCGCGCGCGCGTGCGTGCGTCTGTCTGCTTGTACTACTCCGGACTGATCCCGATTTATACTGCTAGCCCACTGACATACCATGCCGCAGTTTAACATGAATACCCCACTCAGACACAGTATACTGACTCCAAGCCGACCAGTCCTTGTTTTAGCCCCTTAATGCCCCTTAAACAACAAGTACCATCTTTTAACGTCTTCCGCTCTCCGGGCGGTCTGAAGATCATTATGACATCAACTGCACACACTGAGGCCCTGTTAATCCAGATGGTAGTGTTCTAATTGAAACTGTCCGGATAAACAATTTCCTTGATTTAGAACTAGTGTCTCTTTGTACAGGCGTTTCCAGAAGTAACGGTTCGGAAGGTTTCTGGATTTACAGGATCTGGACAACTTTTTAAAAAAAAATGGTCAGGGGTGAGGGTGGATACTGGGATTTTTAGAAAGAATATTTTTTAGGGTTGAGGTCGTACTGACTTACGCCTACTGACCTGAGAGACTGTGTGAGATGAGTGCCTTCTGCTGACTTGGTCTCCATGTCGCTACAAGCCTGGTGCAGCTTCCTCTCGGCCGCCTCAAGCTCGGTCATGGACTGGGCCTTCTCTCTCAGCAGACGCTGCTCCAGGCTTGATATCTACACATACAATTTATAAAAACACATGTAACTTGTAGTGACCTGGGCCTCCTGTACACCCCACCAATGACACAAGTCCAGGTACCTGTCTGTTGAGGTCGGTCTGAGTCTCCCATACACCCCACCAATGACACAAGTCCCGGCACCTGTTCATCCCACCAATGACACAAGTCCAGGTACCTGTCTGTTGAGGTCGGTCTGAGTCTCCATACACCCCACCAATGACACAAGTCCAGGTACCTGTCTGTTGAGGTCAGTCTGAGTCTCCCATACACCCCACCAATGACACAAGTCCAGGTACCTGTCTGTTGAGGTCGGTCTGAGTCTCCCATACACCCCACCAATGACACAAGTCCAGGTACCTGTCTGTTGAGGTCAGTCTGAGTCTCCCATACACCCCACCAATGACACAAGTCCCGGCACCTGTTCATCCCACCAATGACACAAGTCCAGGTACCTGTCTGTTGAGGTCAGTCTGAGTCTCCCATACACCCCACCAATGACACAAGTCCAGGTACCTGTCTGTTGAGGTCGGTCTGAGTCTCCATATACCCCACCAATGACACAAGTCCTAGTACCTGTCTGTTGAGGTCAGTCTGAGTCTCCCATACAAGCCCACCAATTAAAACAAGTCCCGGTACCTGTTCATCCCACCAATGACACAAGTCCAGGTACCTGTCTGTTGAGGTCGGTCTGAGTCTCCCATACACCCCACCAAGGACACAAGTCCCAGTGTCTGTTGAGGTCAGTCTGAGTCTCCCATACACCCCACCAATGACACAAGTCCCAGTACCTGTTCATCCCACCAATGACACAAGTCCAGGTACCTGTCTGTTGAGGTCGGTCTGAGTCTCCCATACACCCCACCAATGACACAAGTCCCAGTGTCTGTTGAGGTCGGTCTGACTCTCCATATACCCCACCAATGACACAAGTCCTAGTACCTGTCTGTTGAGGTCAGTCTGAGTCTCCCATACAAGCCCACCAATTAAAACAAGTCCCGGTACCTGTTCATCCCACCAATGACACAAGTCCAGGTACCTGTCTGTTGAGGTCGGTCTGAGTCTCCCATACACCCCACCAATGACACAAGTCCCAGTGTCTGTTGAGGTCGGTCTGACTCTCCATATACCCCACCAATGACACAAGTCCTAGTACCTGTCTGTTGAGGTCAGTCTGAGTCTCCCATACAAGCCCACCAATTAAAACAAGTCCCGGTACCTGTTCATCCCACTAATGACACAAGTCCAGGTACCTGTCTGTTGAGGTCGGTCTGAGTCTCCCATACACCCCACCAATGACACAAGTCCCAGTACCTGTCTGTTGAGGTTAGTCTGAGTCTCTCATACACCCCACCAATGACACAAGTCCCAGTACCTGTCTGAGAAAAATACTCCAAGATACTTGTAGTAAGTGACAAGTTTTACATTTATAGAACCATAGAACCATTTTTCATTTTTTCGTATAATGCCACAAGTCCCAGTACCTGTCTGTTGAGGTCAGTCTGAGGCTCCCATACACCCCACCAATGACACAAGTCCAGGTACCTGTCTGTTGAGGTCGGCCTGAGTCTCCCATACACCCCATCAATGACACAAGTCCCAGTACCTGTCTGTTGAGGTCGGCCTGAGTCTCCCATACACCCCATCAATGACACAAGTCCAGGTACCTGTCTGTTGAGGTCGGTCTGAGTCTCCTATACACACCCCTAATGACACAAGTCCCAGTACCTGTCTGTTGAGGTCAGTCTGAGTCTCCCGTACACCCCACCAATGACACAAGTCCCAGTAGCTGTCTGTTGAGGTCAGCCTGAGTCTCCCATACACCCCATCAATGACACAAGTCCAAGTACCTGTCTGTTGAGGTCAGTCTGAGTCTCCCATACACCCCATCAATGACACAAGTCCCAATACCTGTCTGTTGAGGTCGGCCTGAGTCTCCTATACACCCCATCAATGACACAAGTCCAAGTACCTGTCTGTTGAGGTCAGTCTGAGTCTCCTATACACCCCATCAATGACACAAGTCCCAATACCTGTCTGTTGAGGTCGGCCTGAGTCTCCCATACACCCCATCAATGACACAAGTCCCAGTAGCTGTCTGTTGAGGTCAGTCTGAGTCTCCCATACACCCAATCAATGACACAAGTCCAAATACCTGTCTGTTGAGGTCGGCCTGAGTCTCCTATACACCCCGTCAATGACACAAGTCCAGGTACCTGTCTGTTGAGGTCAGTCTGAGTCTCCCATACACCCCACCAATGACACAAGTCCAGGTACCTGTCTGTTGAGGTCGGCCTGAGTCTCCTATACACACCCCTAATGACACAAGTCCAAGTACCTGTCTGTTGAGGTCGGCCTGAGTCTCCTCCAGCTCCGTGATCCTGTTGGAGCTCTGCTGCAGCATGGCCTGTCTCTCCATCAGCATCCTGTCCATGTCACGGCTGGATTCCGTCTTCTCCTCCAGTTCCATCTTAGTCTCCTTCAAGTCTTGTTCTGCCCGGGAAAGCTGGTCGACAAAAGTAACCAAACTAGATACCTTTTTAAAAAAAAGCCATGTTGTAGTCTAGCTGTTTGAGCTTCTGCTCATCATTGTTATTTTGTCTGTTTGTTGCAGAATACCGCATTAATCATGTTAATGGGCACTGCCTTAACCTCCCACCAGTTTCTTCACAGGGCCATATGTCCATATTAATGGTGTTTCACTCTATACTGAAATACTGATGCATCTCTGGGTTTGATTGTTTGTTGTTTAAGGCTGCACTCAGTAATATTCCAGCTATATGACAGTGGTCTGTAAAAAATTGAGTCTGGATCAGACAATCCAATGATTAACATTATGAACATCCATCTATACAAATGGGATAACATGACATGCATCCAGCCACTCAGTGAGCCTGACCATCTGATCCCATTAGTCGCCTCTTACGACAAGAATGGGTTGCTGATGACCAATTCTAAACCGGATCTTAAAAGGGGTCTTTGTGAAGCTGCAACAGCTGCAGTAGTGCTGACCATAGGCATCAGTGGCTTGGTTAAGTGGATGTCATCCCGCCCTCATGGAGGGGATGCTGCTCATGATATGAGGTGAGGTGAGGTGAAATTGGGTTTACGGCGCGTCCAAGATTATTGCACTTATATAGCGACGTGCATGCACGTGTATGTGTGTGTGTAGCTGCTTGTACTAGTCCGGACTGATGCCGATTTATAGTGCTAGCTCACTGAGATACCATGACGCAGTTTAACATGAATACGCCACTCAGACACAGTATACTGACTCCGAGCCGACCAGTCCTTGTTTTAGCCCCTTAATGTCGAGCGCCAGACAGGGTAACAACAAGTAACAACAACGTCTTTTTGTATGACGCGGCCGGAGATCGAACCCAGGACCTTCCGCTCTCCGGGCGGACGCTCTACCACAAGACCACGGAGGCGGTCCTCATGATATGAAGCAATATACAGGCAGCCATATATATATACAGCCCGGCAGCACTATTGCATCTATGCAACACCTTTATGTAACACTTGGCATGACAAGGCACTTGTCATCAGCACCATGGTTGATTGGTTGGTTTGTTGTTTAACAAGACAAGGCACTTGTCATCAGCACCATGGTTGGTTGGTTTGTTGTTTATCGCCACGGTCAGTAATATTCCAGCTATATGACGAGTAAATAATCGAGTCTGGACCAGACAATCCAGTGTTTGATATCATGAGCATCGATCCACGCATCATGGGTTGCTGAAGACCTATTCTACCCGGGAATCTTCACGGGTCATCAGCACCATGCAATGGTATGAAGATATATCCTATCCACCAGATCCAATTCCCAGATGTTTGTGCCTGTAACACCTCTCACCCTCTGATCCCTGTTGGCGATCTCCCGGTCAAACTTGTCCCTGGCCTGCTCCAGGGTGTTGAGGTAGCTCCGTATCTCCTCCTTGCACAGGAGTAGAGCTGACTCCAGCTGCTTCACCTGACTGTTGCCCTCCGTGGCCCGCGCCTCTAGTTGCTGCAGCGTCTCCTGACTCTGCTGTGTCCGGGAACTCAGCTCCTAAAGACAGTACAAGGATTAAACACACTTAATACAAGACTGTTGCCGTCTCCTGACTCTGCTGTGTCCGGGAACTCAGCTCCTGAAGACAGTACAAGGATTAAACACACTTAATACAAGACTGTTGCCGTCTCCTGACTCTGTTGTGTCCAGGAACTCAGCTCCTGAAGACAGTACAAGGATTAAACACACTTAATACAAGACTGTTGCCGTCTCCTGACTCTGCTGTGTCCGGGAACTCAGCTCCTGAAGACAGTACAAGGATTAAACACACTTAATACAAGACTGTTGCCGTCTCCTGACTCTGTTGTGTCCAGGAACTCAGCTCCTGAAGACAGTACAAGGATTAAACACACTTAATACAAGACTGTTGCCGTCTCCTGACTCTGTTGTGTCCGGGAACTCAGCTCCTGAAGACAGTACAAGGATTAAACACACTTAATACAAGACTGTTGCCGTCTCCTGACTCTGCTGTGTCCGGGAACTCAGCTCCTGAAGACAGTACAAGGATTAAACACACTTAATACAAGACTGTTGCCGTCTCCTGACTCTGTTGTGCCCGGGAACTCAGCTCCTGAAGACAGTACAAGGATTAAACACACTTAATACAAGACTGTTGCCGTCTCCTGACTCTGTTGTGTCCGTGAACTCAGCTCCTGAAGACAGTACAAGGATTAAACACACTTAATACAAGACTGTTGCCGTCTCCTGACTCTGTTGTGTCCGTGAACTCAGCTCCTGAAGACAGTACAAGGATTAAACACACTTAATACAAGACTGTTGCCGTCTCCTGACTCTGTTGTGTCCGTGAACTCAGCTCCTGAAGACAGTACAAGGATTAAACACACTTAATACAAGACTGTTGCCGTCTCCTGACTCTGCTGTGTCCTTGAACTCAGCTCCTGAAGACAGTACAAGGATTAAACACACTTAATACAAGACTGTTGCCGTCTCGTGACTCTGCTGTGTCCTTGAACTCAGCTCCTGAAGACAGTACAAGGATTAAACACACTTAATACAAGACTGTTGCCGTCTCCTGACTCTGTTGTGTCCAGGAACTCAGCTCCTGAAGACAGTACAAGGATTAAACACACTTAATACAAGACTGTTGCCGTCTCCTGACTCTGCTGTGTCCTTGAACTCAGCTCCTGAAGACAGTACAAGGATTAAACACACTTAATACAAGACTGTTGCCGTCTCCTGACTCTGTTGTGCCCGGGAACTCAGCTCCTGAAGACAGTACAAGGATTAAACACACTTAATACAAGACTGTTGCCATGGGCACCATTGTACAAAACAACCTTAGCTTTACAACTGTCGTAAGTCTATGTTAAGGTATGGGAGTTACAATCACCTAAGCACGAACATTGCTTTGTACAACGTCACCCTGGAGTTTCAGCATTTCTGTAACGTCATGGCATGTCATGGCATATTCATCTGGATCATAATCTGGGCAATTTGTAGAACTTTAACTGAAGACAATCAGATCAAGGCATGGCTAAGGGATGTAACTCTGAGAACTCTGGCCCACCCATCCCTTGGGGCCAGTGATTCAGGGCTTGACCCACCTCCCTGGTCTCCTGCAGCGTCTGTTCCAGGTGCTTGCTGTGGACAGACTTGGTCGACACTTCCTCCCTCAACGCAGCCACTTGATGCTCACACTCAGACATCTTCCGCCCACCTTTCTCCAACTCATTTTGAAGCTGAAAGATGTTGTAAACTGATCAACGTCTCCATAACAATACATTCATGTTGCGATTCCTTCACAGACAATCTGCCTTCATGATAAAGTGTAACCCTGTTAAACTTGAAACCCTACCTCCTGGATATTTTCAGAACTTCTATAGGCTGTAACCCTCTAAGACTGGAAACCCTACCTCTAGGACATTTCCAGAACATGTATAGAGTGTAACCCTGTTAGTCTGGAAATCCTACCTCCAGGACATTTTCAGAACATGTATAGAGTGTAACCCTGTTAGTCTGGAAATCATACCTCCAGGACATTTCCAGAACATGTATAGAGTGTAACCCTGTTAGACTGGAAACCCTACCTCCTGGATATTTTCAGAACTTCTATAGGCTGTAACCCTCTAAGACTGGAAACCCTACCTCTAGGACATTTCCAGAACATGTATAGAGTGTAACCCTGTTAGTCTGGAAATCCTACCTCCAGGACATTTCCAGAACATGTATAGAGTCTAACCCTGTTAGTCTGGAAATCATACCTCCAGGACATTTCCAGAACATGTATAGAGTGTAATCCTGTTAGTCTGGAAATCATACCTCCAGGACATTTCCAGAACATGTATAGAGTGTTACCCTGTTAGACTGGAAATCCTACCTCCAGGACATTTTCAGAACATGTATAGAGTGTAACCCTGTTACTCTGGAAACCCTACCTCCAGGACATTTCCAGAACATGTATAGAGTGTAACCCTGTTAGACTGGAAACCCTACCTCCAGGACATTTCCAGAACATGTATAGAGTGTAACCCTGTTAGACTGGAAACCCTACCTCCAGGACATTTCCAGAACATGTATAGAGTGTAACCCTGTTAGACTGGAAACCCTACCTCCAGGACATTTCCAGAACATGTATAGAGTGTAACCCTGTTAGACTGGAAACCCTACCTCCAGGACATTTCCAGAACATGTATAGAGTGTAACCCTGTTAGACTGGAAACCCTACCTCCTGGATATTTCCAGAACATGTATAGAGTGTTACCCTGTTACTCTGGAAACCCTACCTCCAGGACATTTCCAGAACATGTATAGAGTGTAACCCTGTTAGACTGGAAACCCTACCTCCAGGACATTTCCAGAACATGTATAGAGTGTAACCCTGTTAGACTGGAAACCCTACCTCCTGGATATTTCCAGAACATGTATAGAGTGTTACCCTGTTACTCTGGAAACCCTACCTCCAGGACATTTCCAGAACATGTATAGAGTGTAACCCTGTTAGACTGGAAACCCTACCTCCAGGACATTTCCAGAACATGTATAGAGTGTAACCCTGTTAGACTGGAAACCCTACCTCCAGGACACTTCCAGAACATGTATAGAGTGTAACCCTGTTAGACTGGAAACCCTACCTCCAGGACATTTCCAGAACATGTATAGAGTGTAACCCTGTTAGACTGGAAACCCTACCTCCAGGACATGTCTGGAACATGGGTAAATATACAAAGGACATCTGTACGTGGAATTGTGTATTGTAGTTATCACCATGTTCCAGTATAACCCATCACTATTCACATGTCCACATTCAAATCCACCAAGATTTGCTCAGATCAGTCTCATGTGAATTGATGCCACACACAATGACCTCGAAACTGTGGTATACCTATGTTATATGTGACCCTGTTTGAAGTCAACTCACATACATCTGTATCGGTCCATACGAGTTTTACATCAACAAATCGAAGTCAGATGACCTTTCACCACCACAAACATTGACAGGCTTAATTGTTGACAAAATTGTACATAACAGAGAATTACAAATTTGGTTTTCATGTTGAAACTAAATTTAAACAGGACATTTGGCAGACACAAACCCCACCATTTCGGCCCTACTGCATTATGACAGCTATATATAATAGCTTTCGCTTTCATAAAATATAGTACATAAGAAGGGAGACAACTCACAATATCTATCTGTTTCTCATAGTCGCGACACTGTTCCTGATGGAGCTGTTGTTTCTTGTCATCGCTGCTATGTTTCTTCCGTATCTCAGCCTGGTGTGCTGCCACCTGGTGGCGGAGTTCATCTGCCTCCTCCTCGCGACCAATCACCTCCTCCTCCAGCTGCTTCATCCGAGCAATGTGGGCCGAGAACTCACGCATCTTCTCGTCCAACTGTACCTCCAAACTGCTCATCTGGGAAGTCTTCTTCCGTAGCTGGAAATATTGGGTCAAGTTTGTTCTCACACATATATTACATTCTCATCAGTAATATATAATACTTTTTAAAAAATGTGTTATTTTAGGAGCGGCAGAGCATATAAAAATACATTGTAACCTATCTTTTTGCCCTGTCATAGAAAACTAGCAGAATGCAATAGACCATGCAGATGTGGGGAACCTATCAGTTTGACAAGTTGTCCTAGAAAACAACCTGAATCCAATATTTTGGTTAACCATCTGTCAAGAAAATTTATCAAAAACTCTTCAGCAGGGAAATACATACTTCTTTCTTCCTTGGGCATCCCCCTTTTCACCTCCCACCAGTGCTTCATCACTTGGCCTCACTGGGCACTGCCTTAAGCTCTCACCTCCCATCACTGGGCCGTATGTCCATATTAATGGTGTTTCACTATATACTGACATACTCATGCATCTCTGGGTTTGATTGTTGTTTAACGCTGCACTCAGCAATATTCCAGCTATATGATGGCAGTTTCAGATCTGGACCAGACAATCCAGTGACTGGCATCATGAGCATCGATCTACGCAACTGGGATACGATGACATGCATCAACCAAGTCAGCAAGCCTGACTACTTGATCCCTTTAAGTCGCCTCTTACGACAAGCAAAGTGGCCTCTTACGACAAGCATGATCACCTGTTACAGCAAGCATGGGTTGCTGAAGACCAATTCTTAGCAGGATTTTCATTTCATACTAATGGTGTTTCACTGTCTGACATACTGATATACTGATGTATCTCTGGGAGGGGGTGTCCATATTGACGGTGTTTCACTGTCTGACATACTGATATACTGATTTATCTCTGGGAGGGGGGTGTCCAAATTGATGGTGTTTCATTGTCTGACATACTGATCTACTGATGTATCACTGGGAGGGGGGTGTCCATATTGATGGTGTTTCACTGTCTGACATACTGATCTACTGATGTATCTCTGGGAGGGGGGTGTCCATATTGATGGTGTTTCACTGTCTGACATACTGATCTACTGATGTATCTCTGGGAGGGGGGTGTCCATATTGATGGTGTTTCACTGTCTGACATACTGATTTACTGATGTATCTCTAGGAAGGGGGTGTCCATATTGATGGTGTTTCACTGTCTGACGTACTGATGTACTGATGTATCTCTGGGAGGGGGGTGTCCATATTGATGGTGTTTCACTGTCTGACATACTGATCTACTGATGTATCTCTAGGAGGGGGTGTCCACAATGATGATGTTTCATCATATACTGACATACTGGTTTACTGACGCTAAACGGCCTGAATGATTGTATACACAACTCACCTCTCTCTCCAAGTTGTTGATCTCGGTGCTCTTCCTGTTTGCATCCTCCTGGAACTCGATGATCTGGGCATTCCGCTGGGTGAGCCGGGCCTCATGAGACAACATCTGCGCATCTTTATCCGACAGATCTCGTTTCATCTCACAAAGCTGTGCAGCCAGTTTAGACCGGTCTGACTCCACCCGACTGAGCACACTCTCCATCTCCTGGCTTTTCAAATTTCCTGAAAGAAGGAAACTAGAGATTTGTACTGGCTGACTGTGAGTGAGTGAGTGTGTAAGTGAGTGAGTGAGTGAGTAGTGAGTGAGTGTGTGAGTGTGTAAGTGAGTGAGTGAGTGAGTAGTGAGTGAGTGTGTGAGTGTGTAAGTGAGTGAGTGAGTAGTGAGTGAGTGTGTGAGTGTGTAAGTGAGTGAGTGTGTAAGTGAGTGAGTAGTTAGTGAGTGAGTGAGTGTGTAAGTGAGTGAGTGAGTGAATGTGTGAGTGAGTGAATGTGTGAGTGAGTGAGAGTGAATGTGTGAGTGAGTGAGAGTGAATGTGTGAGTGAGAGTGTGTAAGTGAGTGAGTGAGTGAATGTGTGAGTGAGTGAGTGAGTGGAGTGAGTGAGTGAGTGAGTGAGTGTGTAAGTGAGTGAGTGTGTGAGTGAGTGAATGAGTGAGTGAGTGAGTGAATGAATGTGTGAGTGAGTGTGTGAGTGAGTGAGTGAGTGAGTGAGTGAGTGAGTGAGTGGGTGGAGTTTAAAACCAGTTATTCCAGTGATGTCATGGCGTGTTAGCCCAATGTGGGAGAAAAGCCAAAAGTGGTGAGGCAGATCATCACTTTGGTGAAACCTACGAGAATGGGTGTGGTGCTGACAAACCTGGATTTGAACCTACATACACAGGTTTCTGGCAAAAAGAGCGAGGGATATATACACACTAAGCCAGACAATCATGTAGTCTACACACCTTGTTGAGTTTTATCCATCATGGCTGACAGCTCTGCACGCAGGCCTTCTATCATTGAAGCTGGGTTGTCCCTCTCACGTGATTGAAGACAAGTTTGCAAGCGATGAATCTCAGCATCTTTCATGGATAACTTTAATCTGAAAAAGCAAGAAACTGGTTTGACATGTGCGTCTGTATGTTTCACTGGCATTTATCTAGGACTCCAAACTAAGTGCCCTTTACAAGCAAAGTATCATTTATACTTATCCTGACTCATACTATTGCGTATCTCATCGCATTTCTGAAAGATAGTGGAAACTTCCTGAACTGTGTTCCCAGAGATCAGAAAAACAGCTCACCCGAACACACCCTTGAACAGCGCAGGTGCCCTGGAATCATGTGACCAAGCTGGTAGACTTGTCACTCACTCATTTCCATAGTAACAGTAGAAACACATATAAGGAGGAAGCAGGGAAAGCAGGGTGGGAGCTTTAGCATATGAATCATGAAAAGTATTTATGATATTTTTACTCTACAAAATAAATATTTAACCTTATCCTGACTCATACTAATTGCGGGGCGGTCGGGTAGCCTAGTGGTTAAAGCATTCGCTTGTCATGCCGAAGACCCGGGTTCGAATCCCAACATGGGTACAATGTGTGAAGCCCATTTCTAAAAGCGGCGTAAAACCAAACTCACTCACTCATACTAATTGTCTGAATCCCACAGAAGATTGTGGGTTCCACAGAGTGCGTGATTCACACCATGATCTGTTAATATAGCCCCCTGGAAACATAAGAGTGGAGGAGTGCGATTTTACGCCGCTTTTAGCAATATTCCAGCAATATCATGGCGGGGGACACCAGAAATGGGCTTCACACATTGTACCCATGTCGGGAATCGAACCCAGGTCTTCGGCGTGACGAGCGAACGCTTTAACCACTAGGCTACCCCGACCGCCCCAGGAACATGAGAATATTCTTAGTTCTTCTTATATCTTTGTGGGGTAGCAATTCCTTCTCAGCATCTTCCCCAAGCTCCTCGCAGCGACAGCCCGTTTGCGGAGCTCTCTATACTATCACTGCCACCAGTCAAAACTCCCCACAGTGATAGGATGACCACAACCATGCTTGGAGTTGAACTCGCAGCCGATTGACCGTTATGTTTACAAACAAGTGACGACTGTCGTGATGCCGAATACACTTACCCGTTAAATTACTTTCTTTCTTTGTCAATTTGAATTTCTATTTCATTAAAACTATCATGTAATTGATAAAGTGAGAATGTAAGAGAGAAGTTGGTTGATTTTCCGTTACTCTGTAATCTCGAACCGATCTGATCATACAAACAACAAAGTAAATTCATCTGGAAAACACGGTCAGTCGTAAACGTTTTGAAAATGAACTATGATGGCAAACATGTAAACAAAAGTATGAATATGACTACATTTGGGGTTAGAGGGCAAATTTCAAGATTCTTGTAATGGCCGCGCCCACACTGGTGGCAGCGATGTTACCGAGAGTGTAACGAAGGTGTCACGCGCTGGGAAGGAGCTTGCTAAGGGAGACAACCAAGGCAAGAGAGTTAACTGACCGTAAAAGTCCACTCTCCATCGTTGCCATATTAGGCTGGAATTTTGGAATTTCATCTGGGCTGGACTGATGAATCTATGCATAGTCGAATCAAATTTGTGCAACGAACTAGACATCTGGATCATAAACGTGGATTTCAACGTGCAGATTTCAATCAACTGCAGGATTTGCAAAGCATGTGTATCATCAACTGGACGTTGACAGATATTTTCCACATCTTTTCGTGCTTTTAATCAAGGTGCTCAAATGACATAAAGCATGCTGCAAGGTTGATTATCAAGCTAATCCTCTTGACTGGGTGCCATCATTTTGTTTGAAGCAAATGCAAGTATTGTGAGAGGTGGAATCGATTGGTCAATAGGAGAGACATATAAGGGACATAACTCGTAATGGCCACTGGTGGCGCTACGATCGAGCCATGAAATTCCAGCATAGTTCAGCATGGGTGAATACTGGATTTTTAGTCAGTTAACACCCTTGTTTCAGGAAATCTTTTAGATTTCACGGATTTCTAAAGTTTGCCAAAACAAGTTATTTCTCACTTATTTCAAACAGTTATAGTGTCAAGAGAAGGTCATAAACTTCACACAATCATTGTCACTCCTGCTCTGAATTACATTGTAAAACAGGGGACATGGACTCACAGTCATTCGTTAACCTGACGTCAACATGTCTGCTGTAAACGTGGGTGAGTGCAGCAAGTCTATCTTCTGATAGGCATTGTCGGTTGTTGTGCGACAAATATTGGTCCAAATCGATGAATTCCAAATTATTGAAGAATAGCAAATCTCTAAGATAGTGACATGTGAAGACAGTGACCAATCTCCAAAAACAGCCTTCCATGATTGTCGGGATGAAGCCGTTACAATGTAGAGCTAAAGTGGATGCAATAGCTCTGACTTTCTGTGGGTTGGATGCTGAAGGTGGGTCTAACCCTGTTGCCTTGTATGCTCTGAGCATGACTGCTCTCATCCAGAATGAGATGCTTGTTCTAGAAACTTCAGCTTAAGTATTCCTTCTTAATTTTTGTCTTTTGGAGCTTGTTCAGTGTAGATGCATAATGCTCTGACATTCTGGCAGCCGTGGTTAGTGCCAGAAGAAACAATGTTTTCTGCATCAGGTGTTTGAGGTCAGCTTGTTCTAAAGGTTCGTAGGCATTACTGGTAAAATGTTAGTGCACTATACTCAGGTCCCATGCAGTCCATGTAGTGGATGTGTGGCTGCTTGTACTAGTCCGGCCAAATTGCTGATTTCATAGTGCTAGCCAACTGAGTTACCATGCTGCAGTTTAACATGAATAACCTCCTCTGACACAGTATACTGACTCCGAGCCAACCAGTCCTTGTTTTAGCCCCTTAATGCCGAGCGCCATGCAGGGTAACAACAAGAAAAATTCTTTAATGTTTTTTGGTATGACCAAGGAGGCGGTCTGGTACATTCGAGGCAGGGGTCGACTGTTGATCTAAATGCAGACTTACTGATACCAAGCTAGTTCTCCCGAAAGAGATGCAGTGAGATTTATTTGTTGCAAGTCAATGTAGTCAAAGAAATTTACTTTAAAACAGAACCACTAAAGTCCCATATTGTGATTCTACAAAAGTTTGTACAATAGTGACCCAGCAAACTATTTCTTTCTCCATGAAGATTTTACCTGAGATCGGACAGTAAAGCTCTGGCGCCACCTCCACGGATGGTAGCACCTGGCAGGGATTCAAACCCAGACCCAGCAGTCTTGCTGAAGCTGACTGCTGCTCCCGACTTAATGTGCCGCCCTGGACTGGACATCTGATTCATGCTGGACATCCCACTGTCATTATTGCTATTGTTGGCCTGAAAACACAATATTCCAGCTATGTCACAGCAGTCTTTAAATAGTCAAGTCTGGTGCAGACAAACCAGTGGTTAATATCATGAACAACATCCCAGGCTTTCCTGGTACAGTGACACACAATCAACTAAGTTACCAAATCTAATCAGAGGATCCAGTGTTGAGGATCTAATGAGACACAGGTTCTCACAGGGAATCAAATAAACACAGGTTCTCACAGGGAATCAAATAAGCAGTATCAGCCCTCGTGTATAAGGATACAGGTTGATAAAGCTAATCACTGGTTAATCCTGTTACTAACAGCTATTACAACTATTTCCAAATCAACTGTCATCTCGTCTTGATGTATTTCTTACAAGCAATGTTTAACAATCCCATTTTGTAAGTTGGCTGTCATTTTTCAAAAAATGAGATGGCTTGAAGGTGAATTCTGCAGTTCCATGGTAAGATCATAGAGCTACTCACGTTCATTCAATTGAATTCGAGAGCTACAATATGTGTGTCTTAGACTGCAGTCCCACAGTTACCTACCCCCGCCTGTGTGAGCTGGAGCTGCATGGTGAACTGCTCAAGCTGCGCGAGGATGGTGCGACTTTCCTCCACCTCGTCCTGACACAAGTTCAGCTGCTGCTCCTGACTCTGCAACTGTGTCTTGAGACGCAGGTTTTCCCTCCTCACACTCTCCACACAGCTCAGCTCAGCCTCAAGCTGGTCTGAAACACACCAGTCACTTCAGTCCTGAGATGTATTCTACACAGACCTGAGTGTTCTATCCACTGCAATATAGGTAGAAGGGAGTCCATATTTCCTACCTGGGTACCTGACCCCCTATTACCTGACTCTACCTGGATAGGTCTTCAGAGTTGGGTACAAAATGTCCGACTGGGAACTTATTTTCTGGAGCCTTTCGAACACTATTCAGATACAGATATAGAACCATCTGATCATGCATTCACAAAAGGAATGTGTATATAGACAGAAAGAAATTCGAGCATTAGCGACTTGTACTGTAACTATGGAGTTTTATTGTCATTAAACAAGTATCACATGACTAACCAAGGTTGTCCTGTCGGTACCCGGGTCTACTCAGGACCCACCGTCACGAGTACCTGAGTAACCCATCCCAGCCCAATAGGTAGATATGGAGTGATGACAGAAACCTCAATGTCTTGCTAGTAAACACGTCATCCCTATCAATAAAACAGCATTTTATACACACTCTTTCTCCAATGAATCTGGATGTACCGCTGCCAGTGTGTTATACTCACTGAATCTGGTGGTAATCCTTGTGATGTTCTCCCTGAGGTCAAGGTTCTGCTGTTCCATGTCCGCCTTGGTCTCCAGCTCCACAGCTTCCAGGGCCTGCAGTCTCCTGGGGAGCAGAATGCCAGACATGTGTGTGTCAGGATGTCAGATGTGTGTGTCAGAAAGTCAGATGTGTGTGTCAGAGAGTCAGATGTGTGTGTCAGACAGTCAGATGTGTGTGTCAGGATGTCAGATGTGTGTGTCAGACAGTCAGATGTGTGTGTCAGAAAGTCAGATGTGTGTGTCAGGATGTCAGATGTGTGTGTCAGACAGTCAGATGTGTGTGTCAGGATGTCAGATGTGTGTGTCAGGATGTCAGATTTGTGTGTCAGAAAGTCAGATGTGTGTGTCAGGATGTCAGATGTGTGTGTCAGACAGTCAGATGTGTGTGTCAGGATGTCAGATGTGTGTGTCAGGATGTCAGATTTGTGTGTCAGAAAGTCAGATGTGTGTGTCAGGATGTCAGATGTGTGTCGCAGGATGTCAGATGTGTGTGTCAGATGTGTGTTTCAGGATGTCAGATGTGTGAGGCAGGATGTCAGATGTGTGTGTCAGGATGTCAGATGTGTGTGTCAGGATGTCAGATGTGTGTGCCAGATGTGTGTGTCAGGATGTCAGATGTGTGTGTCAGGATGTCAGATGTGTGTGTCAGATGTGTGTGTCAGGATGTCAGATGTGTGTGTCAGGATGTCAGATGTGTGTGTCAGAGAGTCAGATGTGTGTGTCAGGATGTCAGATGTGTGTGTCAGAAAGTCAGATGTGTGTGTCAAGATGTCAGATGTGTGAGGCAGGATGTCAGATGTGTGTGTCAGGATGTCAGATGTGTGTGTCAGGATGTCAGATGTGTGTGTCAGGATGTCAGATTTGTGTGTCAGGATGTCGGATGTGTGAGGCAGAATGTCAGATGTGTGAGGCAGGATGTCAGATGTGTGTGTCAGATGTGTGTGTCAGGATGTCAGATGTGTGTGTCAGGATGTCAGATGTGTGTGTCAGGATGTCAGATTTGTGTGTCAGGATGTCAGATGTGTGAGGCAGGATGTCAGATGTGTGTGTCAGGATGTCAGATGTGTGTGTCAGAAAGTTAGATGTGTGTGTCAGGATGTCAGATGTGTGAGGCAGGATGTCAGATGTGTGTGTCAGAGAGTCAGATGTGTGTGTCAGGATGTCAGATGTGTATGTCAGAAAATCAGATGTGTGTGTCAGGATGTCAGATGTGTGTGTCAGAAAGTCAGATGTGTGTGTCAAGATATCAGATGTGTGAGGCAGGATGTCAGATGTGTGTGTCAGAGAGTCAGATGTGTGTGTCAGGATGTCAGATGTGTGAGGCAGGATGTCAGATGTGTGTGTCAGAGAGTCAGATGTGTGTGTCAGGATGTCAGATGTGTGTGTCAGAAAGTCAGATGTGTGTGTCAAGATGTCAGATGTGTGTGTCAGGGCCTGCAGATGTGTGTGTCAGAATGTCAGATGTGTGTGTCAGGATGTCAGATGTGTGTCAGGATGTCAGATGTGTGTGTCAGGATGTCAGATGTGTGTGTCAGGATGTCAGATGTGTGTGTCAGGATGTCAGATGTGTGTGTCAGGATGTCAGATGTGTGAGGCAGGATGAAAGATGTGTGTGTCAGGATGTCAGATGTGTGTGTCAGAGAGTCAGATGTGTGTGGCAGGATGTCAGATGTGTGTGGCAGAACATCACATTTGTGTGGCAAAACATTAGATGTGTGTGGCAAAACATTAGATGTGTGAGGCAAAACATTAGATGTGTGTTGCAAAACATTAGATGTGTGTGAAAGAGCATCAGGCGCGTGTGGCAGAATGTCAAATGTATAATGCCTAATGCAGTATTACTTTGAAAGAGAAAATTCTGTGAATCTAGATTCCTCAATTCCTCAGCATTTTTATGTCCCACTCCAAAGTTTTCTCCACCTCCAGCAAACACCTTATGTGACTGAAATACAAGCAGGCCATGGACACACTGTATCTCTCCTCCAGTAAACACCTTATGTGACTGAAATACAAGCAGGCCATGGACTCACTGTATCTCTCCTCCAGCAAACACCTTATGTGACTGAAATACAAGCAGGCCATGGACACACTGTATCTCTCCTCCAGTAAACACCTTATGTGACTAAAATACAAGCAGGCCATGGACTCACTGTATCTCCTCCTCCAGTAAACACCTTATGTGACTAAAATACAAGCAGGCCATGGACTCACTGTATCTCCTCCTCCAGTAAACACCTTATGTGACTAAAATACAGGCAGGCCATGGACTCACTGTATCTCTCCTCCAGTAAACACCTTATGTGACTAAAATACAAGCAGGCCATGGACTCACTGTATCTCCTCCTCCAGTAAACACCTTATGTGACTAAAATACAAGCAGGCCATGGACTCACTGTATCTCCTCCTCCAGTAAACACCTTATGTGACTAAAATACAAGCAGGCCATGGACTCACTGTATCTCTCCTCCAGCAAACACCTTATGTGACTATAATACAAGCAGACCATGGACACACTGTATCTCCTCCTCCAGTAAACACCTTATGTGACTAAAATACAAGCAGGCCATGGACTCACTGTATCTCCTCCTCCAGTAAACACCTTATGTGACTATAATACAATCAGGCCATGGACTCACTGTATCTCCTCCTCCTGTTGGTCGAGGGCGACCTGCTGCTGGGTGAGTTTCTCCAGCAGTTCCTCCCTCTCCCCGGTCGACTGGGCCACAGAGTCTCGCAGGTCGTCCTCGTTCTGCTCCATCTGCAGTAGGCATCCACACTCTCATCCCAGTGATAGTTAAAGGGGGACTGCTCCACACTCTCATCTCACTGATAACTAAGGGGCTCCACACTCTAAACTCACTGATAGTTAAAGGGGGACTGCTCCACACTCTCAACTCACTGATAGTTAAAGGGGGACTGCTCCACACTCTCAACTCACTGATAGTTAAAGTGGGACTGCTCCACACTCTCATATCACTGTTAGTTAAAGGGGTTCCACACTCTCATCTCATTGTTAGTGAAAGGGGTTCCACACTCTCATATCACTGTTAGTTAAAGGGGTTCCACACTCTCATCTCATTGTTAGTGAAAGGGGTTCCACACTCTCATCTCATTGTTAGTGAAAGGGGTTCCACACTCTCATCTCATTGTTAGTGAAAGGGGTTCCACACTCTCATTTATTGTAAGTGAAAGGGGTTCCACACTCTCATCTCATTGTTAGTTAAAGGGGTTCCACACTCTCATCTTATTGTTAGTTAAAGGGATTCCACACTCTCATCTCATTGTTAGTTAAAGGGGTTCCACACTATCATCTTATTGTTAGTTAAAGGGGTTCCACACTCTCATCTTATTGTTAGTGAAAGGGGTTCCACACTCTCATCTTATTGTTAGTTAAAGGGGTTCCACACTCTCATCTCATTGTTAGTTAAAGGGGTTCCACACTCTCATCTCATTGTTAGTGAAAGGGGTTCCACACTCTCATCTCATTGTTAGTTAAAGGGGTTCCACACTCTCATCTCATTGTTACTTAAACGGGGACTGCTACACACTCTCATCTCATTGTTACTTAAAGGGGGCGCCACACTCTCATCTCACGGATAGTTAAAGGTGGACTTTGTTCCACACTCTCATCTCATTGTTACTTAAAGGGGGCGCCACACTCTCATCTCACGGATAGTTAAAGGTGGACTATGTTCCACACTCTCATCTCATTGTTACTTAAAGGGGGCGCCACACTCTCATCTCACGGAGAGTTAAAGGTGGACTATGTTCCACACTCTCATCTCATTGTTACTTAAAGGGGGCGCCACACTCTCATCTCACGGAGAGTTAAAGGTGGACTATGTTCCACACTCTCATCTCATTGTTACTTAAAGGGGTGACTATGTTCCAAATTTTCATCCTATTGTTACTTAAAGGGGGACTGCTTCACACTCTCATCTTATTGTTACTTAAAGGGGGACAATGTTCCACACTCTCATCCTATTGTTACTTAAAGGGGGACTGCTTCACACTCTCATCTCATTGTTACTTTAAGGGGGACAATGTTGCACACTCTCATCCTATTGTTACTTAAAGGGGGACTGCTTCACACTCTCATCTTTGACTCATGACTTTGAAAGGCTGTGTGATTACCTTTCTGATTTTGTCTTTCATCTTTTTCTGATATTCCTCCAGTGAGTCCTGAGATTCCAGGAAGGTCTGCAGGGCTTCGTCTCTCTGTGCTTCAAGACTGAAAACACAGCAGAGGTGAGGTGAGGTGAGGTTAGGTGAGGTGAGATGGGGTGAGGTGGGGTTAGGTGAGGTGAGGTGAAATGAGGTAAAGTGAGGTGAGGTGAAGTGAGGTAAAGTGTGGTGGGGTGAGGTAAGGTGAGGTTGGGTGAAATGAGGTAAAGTGTGGTGGGGTGAGGTAAGGTGAGGTGGGGTGAGGTGAGGTAAAGTGTGGTGGGGTGAGGTAAGGTGAGGTGGGGTGAGGTGAGGTGAGGTGAGGTGAAGTGAGGTAAAGTGTGGTGGGGTGAGGTAAGTTTAGGTTTGGTGAGGTTGGGTGAGGTTGACGAGGTGAGGTGAAATGAGGTAAAGTGAGGTGAGGTGAAGTGAGGTAAAGTGTGGTGGGGTGAGGTAAGGTGAGGTTGGGTGGGGTGAGGTTAGGTGAGGTGAGGTGAAATGAGGTAAAGTGAGGTGAGGTGAAGTGAGGTAAAGTGTGGTGGGGTGAGGTAAGGTGAGGTTGGGTGGGGTAGGGTGAGGTTAGGTGAGGTGGTATGAGGTAAAGTGAGGTGAGGTGAAGTGAGGTAAAGTGTGGTGGGGTGAGGTAAGGTGAGGTGGGGTGAGGTGAGGTGAAATGAGGTAAAGTTAGGTGAGGTGAGGTTGGGTGAGGTGGGATGAGGTGAGGTGGGGTTAGGTGAGGTGAAATGAGGTAAAGTGATGTTGGGTGGGGTGGGGTGGGGTGCGGTGGGGTGAGGTTAGGTGAGGTGGGGTTAGGTGAGGTGAGGTGAAGTGAGGTAAAGTGAGGTGGGGTGGGGTGAGGTTAGGTGAGGTGAGGTGGAGTTTGAACTTATATATAGCGATCATAATGGAAGCAAATCAGATATTTACATCCATATTCTGGCAGGGATAAGGGCTGCAGCTCCACACAGCAGACAGTATGGATTACAACAAATCAGGCCAACCTTGTGGGTTTTGTATCTCTTCTTCATAAAAAAGGAGTTAGGTGATCCAGCAATAACAAGAGTTTGCCGCTCTATATCCCCCGCCCCTGTTGCAGAATTTATGACATAGTTGAATCTAAACAAACCCTAACCTTTTTTAACCGAGGTGGAACTTGTCATGGAAATTGTAAAAAAAAGATGAGTTTGGAACCTAAGTCCATCTTGTTGCCATGGAAACGTAAAAAATAAAAATTTATAAAATTTCTCAATAGCAAAAGGCACCAGTTCAGCATGTATCTGACAGACCTGCAAAGTTTGATGAAAAAATATTGAACGGTTTATGAGTTATGCTCCGGAAACAAAACGTGACTGACGGACGGACGGACGGAGCCCGTTTCTATACCCCCCGCCAACTTTGTTGAGCGGGGGATAAAAAGGCTGGTTTACAACCACAGCACACACAGCAACAACACACTCTGTTTTCTCCCATCAAAAAGTCTCGGTCTGAACTTTCATCCCAACTGTTTATGCTCTCCCTAATTGTATTGTGGTTTACCCTCTGAGTTTACGTTTCTCCTCCTTCTCATACTTGTATTAATTTCTTACTTTCTGCGAATCGTCCTCTCCTCCCGGAGCTCCGTCCTCATGTCCTCCACTTCCTGTTGACAACGGGACATCTTCTGCTGCAGCTGTGCCGCCTCACGCTGGCTGTCCTCAAACCTCTCCTCCGCACACCTGCAACACAACATCAGATGATCACAGCTCAAACCTCTCCTCAACACACCTATAGCACAACATCAGCTGTAAACAGCTCAAACCTCTCTTCCACACACCTGCAACACAACATCAGCTGTAAACAACCCAAACCTCTCCTCCACACACCTGCAACACAACATCAGCTGTACACAGCCCAAACTTCTCCTCCACACACCTGCAACACAACATCAGCTGTACACAGCCCAAAACTTCTCCTCCACACACCTGCACAACATCAGCTGTACACAGCCCAAACTTCTCCTCCACACACCTGCAACACAACATCAGCTGTACACAGCCCAAACTTCTCCTCCACACACCTGCAAAACAACATCAGCAGTAAACAGCCCAAACCTCTCCTCCACACACCTGCAACACAACATCAGCTGTACACAGCTCAAACCTCTCCTCCGCACACCTGCAACACAACATCAGCTGTAAACAGACCAAACCTCTCCTCCACATACCTGCAACATAACATCAGCTGTAAACAGACCAAACCTCTCCTCCACACACCTGCAACACGTCAGCTGTACACACCTCAAACCTCTCCTCCACACGACTGCAACACAACATCAGCTGTACACAGCCCAAACCTCCCCTCCACACGACTGCAACACAACATCAGCTGTACACACCTCAAACCTCTCCTCCACACACCTGCAACACAACATCAGCTGTACACAGCTCAAACCTCTCCTCCACACACCTGCAACACAACATCAGCTGTACAAAGCTCAAGCCTCTCCTCAACACACCTGCAACACAACATCAGCTGTACAAAGCTCAAGCCTCTCCTCCACACACCTGCAACACAACATCAGCTGTACACAGCTTTAACCTCTCATCCACACACCTGCAACACAACATCAGCTGTACACACCTCAAACCTCTCCTCTACACACCTGCAACACAACATCAGCTGTACACACCTCAAACCTCTCCTCCACACACCTGCAACACAACATCAGCTGTACACAGCTCAAACCTCTCCTCCACACACCTGCAACACAGCATCAGCTGTACACAGCTTAAACCTCTCCTCCACACACCTGCAACACAACATCAGCTGTACACACCTCAAACCTCTCCTCCACACGACTGCAACACAACATCAGCTGTACACAGCTTAAACCTCTCCTCAACACACCTGCAACACAACATCAGCTGTACACACCTCAAACCTCTCCTCCACACACCTGCAACACAACATCAGCTGAAACAGCTCAAACCTCTCCTCCGCACACCTGCAACACAACATCAGCTGTACACAGCTCAAACCTCTCCTCCACACACCTGCAACACAACATCAGCTGTACACACCTCAAACCTCTCCTCCACACACCTGCAACACAACATCAGCTGTACACACCTCAAACCTCTCATCCACACACCTGCAACACAACATCAGCTGTACACACCTCAGACCTCTCCTCCACACACCTGCAACACAACATCAGCTGTACACACCTCAGACCTCTCATCCACACACCTGCAACACAACATCAGCTGTACACAGCTCAAACCTCTCCTCCACACACCTGCAAAACAACATCAGCTGTACACAGCTCAAACCTCTCCTCCACACACCTGCAACACAACATCAGCTGTACACAGCTCAAACCTCTCATTCACACACCTGCAACACAACATCAGCTGTACACAACACCTGCAACACAACATCAGCTGTACACACCTCAAACCTCTCCTCTACACACCTGCAACACAACATCAGCTGTACACAACACCTGCAACACAACATCAGCTGTACACACCTCAAACCTCTCCTCTACACACCTGCAACACAACATCAGCTGTACACACCTCAAACCTCTCCTCCACACACCTGCAACACAACATCAGCTGTAAACAGCCCAAACCTCTCCTCCACACATCTGTAACACAACATCAGCTGTACACACCTCAAACCTCTCATCCACACATCTGTAACACAACATCAGCTGTACACACCTCAAACCTCTCATTCACACATCTGCAGAACACCATCAGAATAACAATTGATTTATTTACATAGAAAAACATTTCAACAGAGGATGCAGATTTGTGCAGGAGCCATCCCTGACAAACACTACCTCAGGGCCTTGTCCTGCGCCTCTGTTTCAGCCTGAAGTCCAACAATCTTGTCCTCCAGTTCCGGCACAATGTCTTTCTGACTCTCCATCTCACGTGACAACTCACGCGTCTGCAATACAAAGAAAACGGATGGATGGGTGGGTGGGTGGGTCGGTGAGTGAGTGAGTGAGTGAGTGAGTGAGTGAGTGAGTGAGTGAGTGAGTGAGTGAGTGAGTGAGTGAGTGAGTGAGTGAGTGAGTGAGTGAAGTCCCACACCTGATCTTCAATTTTAACTCACTCATTCTACCTGGCTTTAAATTAAAACAACTATTTCGGAACATACAAGTGAGGAAGAATATATATAATACACAAATTCATATGTGATTGATTGAGTACAATTTTATGCTGCTTTGAGAATCATTACAGCAATATGATGGCAGGGAATACCAGAACAGGCTTCACACATTGTACCCATGTGGAAAATCTAACTTGGACCTTTGGCATGACACACGAACACCTTAACCACTCAGCTACCCCACAGGGACTGCAACCAGTCTAACATACATGTGGTCCCACTAGGTCCCATATGTTTCCATATGGTCCCTCAAGGTTCCAGGAGTGTTAGTTAGGGCTTGGATGGGTAACTCGGGTACTCGGGTCGGGTGGGGACTGAGTAGGATCCAGGTACTCACAGGACTACCCGGACCCTTGGTTAGTCACATGATATATTGTTTCATGACCAAAATCACTATAATTATAACTACATGGTTACACGACAAGCTTAAGTCTCTACTGTTCGCATTTCTTCATGACTATGAACACATTCCTTCTGACTTAATATGTTTGAACAAAGCTAAAACTTCAGTCAACTTCAGTGTATGCATGACCACATATTTTTATACGTGTATCTAAAAACATTCGGCCAGGGCTACTGTCAAACTATTCCCAATCGGACATTTTATACCTATCTCTTGACACCAACAGCGGGTACCCGGGTAGGGTCGGGTAATAGGGATGTGGGTACCCGGGTAGTAAATTAGGACTCGTCCCAGCCCTAGAGTTAGTCATAAATCTCAAGCACTGATTTACCTTGCTTTTTGCTGCTTGAAGTTCATATGCTAATTTTTCGACCTCGGCCAAGAGCCGTTGATTCTGCCTCATCACCTTCCTGCTGGTGTTGGCGACACCTGACTGCTTCGACTCCATGTTGAGCGCGTCCGATATTCCCAAAGTCGAGTTGTCGGAGTCATAGTCTTCAGACAGTTGGCGTTTTGTCTGAAAAAATAAAATCAGTAGGGACATTGTTCACTGTCTGTCCATCGTCGTCTATAAATTTTGACTTCTACTAAAATCTATAAAGCAAGTTGTTGTTTGAAGGATGCATGCTGTCGTTATTGTCTGTAGACTCCAAACACTGACATACAACACCCACAGCGGCAAAAAGACAGATTTGTGAAATTGGGCTCTAGACTTTTTTAACATTCCATTCTGTCTTGGCCTTTCACTTGTTTTTCAAAAGCTCAAAAGGGAGACTTTTTCCACAAATCAATTTTGCTTGATAGATAAACTATAGTAAAACATATGAGAGAATTAGGTGGTCCTATACTTGTTTTTCTTAGTATATTTACCTGAACCCTATATGCTTCATAAATAGGATGGATATTCTCACATGGAATAAACTGAGAGTGATTTTGACAGCTTAGATCAATGAAAGATGTCATCAGGGCTCTCCATCATTAGTTCCTGTTAGCTCTCTTTAGTTAGACATTAGTTCCCCTAAAGAGACAATCATTACTAGTGTTAGGACTCACATGTGTGACTTTAGAAACTCATGTAAAACATATTTGTATATTTAATAATATAGAAGTTTCTAAAAATTTAGTGTACCAGTAGAAGTTATTAAACTGCATAATACTCCAATGCAATTCACAGAAAATATCCCCATCAAGAAGAAACTTCTTTTGTAATATAACTGAGCAGATCAGTAACTCGTGGTCACAGACATTTCGGAGTTCCTTGCTCATTGCTGAGTTTGACACAAGGCACTATCACATAACTAGAAACAAACAAATCTGGAGCCTAGCAAGAAAAAGAGGAACTTTTGCAGTACAAACACATTGTACTCCCTTGGAAAATCTGGTCAAAACTGACCTGCTGTCTAGACTGTGACAGGCACTGGCTGTAAACATGACAGAGCTATGCAGTGGAAGAGCTGAGGCAGGGGTAGATTACTTGAATGTCACATACTGTCTGCAATCTTCATAGGAGTAACAACAGGGGGCTAGGGCTGGGATGGGTAACTTGGGTACTTGGGTCGGGTGGGTACCGAGTAGGACCTGGGTATGCGTAAGACTATCCGGACCCGCAGTTAGTCACGTAATTATATTGTTCAATGGCAAAAATTATCTAGAACTCTATGGTTACACTATAAGTGACAAATGTTCACATTACTTTCTGACTATGCACACATTCCTTCTAACTTAACATGTTTGCATGACCAGATCGGTTTATATGTGTATCTAAATACGTTTTGATAGGAGTACAGTCAAACGTTTCCCAATCGGACATTTTGTACCTATCTCTTGAGACCTATAGCGGGTCTCCAGGTAGGGTCGGATAATAGAGGGGTAGGTACCTGTGTAGGGTCAGGTAATAGAGGGGTGGGTACCCAGGTAGGGTCGGGTAATAGAGGGGTGGGTACCTGTGTAGGGTCGGGTAATAGAAGGGTGGGTACCCGGGTAGGGTCGGGTAATAGAGGGGTGGGTACCCGGGTAGGGTTGGGTAATAGAGGGGTGGGTACCCAGGTAGGGTCGGGTAATAGAGGGGTGGGTACCTGGGTAGGGTCGGATAATAGAGGGGTGGGTACCTGGGTAGGGTCGGGTAATAGAGGGGTAGGTACCCAGGTAGGGTCGGGTAATAGAGGGGTGGGTACCTGGGTAGGGTTGGGTAATAGAGGGGTGGGTACCTGGGTAGGGTCGGGTAATAGAGGGGTGGGTACCCGGGTAGGGTTGGGTAATAGAGGGGTGGGTACCCAGGTAGGGTTGGGTAATAGAGGGGTGGGTACCCGGGTAGAGTCAGGTAATAGAGGGGTAGGTACCCGGGTAGGGTTGGGTAATAGAGGCGTGGGTACCCGGGTAGAGTCGGGTAATAGAGGGGTGGGTACTTGGGTAGGGTCGGGTAATAGAGGGGTGGGTACCCAGGTAGAGTCAGGTAATAGAGGGGTGGGTACCCAGGTAGGGTTGGGTAATAGAGGGGTAGGTACCCGGGTAGAGTCGGGTAATAGAGGGGTGGGTACCTGGGTAGGGTCGGGTAATAGAGGGGTGGGTACCCGGGTAGGGTTGGGTAATAGAGGGGTGGGTACCCAGGTAGAGTCAGGTAATAGAGGGGTGGGTACCCAGGTAGGGTTGGGTAATAGAGGGGTAGGTACCCGGGTAGTAAGTTTGGACACGTCCCAGCCCTACAGGGGATGTAAATGGTGTGGTACAATACCTGTGGTCTGTTTGGTGTACTTGATGGGAACTGACGACTGAGGAATCCTGTGTAGGAATCAGGCAACGTGCTGAGCCCTGAACGTATGCTTTCCCGATCCACGAAGTCATCATTGCTGTCTCTTCGTCCCTGGTAGTCGTAGGAGAGTGACGACACATACTGTCCTCCAGAATACATCCCCTGCCCAGCTGACCGGCGGTCATCAGTCCTTTCCCTGTCAATCATTTAGTGAAAATGTCAAACTATTAACAAATGTTTTCTTGATGAAAGAATCCTATATATTTGACAGATTATGAAAATGACTCCAAGTACAGTAAACTACATTTATAACGAACACGCTTGTAATGAACTGGCCGATATAACAAACTTATTTTTAGTCCCTGCCATTTGTTGCATATACGCTGTAAATATGCTTATAACAAACTATGGTTATTACAAACTAAAACTAGTGGTCCCTTTGAGTTCGTCATAACGTAATAGTATGTGCTCTCTACAAGTTTTTTACATATATTGTATTTGGACAGTGGCCTTTGAAACAAAAACTTGTCTTGTTATTTTACGATGTGAATTCATATTGCTGACCCTGTACACCAATCTAACTGACCTGTACATACAAGTGATACACCTTTGGCATGCTTGTACATGATGTACCTTAATGCACTTACACATGTTAATTAACAAGTCCCATTACACAAACAGAAATAATAATGGGACGTTTTGAACTTCTCAGAGAATAAATAGTGAGCGAGAAGATGAAAACTGCTTGTAAAAATCTGGATAATATGTACTATGTACTAGATGCTACTATTACTAACTACTACAATAATTGTAACAACAGTATTAGTAGGCTAATTCGACTCACAGAAAAATATTTTTTTCAATTTATTTGTTTTAAAAACAACTTTATTTGATTTGGTATCCTGGTTTTAAACAATCTCATTAAAATCAGATCTTAGTTCTCGATCGCTAAACAAAGATCTGAGGACATCCCATTAGGGTCACGTCAGAACGACCTACCGGTATCATCCGACCAATCAAAGCGTCCCTTACCAGATTGTGAAAGTGACAGTCGGAATGTGTTTTCTAGTCATGCAACCTCAAAAACGTTAACACTGGGCATTCCAAACGACAGAACTACTGATTCCCTCAAGATTATCGTCTATCTCTCGCTTCCGTGGGATAAACATTTGAACGGAGGAGGTGTTGCACAGTGCGTGGAAAGCACTGCCATACAATCTCAGCAATATATCAGACATTCTGGAATGTTTGTTTGTTCATTTTTCAAAATTTTATTCGAGAACTGTGTCAACATATTTTTCAAGCGTAGTCTGAAATGGTAGTCGCCAGGTTGAAACGAGTGCCGTGAAGCTTGAAAAAGCTGCTTTCTAATTAGCTGATGTCTACTTCTTGTTAGTCATTTCAGTGGTTGGTCAAAGTTTGTGAAAGGTCGTTCTGATGTGACCCATAATGGGATGTCCTCAGATCTTTGTTTAGCGGCAGCGGTTCAACAAAGCGATCTTAGCGCCAAGGCGATCATAACTCCAATACTTCAACACAGACTTACGACAATCTTACTGCCAAGATCACTTTGTGAGTGAGTGTGTGAGTGAGTATGGTTTTATGCCTCTTTTAGCAATATTCCAGCATTATCACAGTAGGGGACACCAGAAATGGGCTTCACACATTGTACCCATGTCGCGAAATCGAACCTGGTCCTCGGCATGACGAGCAAACGCTTTAACCACTTGGCTACCTGACCGCTTCGGATCGCTAGGTGGAATTGGACCCAGGTGACATCTTATGAGCATATTTCATCTGTTCTTGTGCTGCCGTAAGTGTTTGTTACATTAGTTCACAATAGCGACATTTGTCTACGTTACAACAAGCAAACTGTAGTTCTATCATGCATTATAAGACTGCAGGGCTGTACCATTTTTTAAGCATGGATGAGACAAATTTTATGTGTGGACCTCATTCACAATGAAAATGAATTGACTATTCAACACATCTTACATTACACAAATGAAGAAAGAAAGACCCTCGGTGTCATCTTACGCTAAGTCAAAAAGTTAATTAGCAGCCTGTGAGATTACAGCAGCCATAAAAAAATTAATTCATTTCATAAATGATATATGCATATGGTATACTATACTTAAGATTAAATAAAGCGTTATTCGACTGTTATACTGAGTACAATGTTACTCACTGGTTAGGACCAACTTCTGATTCAAGTTTCGTTATTTTCTTCAACGTTTTCTCAGTGTCAACTAGTCTCTGTCGTAAATCCTGAACATTTTTCATTAAAGTTAAGGATGCCGCAGCATCAGCCATGTTCTTTTTCCGTTTCGTATTGAAGATTGCAATCTGTCACTTTACTTCAAAAAACTAACATGCTCCAACTTGATTTTGAATTTTGTTGCAAGGATACGAGATTTGTCTGAAAATACTTTCCGCGGAAGTTCAGAACATGATAAAACTGTTTTATCTTTATTTATTATTTTGAAGTTTTTCTTTTCGTAAAATCGTATAATTCTTCAGTTCGCCTCATCCAGCATGTACGACAACTGCAGAATCAACACGAAACCGCGCTGGTTTGTTATTGGTTCGCCATGACAGAACCAATGTCAAGGCCAATGTCAAGGTTGTTTTGAATATTTTGTATAAAACTCCTTTCATTTTCACTTGTGGGATGTAGAAACAAAGGTAATATTCCCAATAAAGTAATACAAATTAACCATCGGAATTTTTAAGAACAAATTTAGTATCTCGCATTTTCTCACTTCCGCTGACGGACACCTATGCGCATGGCAGCCATGTAACTTCCTTTTCTACCGTAACTTCAGCCCCCAACCGAAGCTATCGGAGTGACGAAGTTTTAACTTCGAATATCTCTATCATGGTGAGCCCAATTTCAAATACAAATGTATCTGAGGGTATACCAACAATAAAATTCTGTTCGATTGTGGTAAATTTAACCTGATGACCCCAAATAAATATGATTTTGCTGGATTGAAAATTCAGTGTCCTGACGACGTTGTAATAGAAGCATGGCCGTCAGTATGTCTGAGTTCATCCAGAAGAGATTAGACTATCACAATGTGACACCACCGCATTATCGAGCATAGCAATCATGAATGAGGGCCCACATGTTCGAATAAAATGCTTCGGAGATCATCAATGTAAACACCGGAGCAAGTTCACATTGAATTCTTACGCATCGAAAAGCCTTCGCATAGTTATGGATAGCAGGCTTTAATAATAGGTAACCTCATGATTAGATACATACCAAGACATGCTCTAATGTCGTGGCAGTTCAAGACTTGGGATGCACAGATATTGTTAAGCTATTGCAGGATACATCAAACGAAAACCGAGCTTTCAAGAAAACAATAGGAAGTACCGGTGTAGTGTAAGACTACCAAGAGTTGTGGCACTGCATCAAGATGTTTTTCTTTTCAGTATAAATGTTTAGTAAGCTATTTTCCAGTGCGTTTTATTCAGGATATTAAGTTATCTCTAGGTCTTTACCAAGCCTGTTTTCTCAGATCCTTTTGGGACCTGGCTCATATTGTCTGGTCTTAAAAGGGATCTCAGCGTTAGAAATTGGCACTAGTCCTGTTGTCCTTGCAAAACTGCCCAATAGTAAAGGTATCCTAAGGACTAGTAGAAATTGCCCATTTTAAGGGTTTTGCTGTATGTTAACATCATAAGGACTAGTGGGAAAAAAACTGTTAGTTTCTAACCCTGGATCTCAAATAGATCGGGTGGCCAGGTGCAATGCTTTGGCTGATTGTGTCTCTATTTGCCCTGATGATGATTGTCAGCAAAAAATGTTCATATGTCCACAAAAATTGAAGTAAGGGTTAGGATAAACCAAATCAAAGTTTGGGTGAATACCATATTCGACGTAATAAGCGCCCCACTCTAATAAGCGCCCACGGCGATATTTGCTAACATATTGGTCAGTGAACAATCCCAATTAGTACCCCTTCCGATTGATCAATGTACACAAGACTTATTTATTTGCGTATAATATGCACTTGTGTGTTATATGCACCCTTAATTATGGGCAATTAAATTTTGGAAAGATATTTCTGTTGTATATATAATAAACATTTCAGGCTGTCGGCATAAACAACGAAATTCATCTTTCAACTCTTTTTTTTTCACCAAAATAATATTCTAATAAGAGCTCCCTACTTCTAATTTTGAGAGAGCCATGTGCCCTGATTATGTCGAATACGGTACGATTAGAGGCACCATCCCTCTTAAAGTCTAAAATATTTATCTTGCATCACCACAGTCTTTTAAATGAGTATGTTTGCCATTTGATGTCTTTGTCATGCTAGAAAAAGGCTAAATTATTTTCTTTTTGCAGGGGTTCGTAAAAGTTGTTAAAAACAAGGCATACTTCAAGAGATTTCAAGTGAAATTCCGAAGGAGGAGAGGTAAGCTATTGTCAGATGTTTCTTGTTGGTTATTCTTTGTAGACACAGATTATTGCTACAAAGATATCTAAATGCGGTCTGTTCCAACAACCTTTGAGTGTACTTGCCCAAAACATGTATTTTGGCATTATTTTCTATAATTTTTGTGTCTTAGTATATGGACTAGAATAAGCTGATATTACTGGACCAGAATGTATTTTCTGAGACTTTGGCTTTGGACTAGTGTATAAAATCACAGTGTAAGTGGAGTGCAGAAATTTTCCAAGAAAAATTGCATGGGATCAAATGAAATATTGCTGTTTTTCAAAGTTCAATCTGAACCTGCTCATTATCAAGAATTGACTGTTATTCCTATTTAAACACTTCTCAATTGTACTTTTCCAGAGGGACGTACCGATTACTTTGCTCGCAAACGCTTGATCTTCCAAGAGAAAAACAAGTACAATACCCCGAAGTATCGACTGATTGTCCGTTTCACCAACAAGGACATCATTTGTCAGGTGGGTCTTTGATCCGAGTCGTCATGCCTTAAGGTTGTGTTGTCATGCTGAAGAACCAGGTTCGATTCCAGACATGGTAAGGTGAAGCCCGCTTCTGGTGTCCAATAGCTGTGATGTTGCCAGAATATTGCTAAAAGTGCTGTCGAATCCAAGTGACTACCTTTTCTGAAAATAGTGCCCCAGTGGGGCTACCAGGTTACAATAGAAGAGGTCCCTATCAACTAGTGGTGGGATGGATGATGCATCGGTGGATCACAATGTTTTACTTCTTAAAACAAGTATCAATCACAGTTGCACTATTTTCATTCATCATTTCATGTGCCATGCTTGAGACTGCCAACTGTAAATCGTCAGTGTGCCAGGTATTTTGCTGTGCTGTCTCTGAGAAAGATGGCTTATGCATCACAGATAAGGGTACAAACAAGTATCATGATATATGTTGGATCGCAGTTGGTGTATCGCCCCAGCCCTACTATCAACATATGCTGGTTGTAAAAGACTTAATTGATTCAGTATTGGTGACTTCTTGATTGTCACCATACCCCGACAGTGTTGATCGTTGCACATACCAATTTGCTGGATTGTCTGGTCCAGGCTTGATTGTTTACATGTTGTTATGTGGCTGAAATATTTCTGAGTTTGGTATTAAACAACTTACTTATAAACGTGAAAAGTGCCTTTTTAGGTCTACATTTGTCTCCGCATAACTTAAAGCGTTCGCTCCTCTTTCAGATAGCGTACGCTCGGATCGAAGGTGACATTATCATTGCGGCTGCATATTCCCATGAGTTACCTAGATACGGCGTCAAGGTAGGGCTGACGAACTATGCGGCTGCATACTGCACTGGACTCCTCCTGGCCAGGAGGGTAAGTACACTGAGACCTAACTTCCTTGATACTCACTCACACTTTCTTCAGTCCACGCTCTATATTCAACAATCAATGCTTTTGTTCAGATTTTATTTCTAGGTTTGTCAGCACCCTATACATGCTTGTGGGTTTCACCAAAGTGGTTAACGTCTGAGACCTGCATCACTTCGAGCGTTTAACTGACATGCCTTTATATAACTGGAATACTGTTTAAAGCGGCACTTAAGGCTAAAAAGTAGTCTTGGTTCACAGGCACCACCATAAAGTCCGCCGCATGTTTCATTTTTTTTCCATTTTCTAAAAAATGAAAAAATCCTCATACTTAACCACAATGTGATCCAATATGGCACACAGTTACTTCCCTTTACATGTGCACTGCTTTACTGTGCATCTTGTGTTATAGTAATGGCACCAATAGGAGTTTGTATGCTTGTTTAAGTAGGGAGGCCCTTTCCCAGGTTGATGGTACACAACTGTTTATTTGGTAACATACTTGTTTGAACAAGCAGCACACAAAAACACCGCCCGCCCGCCCGCATTTTTTTAAACCTAACCCATCTCACTCACTCATCGCTTTACTTGAAGCATAACTACACTCTATAGATTAAAACACAAGCTGACGTAATGTCATTGAACGGAACCTAAGAGTGAATCTTGACAGTCATTGTACGTTTGCAAAATGTTACTTTCCGTTGGTACTCCCTGTAGTTTTTCGTTGCAAGTATTCAAATTTAGTTGAAGATTTCATATTTACATTTTTAAAATCTACATTTACAATCTCGGATTTCTTTATGACCAATGACTATTACCTTCTCATTTCTTGAACCGTACAGCTGCTTCAAAAGTTGAAACTTGATTCCATCTACACTGGAGTTGAGGAGGCAAATGGTGAAGAATACTACGTTGAAGATGAGGATGGCAAACCAGGCGCTTTCCGTGCTTACCTGGACATTGGTCTAGTTCGTACCACCACTGGTGCAAGGGTGTTTGGAGCTTTGAAGGGAGCCGTTGATGGTGGCATCGACATTCCCCACAGGTGAGAAAGCTGACAAAAGGATATGGAACTTTTTCAATTCCGGAATGAAAGGCCATGAGTAGGGGATAATTGAATCACCCAGTGGGTAAGAATAGATCCTCCAGTATCTCATGCTTGGTGTTAACTAATGAGGATCAGATGAGACTGGTTGAGTTGACTGTAAGTGTGTCCGTGTGTCTAAAGATTTGGCTGTTTCAGTCACTGGTTAGTCTGGCCTCTGTGATCTTGCTAGATACAGCAGGGACCCGTGAAGTTTCGGGTTAGAATAGGTCTTCAGCAACCCATGCTTGTCATAATAGGCGACCGACGAGGTCAGGGGGGGTCAGGCTTGCTGACTCGGTTGATGAATGTCATTGTATCCCAATTGTGGTGTTAAACAACAAACAAATATACAGCTGACTACAGCATTTCAGTGAGTTTTGTTACCTCAACGGTCACTTTTGTTAAACATGCCAGTACAATATATATATATATATACGTAAATCATGTAGTACCCCAGACCCTCTGCTAGATTTCAGTTTTTTTTTAAAAAACCCCATAAATTACATCCCCTCAATCCAGAACAGAAATACAATCAACCCAGAACAGAAATACAATCAAACACTTAAGATTTCAGTGCAAAAGTCTGAGCACACAGATGACATTCGCTCACAAATTAACGAAGGGTGAATAATCCACATGAATTCTTTCTAAAGATGTTCTTATCCTGTCTGGTGCTCAGCTTTAAGGGGATAAACAAGGACTGGTCCGCTCGCAGTCAGTATTGTCTGAGTGGGGTATCTGCAGTGTTTAACTGCAGCATGGTACCTCAGTGGGCAAGCACTATTAAACCGGCATTGGTCAGGACTAGTACCAGCAGACACACAAACATGCATGTTGCTATGAGTGCAATAATCCTGGAATGCGCCATTAAACCCAATTTCACCCCACCTCATTGATATGACAAAGGTATCCTCTTGTTTGTTTAGCATGAAGAGGTTCCCAGGCTTTGACTCTGAGAGCAGCGAATTCAAGGCCGACATTCATCGCAATCACATCTTGGGTCTGCACGTGGCAGGCTACATGAAACACCTTAAGGAGGAAGATGAAGACCTCTTCCGGAAACAGTTCTCTCGCTTCATCAAGGAGGGAGTTACAGCTGATACCGTAGGTTCAGTCTAAATAAGGGGCTGATTGTGAAGGTTCATTCTGATTAATGGGCCATCTGATACCATAGGCTTTTTCTAAATAAGGGTTATAGGACCTGTGAAGATCCGGGGTCTTCCGCAACCCATGCTTGCCGTAAAAGGCGACTGTGCTTGTCGTAAGAGTCGACTGACGGAATCAGGTGGTCAGGCTCGCTGACTTGGTTGATGCATGTCATTGTATCCCCATTGCGTGGATCGATGCTAATGATGTAAATCACTGGATTGTCTGATCCAGACACGATTATTTACAGACTGTTGTCAAATAGCTGGACTTTTGCTGAGTGCAGCGTTAAACGACAAACACATTAAGTGTCGTAATGCCCAGACAGCATGGATTGTTGCTCACAATATCAATCAGGGGATTTTTTGGTCCGGACTCGGTTATTTACAGGCTGTGGTCATATAGCTTGAATATTGCAGAGTGCAGCATTAAACAACAGTTATCTCCCTTCAGTTATTGGCTGCTGCTGTCAAAAAGATGAAAGGACTCGAACCCATGGCTTATCTAAGGAACTTGATTTATCAAACTGTTCCGCCTTTGTGTTCAACTCACATAAAGTGATTTAGTTCTGCACTTTCTAATTAGTGTGAATTAGCATTTGTTTTGTAATGGTGGTAATGTTACACTAACTTTAACAGTTATTTGGCCTAATTATTGCAAGACAAGGTGATGTAACCTTTTGAAAATTGATACAGAATTAAAATATTGATTCATGGATATATAGTCATCATATAGTCAGGTGGAAGTCCTTGTTGAATTGTGACAACCTAAGCAGGTTAGAAATTAATATATTTTTTCATGATATGCTACAGAGTTGCTATCTACCTAATGGTAAAACTGGTTGTCCAGAAGCAAATGTCACCAGTCCTTAAATTTTACTGGTCTCAGACTAGCAGACTTCTTTTAATTTCAACCCTGCCAAATGCCGAGTGGACAGAAGCAGGGTTTGACAACCCCGCTAGTCTGTTAGTCTGAGACTATTGAAAATCTAGCTTGGCTAGTTGTTTTCTACCCAAACCTAGCTCTTTTACATCAGCTAGTAGTCTGAAAGGAACTGTGGACCTGTTGGATATTACAGATGGTGTCTACCCCTGCTTAAGTGGCAGGTGATATATAACTCAAACAGATGGTAGATGCAGTTTTCACTTTCTGTTCATAGATAGAAATACAATGGTAAATTGTGATGTGAGTCTTGTAAATTTAAATCTGTTTTCTGCTGTTCTAGATTGAAGCGATGTACAAGAAAGCCCATGCTGCCATTAGGGCAGACCCTGCCAAGAAGGCGAAGCCACAGAAGAAGATTACCAAGAAGAGGTAAATTTATAAATTTGAAGGATGTTTTTCAAATTAAGGAGATATTATACATAAACTGTCAGAATTTAAGCATATGCGTCAGGGGGTTAGTGAGAAGACACCCATATTGATGTTTATAGGTCCCTAGATCTGAATATTCTGGGAGCAAACCTATAGTTTCTCTGTAATGTCTTCCTTATAACAATCATACCACTTTGATAACAATACAAAATTTGTGTATAATTTGTCCATGGGTATCATCACTGGTCCAATCAGTATTGAAGCATTTAACAACACCCTGAAGATCTGGGTAGAATAGGTCTTCATAAACCCATGCTTGCCTCTTTCCCAGTCTTGACTTGCCATTCTGTCTTGCAGGTGGACCAAGGCGAAGGTCACTCTGGCTCAGCGCAAGGCCCGTGTCAAGCAAAAGAAGGCAGCTTTCATCAAGAAGCTGGAAGCAGAGGCTGATAATTAAAGTCTGTACGCGAAATGAACTCTGCAGAGACATTAAAGAATTGATGTCTAATCATTTGGTGTTTGAAGTTTATTTTTACTACATTGGAATCATGGCAACACATGACTTAGACGAGTCCAAATTTACTACCCCCGGTACCAGACCCGCTATTACCTGACACTACCTGAGTTACCCACTGCATGTCTCAAAAGCTGAGTACAAAATGTCCGCTTTGGAATTGTTTTATTGGAGCCCTGGCAAATAGTATTCAGATACACGTATAAAACAATCTGTTCATGCATACTCTGAAGTTGACAGAAGCTTTATTTTTATTGAAACATCAGAAGCAATACATGCATGGTCAGAAAGAAAGGTGAACATTAGTGGGTTGTTATGTAAGCATGGAGTTACAGTATGTCTTCTTCACTATAACACATGGATACATGAGATACCTGTCCAGCCCCTCCTCCAACACACCACTTCATATGGTATGGCCTACTAATTGTCAAGGCTCCAGCCTACGTTGATATTTCAGAAATCTCTTTGTAGATCTTAAAGTTTTATATAATATGCAAAATACACAATAAGTACATATAGTAAATTTTCACCTTGATACATTTGTCAATTGTCAAAATGACAACCTATAACATGTTTTCAAGCCACACTGAAAATAGCAGAGAAATATTCTTATGATTTCAATGTCCGATCTTAGTGCATGTTTTAATAAACCCAAAAGTGTCTGGATTTCACAAAGATTCATACATGGTTTGAGAAGAAATGTTCCAAATGCAGGTCAAACTGATTTTGGCCTCTTTCAGAATAAACATTAACAAATCATTCAGCAGCACCCTGTAACGTGCTTGCTCCGTCTATTGATAACAGTGTAAGAATCTAGATTTAAATGTTCCTATATGCAATAAATCGGTATCAAGTTGTTATCCATATTAAGGTTGTATGTGAAGTTAGGTTCTCGCATATGTTGGGTGCCATTGAAGGTCATAGTCACTAGTGGCAAGCAAAGCATGAAGAAAGGTTTGTGCAAGGTAGCTTAGTATTTATGGTTGGAATCGACAAAATTTTGTATACGCAACGTCCAAGGCAGGTGTCAGTAGCACTTTTGGGTGACTGCAGCAATGTACTGTAATGATAGAATTTCGGATCAATTTAAGACAAATTTTCCTACAATTACCTCATGGTTCTGTCAAGGTCGTTTTGAAGGCCATTCAGTCATGAAATGACAAATGATTGCATTGTGAAAGTATTGTTAGAATGGTATGGAGACTTCATATTTGTAACACAGTTTTGGATTTGTGTCTTTTCATGTGATTGGGGATGTCGAAGGTCAAGGTCACACTATCTTGAGAATGATTTCTTGGCAGTTCATAACCGAGATTGAGGTCAAGGTCATAATGCCATTCGTGCATATAAAATGGTTATTCAGGTATCTAGTGGCATAGGACATTGTTTCAAAGTTGTATTGCATTGAGCATGTTTCCCAAACTTCAAGTGCTTATAACTTTGTTATAGAGGTAGCTATAGGCACAGGACCTTGTTCCAAGGTAGTGTTGGGCTTTGATGGTGGTAGTCACAATGTCCTTACTTAGGGATAGATAATATACAAGACAGATTTTCAAAGCCACAGAAACTTGGACATGTGGATTGGTCATTATCCTGAAGTGAACTTTGTTAGGCATTTGTCCCTATCGTATTAAAATCAGATCTTAGTTCTCACTACCACTAAGCAAAAGATCTGAGGACATCCCATTACAGGTCATGTCAGAACGACCTTTCATCCAACCAATCAGACCGTCGCTTACCAGATCATGAAAGTGACAGTCGGAATGTGATTTCTAATCATGCAACCTCAAAATATTTAACAAAAGGTATTCCGAACGACAGTTACAGGTTTTATGATAATATCCATACAATCTAGGCCATCTATCAGCCATTCCAGAATGTTGTTTTGGTTAGTTTTAACTTTTGTAATCAAGAATTCGTCAAAATATGTTTCGAAGCAAAGTCGCCAGTTTGTAACTAGTGCCCTATAGCTCGAGAAAGCTGCCTTCTGATTGGCTAATGTCAGTCATTTCATTGGTTTGTCAATGTTCGCAAAAGGTCGTTCTGACATGACCCGTAATGGGATGTCCTCAGATCTTTGTTTAGCGGTAGTGAAAACTAAGATCTGATTTTAATGAGATTGGCATTTATCCCTGTGATTGCTTCTCATAACCGACTTGGATCTGTAGCATAGCTTTGCCCATTGATGGTCAGACCTTGTTATGGATGTCAATCATGATTATCTCCCTTACTGCTTCCTGGCTACTTCTGTCTCACTTAAATCTGTTATGAAAACAGTTTGGAAATGGTCAACTGCAAAGCCATGCATCCACTCGCCAAAGGATACTTAAAACAATGTTGAAGCAAGAGAATCGCAGTCAGCTGTTGCCAGGGAATTCTGTGTGTCCATCACCTCCAGACATGGATGAGTATCCGTACCAAAATACATGATACAAGCCAGGCTTCTCAAGGCCGAGTCATTTATGGCAAAACGTACAATGGCATCCTCTACAACAGCCATTAGAGTGTAAAACTCCCTGAAAGAGTGAGTGAGTGAATATGGTTTTATGCCGCTTTTAGCAATATTCCAGCAATATCACGGCGGGGGACACCAGAAATGGGCTTCACACATTGTATCCATGTCGGGAATCGAACCCGGGTCTTCAGTGTGACAAGCGAGCGCTTTAACCACTAGGCTACCCGACCGCCCTCTCGCTGAAAGAAGACCAGTCAGAGGTGTTGGTTTTTAGTCATTCACACGCTGAAAAACTTGTCACCAGTATAATTTCAGAATGGGAGAGACAATTTTAATACAACGGTACTCATATTTGATATATTTTGGTAACTAATGGCAGAGATTGACGATCGATGTCATTAGACCAGAAGTGCATAGAACTTGGTTATTAAAGGGCAAGTTCACACGGAAATTAACCTATTTTTCTTGTACTTTTTCCACATTAAAAGTGTTAACCTAGAAGTGTCATAGACAAAAATATAAATAATCACAATTAATTAACATATTTTTCGCATTAAAACGATTTATATTTTTCACATTTACCAAGTGTTCTATTTCCACAACAAAAACAGCATGGCTTATGCCCCTTGCAATATGACGTCATTGGTGCCAATTGATAAACATTATGACGTCATCATGCTTTGTTAGAGCCGCTTCACGTGGTGTAGGTCTAGGTGTGTGATTCTAGCGTCTCAGATGCCAGCCAGCATAGTGTTATGCTGAGTCACCACTGCGCCGGAGTGTGTCGTAGGCCATGTTGTTTTACCGCAAACTGGTACTTGATATCTTTTGCGTTGAGAATAGACAGGGACCCAGTTGAATTGGCACCAATTACGTCATAATCTAAGGGGGATAACTCAGGCCTGTTTAGCTCGAAAAACGAAGGCCTCATAACGACATATCATTTTCACACTATTGTGAGCTTCCTACTTTCACTGTGAAAAAAATGAGTGTATATTTTCAAACACAGATACTAATTAATTCTAAAATTGCGTTTTGTTTAGAAAAAGTGATTTTTGCGTGTACACTTCCCCTTTAAGCTAGAGGCACACGACTGCATTTCACATGTGCTTTCTAAAGTTGCAATTGTTTAAATTAAGCCATGTAAACTGGAAGTGTTTTAACTTTCCAAATAAGGCAGATAGAAGCATATGTCCTAATATGTCTTAATGCTTTCCTGCAATGGACATGTTTATTCTCATGTCACTAGTCTTGCTTTTATGTCACTTGTAGCAATATTCCAGCAATGTCAGAGAGGGGTAAAACATAACACAAAAACATCTCTTAAAAGTTAGTTTAATATAAAATTGATAAAACATATCATAAATACACACTCACACATTAAAACATGGTATGAAAGACCAACATGCTTTTCATTTCACAGATTTAATTTCTTAACATTCGGTGCTCATCTCTGGAGTCTGTGGACCTATTCTAACTAATAAGGACTGTTGCATTATGTATACACCTCCGAGGAGTTAAAGAATACCTGATTTTTTCATACTAGCTATAGTTAATCTGTCAGGCTCTGTGACTTGGTTGATTCAATGATATCATGTCATATTGACCAAGTGAGTGAGTGAGTATGGTTTTACGCCGCTTTTAGCAATATTCCAGCAATATCACGGCGGGGGACACCAGAAATGGGCTTCACACATTGTACCCATGTCAGGAATCGAACCCGGGTCTCCTGCGTGACGAGCGAACGCTTTAACCAATAGGCTACCCGACCGACCCCATATTGACCAAGAAGTGACAGACTAACTATATCTATGTAAAAAACATCAGGTGTTCTTGAACTTATTTTGAGTAGTATATAAACAATATACTCAGAAAGTGTTATCCCAAATATAACATTTGTTACAATTCACACACATTGACTCCTCTTACATTGTCCTCATAACAGTATTCATTGTTACCATTTACTGAGCATTGTGGCTACAATTTATGTCACACTTCCAGTTTGTCAATCAAAGAAAACTGTTCAAGAATTCTGGCATCTTCAGCTTATTCAGAGCCTTGCTCCAAGGAAGAAATGGTCACCCGTCCTTCATTCTTGTGCTTGGTTCAGAGTGTGAATTGGTAAAAATAAGTTGTTAACATGCAAATCGTGTAACCAAGAGCCAAAACCCTTTTGGGAATCCAATAGTGTTGTGTGTTTTTGGCCGCTTTGAACAGTATTTCAGTTATATCACGGCGTGTCCACTTGATCTGGGAGAAAAGCCCAGACTGATGCATGTTGATGTTTACCAGTTGGGGACACTTATTCATAAATATGGTGCTAACAAATCTAGAAACATAATCACGCCAAACCAGGAATTCAAACCCATGATTATAGGTTTCTAGCAAAGGAAAAGGCGTTCCACAAAGGGATCTTAGCATTACAATGGGAACTCCCATACTATAACATAGACTTATGATAGTCATAGTGCTGAGATCACTTTGTGGAACATGGCCCATAACTTGCAGTCCCCACTGGGCCACCCCAGAAAAGTTCTGGCAACACATTCCCTCCCCTTCCCAAAACATAAAATGGTGAGTCCCTATAATGTTGCACACGTTAAGTAGAGAGGAGTGAGCGAGTTTGGTATTAGGCCGCGTTTAGCCATATTCCAGCCATAGGATGTCAGGCGACACCAAAAACTGGCTTGACACAATTTTTGGATTCAAACCTGGGTTTTTGGTGTGACAAGCCAACAATTTAACCATTAGGCTACGCCACTTCCTTTTTTTTATTGATAGCACTAAGGTTGCTCTGTGGAACAGATCCTGTGAGGATTCCTTGGCATCCCCGCATCTCAGGCTTATTGTAAGAGCCGGCTAACGTGAGAATGGGGTGGTGAGACTGTCTCGTGGCTGAGTGCACCCCCTTGCATTCATTCTCTCACTGGGAAGGGTTTGACAAGGCGAATTTGCATTCACTAATTAGGCAAGACCAATGTTTTCTTGTATTACAGATTCTTTGGACCAAATTGGCAGGATGGAAAGGAAAAAGAAGAGAAAAAGAAAAGAAGTCTAGATGAATATAAAGACATGTTTGTACATGTATTACAGGTTTATGAAGCCATGAAGGATGGATGCAGGAGGGGAAAAAAAACCTTTGCAAATGTTAAATATTTCCTGATTTATGGGGTAACTGCACAGAAAACAATGGATGCAGGAGGGGAAAAAAAACCTTTGCAAATGTTAAATATTTCCTGATTTATGGGGTAACTGCACAGAAAACAACTCCTGCTACTCCAAGAAGATCCGGCACAGCATGTTGAAATGAAATTCAAAGACAAATTACCAACTGTGTCAGTCAGCTTCGTTTCAGCTATTTTCTTCATCAGAAAGCTGTTCTGGTTTTTTTCCCTGTGAGCTGAAGCACTTAGTCGACATTTACAAAACCATACAAGAGTGAGTGAGTGAGTGAGTATGGTTTTACGCCGCTTTTAGCAATATTCCAGCAATATCACGGTGGGGGACACCAGAAATGGGCTTCACACATTGTACCCATGTCGGGAATCGAACCCAGGTCTTCTGCGTGACGAGCGAACGCTTTAACCACCAGGCTACCTGACCGCCCCAAACCATACAAGAAACACCAACAATAACTTCACATCCGGCCTCGATAAAGTGCCATTTTCAGAAATGGAAAAATGAAGTGATTGGATTGGCAGCGATGCAGCATCCAATGAAATTATTTACACTTCTGCTGATGGCAAGTGACAATTAGGAAGAGTTGGTCCCTTCCACTGAGAAATGATTCAATATTTTAGTGTCGATTGTGAATTATAATTTTTTATTTTTTTATTTATTTTTTTTAAACAGAAAATTGGTCAGATCTCTAAGACAAGAAAATTGGTCGGGGCTTTGTTTGAAGATGCTTCAGTGTGACTGGTTACTTTCATTATGATACAATCAATCTTTTTATTTGTAAATGGGTAATATTTTCTGTATATGTATATACATATTTACATATGACTGACACAAACACCTCCACATAAACACTGTACCTCTTCTGCTAATGATGGCTAAATGGAAGAGCTTCTCGCTAAAGTGTTTTTCAATGTCAACCTGTTACAAATTTCAGGTTAATTTGAAAGCAAGTCTTTGAAGAACTTTTGTGTTCCACATTCCACCGCGTTGTTCCACTCATTGTTACCTGGCAAGCTCCTACCCAGCACGTGACACCTTCGTTACTCTTGGTAACATTGCTGCAGCCAGTGAGTGTGCGGCCATTACAAGAACCTTGTAATCTGCCCTCTAACCCCAAATGTAGTAACGTTCATACTTTTGTTTATGTCTTTGATAATGCCATCACAGGTAATTCTGAAAAGGTTTACGACTGACCATATTTCCTCGATGAATTTACCTTCTTGTTTGTTTGATGGAAAAATCAACGAACTTCCTCCTTACATTCTTACTATTCCAATTACATGATAGTTCTAATAAAACAGAAATTCAAACTGACAAAGAAAATATTTTTAGCAGGAGTAAGAGTATTCTGCGTCACGACAGGCATCATTTGTTTGTAAACATAACTGTCAGACCATCGCGAATTCAACTCCAAGCATGGTTTTGCCACCCATCACAGTGTGGAGCTTTCACTTGTGGCAGTGATAGTACAGAGAGCTCCGTGAATGGGATATTGCTGTGAGGAGCTTGGCTTCCTGGTAGTAAAGGGAGGTAACTATGTACAAAATTTAATGGCAACATTAATTTCTTTGGTAATAGAAATTAATTTACATTCTTCATTCACCACAAATTTCAACCATCACATTCTTTTGTTCCAGCCAAGAAATGGGAAAATGGTATAAATATTTTGTTTCTTGAATTAGCTGAATGTTTAGACTTATGAAATTGAGTACTTTCTGCTTGTTTCAAATCTGATTTTTCTACCCTACTTCAGAATCTAGAGCCACAACTCTTAACTCTATATTCCTATAGATACAATAATTGCAGTAGCAATTAATTTGGTCAGGCACACTTCCAACACACATCTCTCATAATAAAATGGCACAATCATGATTTGAACTAAATACTAAATATTGAACATTCAGGTTGATAGGAGACTGTCCAGTCACTATTTCGATTTGTTGAAAAAAAAAAGAAGTACTTGTGATCAGTTTTTTCTCAAATATTTGGATTTTTTTAGAAGTAGTTATTCTCATTCTTTGTACATTTGCACTTGTGTTTACTCAAGATCGATCCCATGGTATTAAAAAAAATGAAAAATAAATAATAATATATTTAAAAAAAACCCCAATACATTATTACAAACTGGTTCTCAGGCAACGGAAAATAAGCTGTCAACAACCAACAAGCTTAAGATGTTTTCGATGGAGGGGCTACCAGTTTTCTTTCAAAACAAACTTGTTACCGAAGTGATGGGTGGACAAATTCCTTGTCACTGACTGCATGACATCATTAGGGTGTGACACTTCACCAACTTCCGTATCATAAACCTTTCATTGACAGTAAGACAGCTTTGGGGCCATAAACAAATTGCCGAAAGTGTGCACCTGGGAAAGCACACCCTGTACCATATGTTGAATTATTAGGCATGGTTCGAAGGTTAATAGGTCTTGCTCAAGACACCCACTTTTCTCAATATTATCTCTGCACATCATCAACCCATGTGTCGACCAATACAGTAGGTTGAATAGCTGGGGGAAGGAATTCTGATAAAATTCAAAAAGATATTTTAGTTCTGCTCAGAAAACAAAGATTGCTGACTATGACCTTGTCCCAGAACCTACATGTTCAAGGTCGTTATATCTCGGCAGAAGTTCATTGTCTGAGAACCAGTTGTGTTTCATACTGTGTGGACAGGACAGGACAGACCTATTCAACTTTTGATAGGGTGTACCTTATGTTCTGTTGCACACCAATTAACAACTAACAATAATTTATTGGCCCAGAAACGGTTCATTACAGCTTTACTCAAGCCATATCACAGCAACGGGGACCAGAACATGGGTCTTCGTCGTCATAAGAAAACACTTACTCCACTAGGCTACCCCACTACCCTTATTAATATCTTTATATCCAGGGTGCTTGAAAAATTTCAGCTTTTTCAAACTGCCCAAACTTTAACTCTTAACAGAAGCAGCCGATCATTGGACAGGAAACGGATCAGTTGTTTCTGATGATGTTACTTCATTGATGAAAAAATTGATTCAAGGCAGAATCCAAATTCACAGCCTTTTTCAAGCCTGTTAAACCCTGGTATCCCTATCCTTGAGTTTTGGTTAATGTCACATTGAAAAGAACTTCAGTCACATGACGGCATGTCAGCTTAAAGTAGGAAGAAAGCCTGAAGTCATGGTATCCCCTTCAAAACTTGAGTAGTATTAATCGTAAACTTATCGCAACTAGACCTCCGATATAAAAAAACCCTAATCATGGCACAAAGTGTCAATTCCTTGATGCTTCAGTCAGTGACCAGAACCTAGAGTATCCGTCTACTATGACACAAGCCCCTCCCACTCCACGAGGTACTGGACCTTGCTGCTCGGTGTGACTCGTCTCGCCAACACGTGGAACTTCTCCCCGTGAGCCAGACGGTCCGCGGCACCAAAATACTGCTTCACACTTGACTTCAGACTCTGGAAATTAACTTCCTGAGCTCTTACCGCATGTATAGCACGTGGATCGACCACGTTCTTCACCGGGTGGGGTAAACCCCATATCTTTTTGGGTATCTTTCTCGCGTATCCGTCGAGCATGGCGTCGTATTTCTGATTCTTGCGTCTGCTCCTTTTCTTGGGCAACTCCTCCGGCTGCTCTTCTTCTTCATAGTCCTCACTTATCAAATCAATGGACTCGTCATCCACGGAAAACTGGGACGAGTCCAGCGAGTATTGAGAGGAATTGTCACAGTCAGAATTTAACCGACTTAAATCCAGTAACCTGGCCCGAAGGCGCTCGTGCTTGGCAATTTCTTCATTTCGCTCCACAACAGTCTTGAAAGGATGGTTGGATCCCTCGAAGTTGATTGGTGGTGGGATGATGCTCTCGAGCGTACAGTGGGATGCTGTCTCGAAGCCGCTGTCGTAGTCATCAGAATTGTGGCTGATGGAGCGGCGACTGAAGGAACGTTTACGGCATCCATTGTAACCACTGTACATCTGGCTTAGGCTGTCAGGGGAGTTCTGGAAGAACACATTGTCTTTAAATGTCAGTTGCTATTTCTGCAGTTTCAGGCTTATCAAGTGAGTGAGTGAGTTGGTTTTATTGCTGCTTTGAACAGTATTTCAGCTATTTATCTCAGATTCCAAACTAAGTGTCTTTGGCAGGCGAACTGGGAAAGAATAATTATTTTGAGCAAAACTGGGATTTAATCATATTTCATTAAAATAATGCGGCCTGTATATAACCGTTGATGACACACAATCCACCAAGTTACCGAGAGAGACCACCCATCAATTTGGTCGCATGGGTGCTGAGGACCCAGAAATCAACAGAAAGCTTTATGTAAATATGATAGTAATTTTGGAAAAAGGAATGTCTATGTGAATAGGTAATAGAAGGATTTTTGGAAGAATTGATTAAAATCCATTCAATATTAAGGTGAGATTACCTGGGTGCCATTGTACAACACAACCATAGCGCTACAACTGTCATAAGTCTAACTTCTTTGATAGGCATTTAGAAGTTGGAGCACTAAGGATTTTTGGATGAACAACTTCTTTATTACAATTAGGAGCGACGTTTCGGTGTAGGTTCTAACACTGTTATTAAGCAAGTGATATACAGAGTATGGTTGACAAGTACACAGGCTTCTCTACTCCAGTATAACAATATCTACTCTACTGTATAAACATTGCCTCCTACTTGTATATACACTTGTCAACCACACTCTGTATTTCACCTTAGCGCTAAGATCGATTTGTACAACGGCACCGTCCTGTAGTATTTCCTGTCATCTAATCCGATAAATTGATGCACAAACAAGCATGATTTATTAATGCTAATTTTGTGTATTAGAAAATATACGACAAATACTAACCCATACCTTTCTTGCATCAAGGAGCAGTCTTTTGGCTTTTTTGGTCTTAAAGACGATGGAATCATCGATATCCATGCATTTCCTCTTGGTATACTTCACTGGAATTGGAGAGCTGCTGATAGACAAACAAACAGTACAGTACCACCAGAGATCCAGATAAGCTGCGTATCTGCGTAAAATACGCATCAGAAATGCAGATCAAATCGCAACGAACATTACAGATACGCTACAAAAATATAACTTGTGTGTATATTCAAAATATTGTGAAGTAACCCTGCGTATTCGATTGGCAAATCAGCAACTTATTTTGAAATTATAAACAGGCATTCCGTCAACCTTGCCAAACTCCACGATGACAGATACATTATGATCATTTGCCATCACACTTTCTTGTGGAAGTATCGTGGTATTTATGAGTCCTATAAAGCTCTCGAACCCACACGACACCAGTTTGCAGGGACTAGATGAAGTGTTTTTAAATATTTAACTTAATACCCACATGTGTAAAAACTAGCGGGTAACAGAAATTTGAATACCCAGATGGAATAGCTGATACGCAGTGATTTTAAAATGCATGGGTAAAATACCCACAACACCAAAAGCTTATCTGGAGCTCTGAGAGAGTCATGTTTTCTGATCAGTGCAGTTCCCATTTCTTCAGAGCAGATGGTAGAGTGCATGTTGATCGTCAAAGGGAATACAGTCAAGTCTCGTTAATCCGACACTCGTTAATCCGACACTCGGCTTTATCCGACACAAATGATGGGAACCGATTGATTCAGTGCTATTTAGTCCCGTTAATCCGACATTCTCGCACTCCGACTCCGACACACCTAATTTGCAACGAATTGCCGAAATCACTCATTAATCAGTCTCGTTAATCCGACACAGTGATCAGCGTACTCCGTGGTCATCTGACCGCGAGTACACAACCCCGTGTTTTGACACGCACTGACAGACTATTTTAAGTAGATGAAGCAAGTTGTTAAGACAGTAGCACTTGCATTTACACGGGGAAACGTGGGTCGTTGATCATGTGATAAATTCAGTGAGTAATGTCTCTATTGTTATGTATAAATGGGAAAATTATTATTATTTTTGCATAGTCATTAATTATAAATTAAGGAATGAATGAATAAACAACATAACAATATTAATATTTCGTTTTTAATGATTTTATTACAAGGTACACACGGTTATTATCTATCGTGAAGATGTCCGATTTTCGATCACATATCACTTAATTTCGTTAATCCGACATACTCGTTAATCCGACACAATCATGTGCAACCAACGATGTCGGATTAACGAGACTTGACTGTATAATACAAAGGATTACTTTTTACTTGCTCAATATGCTAAAACAAGGACCAGAGTACCTGACCCCTGTGGTCTGATCAGACCGAAATTCTCTTTTCTGAAGTTTATGAAGCATTTAAACTGTCTTCAGTTTCATTACAGTATCCTGAAATGTTATTCCAAGACGCCATCTCGTTTTCTGGCAGACAAGTCAATATCCATCATGTGTCAGGTCAATATTGGAGGTCAGTGTCAATCACGTGATTAGGGGTTCTACATTGAAATGTTTGTGTGTTGTTTAACGACGCACACTTAGGATCGTTCCAGCTATAATAGAGTGGTTGGTAAATAATCAAGTCTTGACCAGACAATCCAGTGATTGACATCATGAGCAAAGATCTAGGCAGTTGAGATACGATAACATGCATCAACCAAGTCAGCGGGCCTGACACTCGGTCCCGTCAGTCTCATCTTACGCCAAGCATAGTCACCTCTTAGGGCAAACATGGGTTGTTGAAGACCTATTCTCTACCCAGATCTTCACGGGTCCTATATTGAAATGCATTGTTTTGTCATGTGGTATGGATTAACCAATAGAATGGAAAGATTCTGAAAAGAGGCATAACAATCCCCAACAACACACAGGCAAAGAAGCACCTCAGAAGGTCAATGTAAAATAAAAATCCTTATTCCTTCAATTAAGTTTTGAGACACCTTCCCAACGCCAAAAACAATTGTGAAAATGTTGCCATCCCAAAAGAAAGTTTGTTGTAAACTCCACATTCAGCAGTATTGCAGCTACATGTTCAATAATCTGTTTGGACTAGTGGTTGATAGCAGGAGCAACAATGCTGTTGGTGTTCGCTGACACACAATCTGCCATGTCACACTGTTAGACATGACACGATAGGAGTATATAGGAATAATCTTCCATTAATTTCTGTATCCATATCAATATATATATCAATATATATATTAATATATATATATTAATATAGTTTTGTGTCTAGTGTCATAATTTCCGCTATTTCTTAGCTTACCCCACTACACCAACTTTAAACTAATGGCTTGCACGTTGCTACATACCATTCTATGGGTACAAAAGTTTTTGTTTTCCGTCCCTTCATCTGCAGAGTAGACATGACCTCATCCGAGATGTGTCCGTCGGTTGGCAGGATGACGGTCGGGGCAGGAGGGGGGACGCGGACTCTCAACCCCCACAGCGTTATCTTCTTCTTGATCTCACGACCCCAACTGAACCTGTACGGTCACCAAGGACACAGTGAGTGAATGGAGTTTTATGCCAGTCAGCAATCAGTTCTTCAACTTAACGCTAACTGCAGTCAATTTGTCTCAAGGCGTGTGGAATGTCGCGATTGTTCGAGTCAGTAAATTATCAGAATTCTGGCTGGGATTATGGAGTCATAATATTAGCCTCTCCAGAAATCAAATGGTTGGACGTTCGTTGTTTAACTTCTCACTCGGCAATATTCCAGCCACATGATGCAGGTCGGTAAATAACCAATGGACCAGACAATTGAGTGAGTGAGTGAGTATGGTTTTACGCCGCTTTTAGCAATATTCCAGCAATATCACGGCGGAGGACACCAGAAATGGGCTTCACACATTGTACCCATGTCGGGAATCGAACCCGGGTCTTCGGCGTGACGAGCGAACGCTTAAACCACTAGGCTACCCGACCGCCCACCAGACAATTGAGTGATTGACCTACGCAATTGGGTTGTCAGCAAGCTTGACCACCTGATCCAGTTAGTCGCCTTTTATGACAAGCATGGGTTGCTGAAACCCGGTCAAATGGTTAGTCCCTAAGGAAGGTTGTGTGTAGGTATTCCTCTACTACGATATGATACCACACTCTGTGTGAAGAAAGGATGATATCTTCATGGCAGCGACAGGAGAACTTTTCAATCAGCCAATCAGCACTGAGGCTTCTAAATTCTTGGTACAAGTGAACGAAGTATCCAGACCAGCATATCAGATTTCTGTATCTCCAACATGAATTATGTTTATTGTTTAATGCCACAGTCAGCAATATTCCACCTATATGATAGCGGCCTGTAAAGGATCAAGTCTGGACCAGACAATCCAGTGATTGAGAGCAACGTTCTGTGGTGTCAGAGTATGTTTACATGCCGTCACCAAGTCAAAGAGCCTCCTACGGCCAGCATGATGCTGGGGACCAATTCCAACCTTTGATCCCCACAGGTAGATAAATAATAGGGTTGGTGTATTGAACCGGGATTTGAAGCCACGATCATAGTTTCTGACGCGTCCAAGGGACGCAACTCTGCACATTGAATTGCAGCGCCTTAGATCTTCACAAAGAGGTATGGTATAGGAGTAAAAGATCAGGGCCCACTTGCAAAAAATGCTCTTAGTGCTAAGGTGATCGATACTCCCATTCTTTAACATTGGCTTAAGATAGTTTAAGCGCCCAGGTCGCTTTGCACAAGTGGGCCCAGATTTGAATGAGTCTGCAACGTGGCTCACCTGGACTTGTGCGTCTGCAGGGACTGCAGCACCTCCATCTCCACTTCCTTGTTTGACGTACAGTTCAACTGGAACAGCAAAATGCTTGTTTTGACTCTCATCACAGGTTGTAGAAAATACCATCTAACATGTATTTAGGGGCTCAATTTGAAAACAAATATTCATGCAAGTGTCATTTTTTGTCACCCTTTGTTTTACTATTTTCCAAACTAGGAGAACATATGAATGAAAGCAGCCTTTTGATAATTACATAAAAAAGTATTTATCTTTCAGTTTCTTCCCCCCCAACAAATCTTTGAGGTAACCATACAAACAAGTTTTTAAAATCATTTTTTGAAATACCAATCACTGGCCTTAAAACTTTCAAACTTAATTATCTTCCTTGTGTTTCAGTTAAATGATCTTACTTGTTTGTTCATTTTTAGTTATTCTTTCATTGTTGCTTGTTCATTACCTTTGAAGCCTCAGGCCTCAAAGTTGCGACTGAAACGGTCGCCAATTCGACCTAAATTTCAATTTCAATTCTAAAATTCAGAGGAAGCCAAATGACTACCTTGAATAATATCTTATGGCAACTCAATTCTATTGCTTCACATTTGAAGACACAAAAATAAATAATAGCTGATTGCGGAACACATGTCTGCTAATAATTGTACTTGCGTATAATACCTCCTAAAGTCGATAATGAACAGAAATACATAAATATCAATGTAATAAGTATTTTATTTCAGTTGACAATGCTCATTGGATAAGCAAGGATATACCTATATCATCTAGTAACATAAATTGCATCACTGTTTAGGTCACAAATAAAAAACATCAAGGAAACAGTATCCACTAATATACAATTTCAAGACTAGTGCTATGACTTGTACATACTATAGTTAGTTACTTGATAAAAGATAATTTCAAATGCTTTTGGCTACCTACAATATTGGCTTGACTTCTTGATTTTACCACTGGCTACTGGGAAAAAGATGCTTGTAGCAATATGGCCTGAGCCTATCGATGAGATTGATTTTAATCGGTTGATTGGTTTGTTGTTTAACGTCAATCAGCAATATTCCAGCTATATGACGGCGGTCTGTAAATAATCGAGTCTGGACCAGACGATCCAGTGATTGATATCATGACCATCGATCCACGCAATTGGGATCGATGACATGCATCAACCAAGTCAGCGAGCCTGACCACCCGATCCCGTTAGTCGCCTTTTAACGACAAGCATAGTCCCCTTTTACGGCAAGCATGGGTTGCTGAAGACCTATTCTATCCCGGAATCTTCACGGGTCCTATCAATGAGAAAGCTGCGAACTATGGGTGGCGTTAAAACTGACCTTGTCCAGCTGCAGGTTGTCCCATCTGTCACACACCCAGGGCAGGATGACGTCAATCAGGTCGTAGTACTTCTTGGTGCCCTCCACGGTCAGGTTGAATAGAGACAAGTGGACAATGTCCACCCTGAAATAATGAGTGAGTGAGTTGGGTTCAACACTGCTTTTAACAGTATTCCAGTTATATCACTGTGCGTCAGTTTAATGTGGGAGGAAAGCCCGAAGTGATGCAGGTCTCGGACGTTTACCACTAAGGTGAAACCCACAGGCACAGGTATGGTGCTGACAAACCTAGAAACATAATCGGGGCAAACCGAGATTCAAACCCACAATCATAGGTTTCTAGCGTGCCCAATGGATGCAACTCTGCACAGCGAATCGCGGCGCCTTAGACGACCGGGCCACCCGTGCACCCTTCTACCCACCACCCTGAAATAAGTTATAGGCATTAGTAGTGGAACGATACGCTGGTAGATCAGTGGATCGCGATATTTTACTTCTCGATACACAATCACAGTAGCACGCAAAGTATAAAATATATCGATCATTCCTTAAATGTTTGCTGTTACACAAAACACTAATTAGTAGTGAAAATTATAAGTGAACATAAATATTTTCATCAATTGCACCACACTTGATGCTACCAACTGTAAATTGAATATTTGGCCATCCTGTCTATGAAAAAGATGGCTTACTCATTACAGATAAGAGCACATGTATTTATCATATGTATCGGATTGTGAACAAGGTATCGTGATATGTATCGGATTGTGAACAAGGTATTGAGATACATATCGGATTGTGCACAAGGTATTGTGATGCTCATGATGTCAATCACTGGATTGTCTTGTCCAGACTTGATTATTTACAGACTGTCATATAGCTGGGATATTGTTGAGTGCTGCTAAACAACAAACACCCTGACAGTGTTCAGTCTTACCATTTCATATCCAGCCGCTTGATGTACTCCGGGCCATGGTTACAGTGGGAGCACACGAACATGTAGAATCTGTCCCCACACAACAGCGGCACCTCCAGACACTGTGTACAGGCTGAAACACAGGCAGATCAGACAAATACAGGTTAGATCAGACAAATACAGGTAAGATCAGACAAATGCAGGCAAGATCAGACAAATACAGGTAAGATCAGACAAATGCAGGTAAGATCAGACAAATACAGGCAAGATCAGACAAATACAGGTAAGATCAGACAAATGCAGGCAAGATCAGACAAATGCAGGTAAGATCAGACAAATGCAGGCAAGATCAGACAAATACAGGTAAGATCAGACAAATACAGATAAGATCAGACAAATACAGGTAAGATCAGACAAATACAGGTAAGATCAGACAAATACAGGTAAGATCAGACAAATGCAGGTAAGATCAGACAAATACAGGTAAGATCAGACAAATACAGGTAAGATCAGACAAATGCAGGCAAGATCAGACAAATGCAGGCAAGATCAGACAAATACAGGTAAGATCAGACAAATACAGATAAGATCAGACAAATACCCTACTTATACCACACTTTTGGTTCATTGCCATTGGATACTTTCAGTTCAATGAAAAAATATAATAATGCTGTTCACTATTTTTCAAAATCCCAAATAATCAAAAGGCACCAGTTCACCACTAGACTTATCTGTTTAGTAAGTTTCAACAAGATATATTAAACGATTTTGGAGTTCTCCGGAGGAAACGGAAAACAACTTGTTTTCATCATGAAAACAAAACAAAATAAAAAGAATAAAAATCCCAAATCATCAAGAGGCACCAGTTCACCACAAGACTGAATAATGTAAAGTTTCAAAAGAAATATTTAACTGTTTTTGGAGTTCTGCTCTGGAAACGGACGGACAAACATGATGACTGCTAAAGCGGGGGAAAACAATGCTGTGTGTCAAGTGTTTTGTCTTCGGAGAGGTGTTTTATTTATATATATTTAGTTGTATGTTCACAATCCCCTTGATGAAACTTTTCCTGAATAAAATAGTTTAATTCAAGTCAGGTTTAAACATGCACAGATAATGGATCTTTGTCACATAGTTTCTTGAACCACAAGGACGATCATCTTACCTTCATGAAACCACTGTCTGCATCGACAACACTGCAACATCTGCTGGTACCAGCTGCAACATTTCAAACATTCACTGACTATTGACTGACATTAGATACAGGGAGTGGGGAGAACACTGCTTGAACAGTATCCAGCCGTGGTTTTACCTTGACTTATGAAACTGGTAGGCCCTGGACCCCCAATAATTTATTTTCAGGGTTCTTAAGAGAAATATGAGGGTCCTATAAAGTAATAAAATGGTGTCGTATACTGTACTTAAGATTTGATAACTATCCTCAAATATATTTTTTTTCCATTTCCATTCCTTACAAGATGGTGACCTGTCAATCAGACAGCTAGATATTATTCCAGCCAATCAGACAGCTAGATATTATTCCTGCCAGACAGCTAGAGGTTATTTCGGCCAATCAGACAACTAGATGTTATTCCTGCCAATCAGACAGCTAGATATTATTCCAGCCAATCAGACAGCTAGAGGTTATTCCGGCCAATCAGACAACTAGATATTATTCCAGCCAATCAGACAGCTAGATATTATTCCTGCCAGACAGCTAGAGGTTATTCCGGCCAATCAGACAACTAGATGTTATTCCTGCCAATCAGACAACTAGATGTTATTCCTGCCAATCAGACAACTAGATATTATTCCTGCCAATCAGAAAACTAGATGTTATTCCTGCCAGACAGCTAGAGGTTATTCCTGCCAATCAGAAAACTAGATGTTATTCCTGCCAATCAGAAAACTAGATATTATTCCTGCCAATCAGACAGCTAGATATTATTCCTGCCAATCAGACAACTAGATATTATTCCTGCCAATCAGACAGCTAGATATTATTCCTGCCAATCAGACAACTAGATATTATTCCTGCCAATCAGACAACTAGATATTATTCCTGCCAATCAGACAACTGGATATTATTCTGACTAACTCACTCTCCAGGCCCCCCACAGTAACAGTAGCACTGCTGGCTGTTTGTCTTGTGTTGCGCATCCCACGTCAACTTGTTCAACTGAAACATGTGTAATGCAAGACAATATTAGAACAGAAAGTGTATATTCCAGTTTAATGACTAAAGGTACTTTACAAAACACATTCACTGTGACATTACCTTTTTATACCTTTTCCGATTGACACGCCATTCTGAGGATGACATGTTCCCAATTTGACCAAAAGTAAATGCATTTAGAGTCAACAGGAAAACAATGTTTTCTCCGAAAATTACTAAGATGGTGACCTTAAGATCAGGGTGGCATTGTACAAAGCGATCTTAGCGTTTGATCGTAACTCCCATACCTTAACATAGACTTACGACAGTTGTTACGCTAAGGTTGTTTTGTACAACAGCACCCAGAAAAATGCCCTCTATTGCAAGAGACAAATTGACTTGTATTTGCATTTATTGCGTTAAAATCCTAACAAATGGTGAACATATTGCACAAATTCGTTTAGCAGATGTATGCAAAGAGTGCACACCATTTTCACGTTTGTAACTCCACCGAACGCAAATTCTTACAAATACATATGTCAACAGTAATAACTTCAGATTTTTTATTCAATGATGAACACAAATATCGACATCAGTACGAAATTAGTTTCATCGTTCAGCGCAATAATGCAACACAAGCCCCGCTCATTCTATTTTCAGCCAATCAGGAAACAGTAGTTTGTTAGTGGGCATAGTCGAATTTTTTCAAGTTCATGACACAATTGTTTTTGCTTGGTTAGCCAATCAAATACTATGGAATTGCTTGCAAATTTTCAATCAAGAATTGACTTTCACTTTGTGTGAGTTTAGTGGAGTATGGACTTCCATAAAAGTGAGGTCCTAATGAATGTCCGAGCATGCTTACTTATGAAGGACAGTTTCCTGGTCACGTGACCGGCCTCTCGTCCTATGTAAAAGGCCTATATCGTATAACTTCACATGGAAAACCCGTGGAGCTATAATCGGGATTATAATTCAGCATGGCTACTTACATTGTATGGAAATGTCTGCTTCATGGTTTGGAAAGCCTTTGCTGAAATTCAGACCAAAAAGTATGTAATTCTAATAAAAACATCTAAGACAGACCAATCAAACACACGCTCAAAATCAGGCCATGTTAACTGCTTTAGAAATTGGCACTAGTCCTGTAGTCCTTGCCGTACTGCCCAATAGGTAAGGTATCATAAGGACTACTAGAAATGTGCTACTTTTAAGGGTTTTACTATATGTGATCATTATAAGGACTAGTGGACTGAAACTGTTAGTTTCTACCGCTGTGTTAACATGACTCGGACTTGATCGCAATTTGCAGTAAAGCAAATGTTGTCTTCCAGTGAATCTATGACGTCTGTGTAGCAGACTATACACAAAAATAAGAGCTGAAATTTTCTACTGGACAGAAATGCAACCAGTGGGAAGGCAGCTGTTTCAGACACTGATATTACTTCAGTCATTTTCATTTTGCTTCAACAGTGTGTATATATCTAACTTTAGGGCGTTTCATCATTGAAAATGGTAAATACTGGCGCCTGACTAAGATGATCTTTCATAGGACTGAATAATTTCATGTTGTATGGACACATTGGGCACACCGCTAAAGAAATCCCTTCTTTAACGCCACACTCAGCAATATTCCAGCTATATGACGGCGGTCTGTAAATATTCGAGTCTGGACCAGACAATCCAGTGATTGACATCATAAGCACCGATCCACGCAATTGGGATACGACATGCATCAACCAGGTCAGCGAGCCTGACCACCCGATCCCATTAGTCGCCTCTTACAACAAGCATAGTCGCCTTTTATGGCAAGCATGTGTTGCTGAAGACATATTCTACCCCGGATCTTCATGGGTCGACATATATTCAGCCAGGTCATCATAACCACCCAATACACATAAGTTGACTCTTAACAACAAGCATGGTGTACTGGGGCCCTATTTGGTCCTGGAATCCCCATTGGGATTAACCATTTGATTACTGATTAAAACTGCACTCAGCAATAATAAGTTTCAAATGAATTATATCATCCAGTCTGGACCAAGGTACTAGGGGTGACTATTGGTCTGGAAATCACCATTGCGATAACTATTGATATTGAAAGAAAATATTGCGATAACTATTGATATTGCAAGCAACTTTTGCGATAAATATCGATAGTTTTCAGTGTATCATTTTAGATGGATTTTAGAGTTGAATCAAATCTTGGAACTGAAGTTTCCTTTGAATGTGTTAACCATAACAACAAATAAAAAGTAAAATTTGAGATATAACTGATTTGTTTTTTCTTAACCCTAATAATTTAAGAAAAAGAAACTTCCACATTACCATGTGAAAACTACTACCAACAAATTTAACAGCACTGCATGTATTTTATTGATATGGTAAATACAATCGAAACTATCGATATTCCTAACTGAAATCGATACTATTGATCGGAAACTGATTTAACAATCAATTTATTGACTTTATGTGCTTACCAATAGCAATTATCTAGATTTTGATTTATTGTGACACCCCTACAAGGTACTCTACCTGTTGGTCCCTTCTTGAGAGCGCCTCCTCTCTGCAATGGTAAATGGGGATAGTGTGATGATATTAAAGAAACTGTTTTCAAACACGAAATTAAACAAAATGTCTTTAGGTGAGGTGAAATTGGGTTTAACGTCGCGTCGAAGATTATTGCACTTATATATCAACGTGCATGCACACATGCGTGTGTGTGTGTGTTTGCGTGTGCGTGCGTGCGTGCGTGCGTAATGCCGAGCTCCAGACAGGGTAACAACAAGTACCATCTTTTAACGTCTTTTGGTATGACGCGGCCGGGGATCGAACCCCGGACCTTCCGCTCTCCAGGCGGACACTCTACCACTAGACCATGGAGACGGTCAAAATGTCTCTGCAGCATCCAAACAATGTCTCTGAGACTCGCCAGGTATTCTCACTCACCTTGACGGTGGTAGCAAACACACACAGCCTACACATGAAGTCCACGCTGGGCTGCAGGATGGCGTCATCTATTGGGGGATTGTGACACTGCTGGTGGTAGCCTGGAGACAACAACAGATGGGTCACGCCAACACTCAGGTAACATCACACACAGGTAACAACACACACAGGTGACAACACACACAGGTGACAACACACACAGGTGACAACACTCACTGACAGGTGACAACAAGACTTACAGGTGACAACAAGACTCATGGGTGACAACAACACTGACGGGTGACAACAACAGATGGGTCACGCCAACACTCAGGTAACAACACACACAGGTGACAACACACACAGGTGACAACACACACAGGTGACAACACACTCAGGTAACAACACACACAGGTGACAACACTCACAAGAGACAACAACACTGACGGGTGACAACAACAAACGGGTCACGACAACACTCACTGGTGATAACAACACTCATGGGTGACAACAACAGGGGACACCAACACTCACAGGGGACACCAACACTCACAGGGGACAACAACACTTCCAGGTGACAACAACACTCACAGGTGACAACAACACTCACAGGGGACAACAACACTGACAGGTGACAACAACACTCACAGGTGACAACAACACTGACAGGTGACAAGTCTACATGTCACAAGAACACTCACAAAAAAAGATAAAAATAAATTTATTTTCTTGAGTCAGTTGTTGGTGAGTGGTTTGGTTGGTTTTATGCAATATTCCAGAAACATCACTGCAGGGGACTCCACAAATGAGCCTCACTGTACCCATGTGGGTAATTGCACCAGGGCCTTCGGCTCGACGAGCAAACCTTTTTCATCAATAGGCTACTACACCTCTGCCCCGACAGTTGTTTGAAATAACACGAGAACTGCAGTCATTTGTCACTGTGTCTGGGGACATGGAACAAATCCAACCATGTACGTACGACTATTTAAAAAAAAGCAGAAATTTAAATCATAATTATTTCTTTAAAATGGCATATCCAGATTAAATCCATGATAATGGCCTTACCTAGTCCACAGTTGTCACACAGTACTATTTCATTGGGGACATCCGACCTCTCATCTCGGCATATACAGCAGGCAATGTCGCCCTTGATGGCCCCTGGAAACAGCCAATGAAACATACACAGTGAGTGAGTGAGTGAGTGAGTGAGTGAGTGAGTGAGTGAGTGAGTGAGTGAGTGAGTGAGTGAGTGAGTGAGTGAGTGAGTGAGTGAGTGAGTGAGTGAGTTTGGTTCAAGTCCCTTTTGAACATTTGGACAGGATTCAGTGTTCCCGCTGGCTTTTGAAACTACCAGTCCTGGTGGACTGGCAACACTAAAAATTACCAGTCCCCTCCTAATTTTTGTCAGTCCCAACTTTCAACAATTAAAAAAATGTATAAAAATTACCTGGTTTTAATTCATTCGACATGACATCTCTGAAGTAACTTAGTTAGATCTACACGTCATTCACACAAAGTTTGGTCACTATTTTCTTTTTTTTTTGCATTTCAAGACTAAGTCGCTACAATATTTAACCTAAAACCAAAGCAAAATGTTATTTCCTTGCACTAAAAATAGACCAAGGGAAAGCCTGAAGGTAACTGACGACATTCGAAAAATATACTTGTATGAATATCACCGATGTTTTTTGTTCAACAACAAAGATTTATAAGGTACTCTATTTGCCGGTCCAGAGGGACTGGCAGTCACATGAATTACCGGTCCTTGTCAAATTTTACCGGTAAAAAACTGGTAATTACTGGTAAACGGGAACACTGGGATTTCTTTATTTTCAGTGTGTCTGCTTTATGTTGGAGGAAAGCAGGGCTGGATTAAAGGAACTTGCATCAGGTGCATGTTGACATTAAAACAGAGCTCCAGATAAGCTTTTGGTGTTGTGGGTATTTTACCCATGCATTTTAAAATCATTGGGTATCAGTAATTCTATCTGGGTATTCAAATTTCTGTTACCCACTAGTTTTTACACATGTGGGTATTTAAGTTAAATATTTAAAAACACTATTCATCTAGTCACTGCAAACTGGTGTCGTGTGGGTTCGAGAGCTTTACAGGACTCAAAAATACCACGATACTTCCACAAGAAGGTGTGATGGCTAATGATCATGATGTAACTGTCATCGTGGTGTTGGGCAAGGTTGACGGCATGCCCGTTTATAATTTCAAAATAAGTTACTGATTTGCTAATGGAATATGCAGGGTTACTTCACAATAATTTGATGATACGCACAAGTTTTATTTTTGTAGCGTATCTGTAATGTTCGTTGCATATTTGATACGCTTGGATTTTATTTTACTGCGTATTTCTGATGCATATTTTATGCAGATATGCAGCTTATCTCGAGCTCTGTGAAAATCTAGATGAACCGGACAAAAAAGGTCGCATTCTTGTCCCATAAATTTAAATGAACATAGATGCATGAACTGAACAAGTGCATCTCGGATCTCTGATGACTGAGTCAATATTTTTACATAAATATTGCTGTAAATGTAATGCTGACAGGATGTGCACATAGTCTTGAAGTACCCACAGTTTAATGATGTCAACCAGAAGAAAGAATGACAAATCACACAACACAGGGTCTAGTTATGGTTTTGTTTGTTTCTTTGTTGCTTAACGCCACACTCAGCAATACTACAGCTATATGACGGGGTCTGTAAATATTTGCGTCTGGACCAGACAACCCAGTGATTTTATGTAGTATGGTACATAAAGCTTAGAGGTATTCACTGTGTTCAAAGATTGTTGTTGTGTATAAAAGACAGAGTTAGTCAGACACTTCGGGGCGGAGGGTGGTGGGGGTAATAAATACAGAGGCCCTGTCGAGAAATCCCCACTGAACCTACCTCGCTGAATGTCCTTGAAAAGCACCCAATGTTCAGAGTTGTCTTCAAAGTGGACCAGACACTTGCCAACCTTATCGTCTATCTGAAATGAGTGAGTATGGTCTTAAGCCTCTTTTAGTAATATTCCAGCAATATCACTGCAAAGGACACCAGAAATGGGCTTCACATATTGTACCCATGTGGGGAATCAAACCCAGGCCTTCGTGATGAGCGAACACTTTAACCACGAGGCTACCCAACCTATCCTCTTCCTGAATTGACACCATGTGAAGGAGCTAGGACATGTTTCTTCATAAGGGGAGCATACATTAACATCAATCTTAACTAAGTTTGTCTAGAATCTGAACAAGTGTGGACAGGGACACCTTCAGCATAAATTGCTTTGGTTGGTTTGTTGTTTAACGCCGCACTCAGCAATATTCCAGCTATATGATGGCGGTCTGTAAATAATCGAGTCTGGACCAGACAATCCAGTGATTGATCTCATGAGCATCCATCCACGCATTTGGGATCGATGACATGCATCAACCAAGTCAGCGAGCCTGACCACCCGATCCTGTTAATCGCCTTTTACAACAAGTATTTGTCACAAAGTGACGAAATGTCCCCCGCCTGTATATACACCATTGTACCAAATATGAAGACAATCCAGTGATTAGTTCTTGAGATATCGCTGCAACACCGTTTTCCAACTCCAAAAGCAGATTTGCCTGCTGTGACCTTGAAAATGGGGTCAAGGTCACCAAAACCTACTGGTGTCTGCGGTGTCTGTATATACACCATAGTTCCAAATATGAAGACAATCCAGTGTTTAGTTCTTGAGATATCGCGGCAACACCGTTTTCCAACTCCAAAAGCAGATTTGCCTGCTGTGACCTTGAAAATGGGATCAAGGTCACCAAAACCGACTGGTGTCTGCATATACACCATAGTTCCAAATATGAAGACAATCCAGTGTTTAGTTCTTGAGAAATCGCGGCAACACCGTTTTCCAACTCCAAAAGCAGATTTGCCTGCTGTGACCTTGAAAATGGGGTCAAGGTCACCAAAACCGACTGGTGTCTACGATGTCTGTATATACACCATAGCTCCAAATATGAAGACAATCCAGTGTTTAGTTCTTGAGATATCGCGGCAACACCGTTTTCCAACTCCAAAAGCAGATTTGCCTGCTGTGACCTTGAAAATGGGGTCAAGGTCACCAAAACCGACTGGTGTCTGTGGAATTTGTATATACACCATAGTTCCAAATATGAAGACAATCCAGTGTTTAGTTCTTGAGATATCGCGGCAACAAACAGGTGGGACGTACGTACGGACGGTCGTGAATACTATATCCCCCGCTTCGCGCTTTCGCGCGGCGGGGGACAACAAGCATAATCGCCTTTTACAGCAAGCATGTGTTGCTGAAGACCTATTCTAACCCGGAATCTTCACGGGTCCTTCAGCATAAATACATGGGGCCATTTTCAAAATGTCGGAGGCCACACTCTGAGAGGTCATATAAAACTGATGGAGAGAGAATCACCGTCCACATGCAACGTTAGAGATATGCAGAATGAATGGCGCTGATAGTAAATTAAGACGTATAAGGAAACGAAAATCTGGAAGTTTAATGCAATAATTATAGCAGCGGTCCCAGTGATGTAAAATATTCCCATAATTACATAAACTACATCCATCTACAGGATGTCCCATTGGGACATAAATATTAAGCACGAATCAATAAAGTATTGCGAGAATCCTGCTGTTTGCTGCTAATGTCACACTTAGCGATATTCCAGCTTTACGACAGCAGCATCGAAAATAATCAAATCTGGACCAGACAACCTATGATTGATGTTATGAACAATGTTCCATGCAATTGGGACACGATGATACACAATCTCATTAAAATCAGATCTTAGTTTTCGCTGCCGCTAAACAAAGATCTGAGGACATCCAATTACGGGTCACGTCAGAATGACCTTTCATGAATTTTGACCGACCAATGAAATGACTGACAAGAAATCGACATTAGCCAATCAGAAGGCAGCTTTCTCGAGCTTTATGACACTAGTTTCAAACTGGTGACTACGCCTCGAAACATATTTTGACATATTCTCTATTAACAAAATTAAAACTGATAAGAACATTCTGGAAAGTGGAATGGCTTATAGATGGCCTAGATTGTATGGATATAATCATAAAACCCGTAACTGTCATTCGGAATACCCCGTGTTAAATATTTCGTGGTTGCATGATTAGAAAACACATTACGACTGTCACTTTCATGATCTGGTAAGAGACGCTCTGATTGGTTGGATGAAAGGTCGTTCTGATCCTCAGATCTTTGTTTAGTAATAGCGAGAACTAAGATCTGATTTAAATGAGATTGGATGATACACATCACCAAGTCTGACCACCCTTTCCATTTAGTCACCTATTAGTATTATGACCCGTGAAGATCCGGGGTAGAATAGGTCTTCAGCAACTCATGCTTGCCGTAAAAGGCGACCACGCTTATCCCAAGAGGCGACTAACAGGATCGAGTGGTCAGGCCTGCGAACTTGGTTAATGCATGTCACCGTATCCCAATTGCGTAGATCAATGCTCATGATGTCAATCACTGGATTGTCCGGTCTTTGACTTGATTATTGATGGAATATTGCTGAGTGCGGCATTAAACAACAAACAAGACAAGCATAGGTAGTTGGGGAACAGTTTTGACCCAGTATCCCGACAACGAACTTACCTTCATGATCTTCCCCAGGTAGAAGAGGCCGTCACTCCATCGACACAACACCTCCAGGCTGACGTGGAACTTCCCTGCCACGGTCTGCGTCACCGAGCCCGGGGGTCTCCCTTTACAGCTCATCTCACCTGTCGACAGATCAGTCTTAGCATCAACATGATACAGGTGAGTTAACTAAACGGGTTTGAGATGAGTCATGGAGACCCCATCACCCAATCTCATGTCAGCACAAACATGTCATGACAGATTAACCAGGGTTCACTCTTGGAATTTTCTGACATGGGCCCTTTATCATGTTTATGTGAAAATTTCAAATATTCCAGAGGTACACCCACACTTGCCCATACAGCACAATGTTAAAATGACCCATTGTGTTTGAAAATGCGTCCTTTGTTCAAATTTAGGGGGTAAAAGCAAAGAATTATCCCTGATTAACTATGGTCATACAAACAAATTGGGTGTTCTTGATTGACATCAACATTCAAAAGAAATACTTATTTAACGTGACTTTCCCCTTTATATACATGGAAATCTACAGCCTTGTTCAAACAAACCCTTGAAAATACTGAAAATCACTCTAATAAAATAAACTCTGCCTGCAAAGGATGATTCCTGAGTATTAAGGGTAATCCTTATGCTACCAGGTGCTCCCCGCTGAATTTCAATTGTACCCAAAAAAGAAAGTCGAGCATTGGTGATATCATCGCATGTTTCAATCAAGGGAGGACTGCGTAATTTGATTTTATGACTATTTTTGGCTAAGGGGCTAGAATGGAAAAATAATACACTGGATAATTAGGAGATAAACATACTGTGTTTTCAATGTAGAGCTAGGTTACCTGTAGATTTAACCCCGCTAAATTGAATTTGGAACCGAACGCGCAGCGTGAGGTTTCAAATGTTAAATTTAGTGCCAAAATTCCAAGCTCTCTGTTGTTTCCAAAACGTAAATACATTCCCCTTGTAGGTTTCTATCGTGTTTTCTGCACGAAAATGTATTGCCACACATCCTTTGAATATTGTAGTAACAGCATCTGTGCATTTTGTTACCTGTAATTGTAGATATAATTATTTAAATATGCCTACCGACAATGACTTAAAATAGTACTATTCTATGAATATTAGCTTCCGCGACGAGGCGGCTGTCAAACCAGCTGTTTCAATCAGAGGGGGTTTATTGTGATTTAATAGCCTCTGATTGACCAATCAGAATCGAGTAAATTCCAAATTCATGGTAGAATTGAGGTTGTGATCCCAGCAGGCCATCAAAACATCACTGGCCAATAGGTGATGGCCCGGGAGCACCACATTTGAACAGCAGGTAGACCCAGGAACGCCAAACTGACATAATTCGACAATACATCCACGGACTAACTAAAATATAGTTGACATCAAACATATTTGGTATGGATGATTCCGATAGAATGTAATTAAATGAAAATTAATAAAAGCGCATTTCACCATTCATATGTCATAAAAAATAAACGCGGTTCATACAAACATATTTAAAGGTCATGATTCAGCCCTCTAAGTTCGTTTTTTTTGTTAGGGAGCCAAGTGGCTCCAAACATGATTATTTAGGTGCCAAACCTAAGTTTTTTGGAGCCAACACATATCCTTAACAGATATCGTCATCAGTTATGTTGACTTTTAGGCAGCCAAGTGGCGAGAAGTAGATAAATCTAGGTCGCCAACATTGGATTTAAGTCGCATTTGGCCACCAAAATGTTCACTACTTGGAGGGCTGTGATTGGACAGATTCGACTTTCCTTCCTTAAATAAAGGCGAATAAACTCTTTCAGAATCATAAAAGATCTGCTGATATTGTGATAGGGATTTAATCATGTAAATGATACACTGCAGCGATAGACACTAACATGTTTAGTCCACTAGTCTTTACAATGAGAACATATGGCAACACTTTTAAAATGGCAAATTTCTTCAATCCTAATCATACCTTAACTATTGGGCACTTTGGCAAGGACTATAGGACAGGGGCCAATTTCAGTGACTATTGTGATCCATTAAAGCTCAAAGCTGGCCATTCTAAGACAAATATTCAATCATCAAAGGAAAAGAAAACCAGCTTTAATTTAGTTTAAACGTGTTTAGTTGGTAAGGTGAAATGGCGTTCAAGATAAGTGCTCTGGCTGTACCACTTGTTGTCAAGTCATGTGATTCCTAGACTATTGTTTCTGTTAGGTTATTTCAATAGTTGTGTTTTTTTAATTGCTTAAAATATGTTTGCAATTAGTTTCTGTATGAATGTTTTATGGTATTAAATTTAACGGTGCTGTTCATGACATTCTTTTTGTTCCTTGAACTGATATTATATCAAGGATTTTAGGGAGGTGAGGTGAAATGAGGTTTAATGTTGCGTTCAAGATTATTTCACGTCTATGTACATGCATGTGTGCACGAGTTTGTGGCTTCTTGTGCTAGTCCGTACTCATGCTGATTTTATAGTGCTAGCCCACCGAGATGCTATGTCGTACATGAATACCCCACTCAGACACAGTATACTGACTCCAAGCCGACCAATCCTTGTTTTAACTCCTTAATGCCAAACGTACCATGTTTTAACATGTCTTTTGGTATGACGCGGTTGGAGATCAGCTACCGATCTTCCGTTCGGTAGGCAGCCGCTCTATCAGCGGTTCACATATTTCATCTTAAGATGACTGATGAAAGTGCAGCCTCTTTGTCTTTATTGGTCCTGTTATCAGTGATATAGATCTACAAGTTACCTCTACAAAGCCATATCAACATGAGATATAACTATATCAACATGAATGAGAAATTTGTTATTCCAAATAAGGAATATTAACTGACATTTGCTGCAGATGTGGGACTGAACATCAGACTCTAACCAAGTCTACATAATCCCATGAGGTACAGGCCGAAAATAATATTTAACAAATAATTTAACTAAATTTTACAAGTAACCCCATCATTCACTTGTAGCTTTTAGTAATGATAAATGATCCCACATAGGATACTAATTTGCGATGTGGAGATTCACGATGTCCCGCACATTCGGTGAACCTACCAGAGAACAGACTAGCCACATGTGATCAGGTTTTCATCATAACCTGAAGCATGGAAGCAATTGACGAGGATACATATATATATACACTTATGCTTTCTTACTCTGGGCCAATATTTCAAGGTATGTCTTTGCCAATGGTTGCTTCAGATATGAATTAAAATTGAAAGGATCTATATAGAATAAATCAACTCTTGGTTAACCAGGTTACATTTTTTTCTTCAAATGTTTACAAAATACTGCAGCCCTATGTGAGTGGCTAGGCTTAGAGGTCTGGGTTATACACCCCTGATTTGCGATGAAGGCTACTTTTTAATAGTGTAATTACTTCGAAAACTGACCATAGTTGTACCCTTTGGGGTAGACGTGTTCCTCACTGAGTGTACCCAAGGTAAAACAACATGCTTTATGACAGCGTACTGGGCAGTGTTTCTGTAAAACGGTAATATTGCTAACAAGGCTGTGATCGAGACACACCATAACTGTTTATTGATTGTCTACCGCGCTAATTGCTTATCGAAATTCACAGAAGGGGGCGGGGTTTGTTCATGAATACGACATCATCGGTGTTCTCGGCTGTTTTCAATACATTGTTTCATAATATATCAATATATTCACACATACAATTGTTGTGAGTGACACTTCCCCTGCGATGTATTAATCTCACAATATCTGAACAAATCGTATCAATAAGTTCAGGAGAAATTCAAATTTTGTGGGTTACGTTTCAGCAATATGTGACATTTCTCAACCAGTTATACAAACGGACGCCATTTCGCAATAATTGTAGGCACCAGCCCACGGCCGGTGGTCAAAATGTCAACAGGTATTTAAACCATGCGAGCCCTTCACTGACATCGTCAGCGACCCGGAATGTACACATTGCAGAGCGACTGCCCGATACGTGACGATTGTTTACCTGTGTGGTGACAATCAGAGAATTGTCCAGTAGAAAAACACCACGAGTAGATTTGGTATATCCGTATAAAATCTCCACACGTTAATACATCTACAAAACAACGATGTTCAACACATCAGTTGATAGATTTGTATATTCAGCAAAATCAAATGTGTATTTCTCCCGCCATGCTTGCAGTGCACGCGCAGTAATACTTAAACTTGAGTGGTTTTCTTCCGGTACCTTACAAATCATTCATTGTATGTGTATGAGTTTGCAAACATTTTGCAGATAAAATAGAAGAGTTCTTCGTCAGAATTATTTGCACAGAAACGTGCGATTACCATTTTATTATTGATATATAGAGGGGGACTATTTTCTACGTATAAGGAGAGTGCGTGAGGCGGTGTCATTATCAGGTCAAGGATTACGAATAAGCGCGCAAAGTTAATAGCCGCAGATGGATTGCTAGCCATGATTGTTCTCCTAAATACTATAAAATGCATGAATAGCATGTATCAGTTTGTCAGTTGCAACGATTTATTCAAGAGAGTATTAGGTGAACTGGGCATCTAGAATTTATTTTTTTGGGGGGAATTGAAATAATAATGATGATAATAGCGAGAAGATCTACTCTGACGAAACTGTGTATTGAAAACGGAGATCTACGAAGGTCAAATCATATTTTAACCCTTATCGGACTGAATTTATTTCGTTTTTGCAAAGGGTGAAATGTTTATGCAAAGTGTCGTCATAGAACAGTGTAGGCATCTTAAATTTAATCCAGTGAAATGGTGAGTGAGTTAAAATTTAACTACGCATCGGCATTATTTCAGCCATATAGCGACTCCAGTGTATAGACATCCAATATTACCCATAGACCCATGGACATATGGGAAATAAGCAAATTAAGTTATTTCTGCTTCATGTTGATTGGCTAGTACGTAACAATTGTTCCACTCTTTTCATTGTTTGCGAAGAGGCCCATAGTAACGTGACGTCATATGAATGCATTGTCGCAAACAATTGATGACGTCATGCATTACTCATGGCATGGTGAAAACATCTTCATGAAATTGTTCATGACGTCGCGTTATTATGGGCCTCTTCGCAAACAATGAAAATTGCACTAGATTAAGCCCCGTTACACTATCACAAATTTGGTAAAAAATACTTGTCAAAGTTTTCACTGTGCAAGTTTGGCTGTTTACACTCATCAAAGGTTTTGACAAGCCATCAAAGTTTGGGCGGGTATTATCTTGCCATGTTGGATGTTGCTGACAAATTAATGTTTTGCTGTTGTTATGTGTATTTTGTGTTTATGATAAATGATAGAACAGAGATATAACACAATGGGTAATCGATGACGCTTGGTAGGGAGATGGCGTCATATTGATTGATAAAAATAAAAATAACACAATTGAGTACGTAGTATGTATAAATCCCGCTTCGATTCGCGATTGACACGAATGTGTCAAAATTGTAAATGTATTCATAATATGACATTTTGTTTTTTGAGGGAGAGTCTTGTAACAAATCTGCAAGAACATTTCGATGTTCATAAAAAAATATGACAAGGACAAGGTGTGGGTCATTATTTTCAGTACATTAGTGCATCACACACACACGCGCGCACACACACACACACACACACACACACACACACACTCCATCCCACAGAAGTGTTTCAAAAATTTCGGAGGGCCTTTGGGTATATTGTTGTCATTGTGTTTTTCAGTTCAAGTGTCCTCCATAATCTAACCTAACTTTCCACTAAAACTTTATTATCATTAAACAATGAAATATGAAGCCTCCAACCCAAGTTGTTTCAGTATATATATATATATATATATATATATAATTGTACGAGCATGTGTGTCTTTTTTGCGATGAAACGAATGTCAGAATGTTTGTATTTCCCGAGCTAGAGCAGGGGGTTCAGGCTCGCTGACTTGGTTGTTGCATGTCACCGTATCCCAATTGCGTGGATCGATGCTCATGATGTCAACCACTGGATTGTCTGGTCAAGACCCGACTATTTACAGACCGCCGACATATAGCTTGAATATTGCTGAGTGTGGCGTTAAACAACAAACAAACAAGCAAAACAAACAAGAAAACCACAATTGTCGAAAGTTAAGCTATTACGTCGCTTCTAGTGTGACCTTACTTCACAATAAGAATCGAAAGGACGTCAACAATGCCGTCCTCATGACGTAAACAATTCACTGGTGCGCGTGAAGGTGCACCAGTGCAACACGATTTTAATGAACTCGGTTATTTTTAACCTAATTGGTAATATATAGAGGACATTTCATGTGTCCAGTGAAATATGTTTCTCTCATCGTGACTACGCCTCTCGTGAAAATATCTCCTTTTCCCCCGTCACGAGATGAAAGAAACATGATGTTTCACTCGACACATGAACTATCCTATTATATACCCTTTGTGTAGTCTCCCGGAAAATTAAATTATTTCAATACAAATGTAAAACCTTGAAACGTAAATTCTCCCTTCCTAACAGACAGGGACGGTTCACCACCCCTTGTATTTGCGATTTAAAAAGTAGTTTCGTGTTTGCCAGATCTTAAAAAATGTAACCAATAGTATCTAAAAATATTTAGGGTCACGAAATACATTTAGATATGATTATATACAAAATCAACTGAAACAAAAAATATTCTTTAAAACTACGAGACCGCTGTTGGATGCGAAAGAATACACTGGTCAGGTTACAAAAATGGTGCTTTGCGAAACGAGCAGTCTCGCTTGATGAGTTAAATGAGAAATGTAGAGTTTATAACGAAACATTTTCAAGAGAATAATAGATGACAAGAAGTGATATTAACTTCATAAACGACCGTCTGTCATTCTTGGCCTTGTCAATGTGGAACTAACGTAAAGAGGACGTCGAAAGTTTGTGTACAGGGCTAGACACTTTATACGATAAATGGAGACAATTTGAGGGGAGGTAACTCTTGTATGACAATAGTGCCGTCAAAGTGTGATGTTCACTGCAATGGAAGTATCACTTTCTCAACTTCAGAAAACGCAGTCTTTCACATTGAATTATAAGATATAACATGATATTTCACTCGACACATGGAATATCCTATATATTATATACTTTATGTGTAGTTGTCTACCGGAAAATTAAATTATTTCATTACAAATCTTAAACCTTGAAACGTAAATTATTCCTACCTAACACACAGGGAGGGTTCACCACCCCTTGTATTTGCGACTAAACAGTTGTTTCGTGTTTGCCAGATCTTAAAAATATAGACAAAAGTAACAAAACATATTTAGGGTCACTAAAATCCTGTATCATACATATAGATATGATTATATACAAAATCAACTTTAACAAAAAATATTCCTGAAAAATACGAGACCGCTGTTGGAAGCGAAAGAATACACTGGTCAAGTAACAACGATGGAAATAAACAGTCTCGATTGACGAGTTAAATAAGAAATTTACAGTTTATAACAAAACATTTTCAAGAGAGTTACAGAGGGCATAAATGACCATCTGCCCTTTTTTTTGGCTTGTCAATGTTGAACTAACGTAAAAAGGAAATCCACAGTTTGTCAATCTCATTAAAATCAGATCTTAGTTCTCGCTACCGCTACTTTGTTTAGCGGTAGCGAGAACTGATGTCTGATTTTAATGAGATTGACAGTTTGTGTATATGCCAGACACTTACGTCAAAGGGGAGACAATTTGCCAGGGAGTTAACTCTTGTATGACAATAACTCCGTCAAAGTGTTATGTTCATAGCAGTGCGATATCATCACTGTCCAACGGTCTACCGCTCGTCTTCACTTCTTTGACTTTGTGTTCGAGAAATTGTCTGTAAATTTCATTTTCTAGCATTTTAGTCTTCTACTCTTATCATGTGTTGATTTGATAAATGTGATCTATGTGTGTGCAAGCATATTCACATGTTGAAAGATTTAGTTATTTTGAATTCAGGGAGTAGCGGGGTTATCTAGTCTTATGTGGATATTTCTCATGAATTTTAGAGTCAGTTTTGCCACCTTAGATATTTTACAATTCTGGCTGTAAATGTTTAATAACAACTTTGGGTAGCTTATATTTGGCCCTGTTTTTTGTATACCTATATCTCCAAAATTGGTTTAGTTGTAGTTAGTTTGCTATTCGCGTTTTCCCAACTTTAGAAAGTACAATTGTGTTCGCTCACGAGGTTAGAAAGCTTTCGCTCCTAGCTAGCGGTGATTGTCTTCTCCGAGGTCCGCACTTCTCGCTAAGGCTGCGTTCACACAGTGCCGATTATGGCCCCCGTTTGAGATCAGACAGCGCTACGATCCTCAATGATCTGGAATGTCCTATCTTTGTCTGAACTCAGTCGTATACGTTCGTAACAGAGTCCTACGGTTCGGGAAAGGCCCAGAGAGGTCGGCCAAGTACTCCCGACAGTATGGTGCGCCCCGTAGAATTCGTGAAACTCGGTCGATTTTGTCGTGACAGATTCTGCTGTATCGGATCAAAATCGTAACAATGTCCTGTGTTGTCTAGACGGTGTCGTGTGTTGTCTGGATGATGTCCTGTGGATCGGGACGCTGTCGTGATGAACGGGCATGATTTGGAGAAATTGATCATTGCCGTTTCTTGTCGATTGGGGCGGTCGGGTAGCCTAGTGGTTAAAGCGTTCGCTCGTCACGCCGAAGACCCGGGTTCGATTCCCGACATGGGTACAATGTGTGAAGCCCATTTCTGGTGTCCCCCGCCGTAATATTGCTGGAATAATGCTAAAAGCGGCGTAAAATCAAACTCACTCACTCACTCACTCTTGTCGATTGAGTCCTGAATGTGGGACTTAACCCTTAAGTAGACAGGAATCGCTGAACCTTTACGGGTTGTTCTGCTACTGTGTGATGGTGATGTTATACTGAGTGAGTGAGTGAGTTGTGTTTAACGCGGCTTTTAACACTATTCCAGTCATATCACAGCGTATCAGCTTAATGTGGGAGGAAAGCCCGAAGTGATGCAGGTCTTAGACGTTTACCACTTCGGTGAAACCCACGAGCATGGGTATGGTGCTGCTAAACCTAGATACATAATCGGGGCGAACCGGGATTCGAACCCACAATCATATGTTTCTGGCGTGCCCAAGGGACGCAAATCTGCACATCTCCCTTTAACCCGAATAGACTTGTCCTGTCGTCAACAACTGTC